CCTTAAAAGTCGTTTCGTTCCACCGTTATTAAGTTTGCTTTTATATATATTTGTAGTGTATACAATAAAAGTCAGTCAGAAAATTGTACTATGGTTCTTCGAGACTCTAGGAATGTTTCATTGGGGTTCCACGATTCTAAACATTTTGAAATCCTGATACGTACAATTAAACTCAAATATCCCAATTATTGGATATTATTGAAAATAAGTAATTTGCTCTGCAACTAAAAAACATTTAAAATGTTTGGTACTCCCGTAGTGTGTGTACCAGGTTAGGGTTAGGCCATAATTTTATTCCGATTTCCCTTATTTTACAGTTTTATTACGAGTTCGGGACTGTCTGTGTTAGCCAAGTGAAAATAACCCCTGCCCATAGGCTTCAGTCACTTTACACAACTTGATGTAAAGTAGGCGACCAAAATTAGTTACCTCCATATTGGCACACACACTTTTTGGAGCGCCAAATGTACTGCGATATCTCAATCCAAAATTGTCTCAAACTGGTACTGCATTCACCGTATTTTTCAAATTGTTTTACATGTAAATCAATGATGTATATGTATGTATACGTGTAGTATACACAGTCGGTTTTTCGAACATGTGTCTCTCAATCAAACTTGGGTATTGAGAAATGTGTATGCTAAGTAGTCCACGAATAATCAATGATATAACAAACATGATAGTAAAATTGTATTAAATTGTACATTATTTTACAACTACTTGTCGCAGACGCGTAGTAGAAGAATATATCCACGAACTTCAACATGAGACAGTTAAATATAACGTAATGGTAATATTTGCAACATGTCTTTCACTGTCGACTATGAAGGCGGTGAAAGCGAACTAAAAATGTTAAGTAGTCACCATATGGAAATAGATATCAGGACGATGAGGTGTAATATAGTCTTCTTGTATCATTCTGTTGCATATTCAGTTGAATCTGTTTTTCTTATATTTACGTGTGTGTGTATTTTGAACCTTGTCTATCGTATTCAGCGATATGGAAGAACATTTCAAAATTCCATGTTAAGCCTTTATAATAGAAGATAAGATAATGTAAAAATGTAATTTCAATTTGTATGGTTTTAGTGCAGTGTGTTTGGTTAACAAACCGAGGTGTTTAGGATCTAGACTCCAGATTGTAAATCAATGGAGTATATGTATGTATTGTATTCAATACACAGTCGGTTTCCGAATATGTGTCTTTTAATCAAACTTGGGTTATTGAGAAATGTGTATGCTAAGTAGTCCACGAATAATCAATGAAAGAACAAACATGATAGTAAAATTGTATTAAATTGAAATTATTTTACAACTGCTTGTCGCAGACGCGTATTATAGAAGAATATATTCGCGACCTTTAACATGAGACAGAATGGTAAATATAACATAATGGTAATATTTGCAAATTGTCTTTCATTGTCGACTATAAAGATGGTGAAAGCAGATTTGAAATGTTGAGTAGTCGCCATATGGAAATAGATTTCAGGACGTTGGGGTGTAATATAGTTTTACTGTAACATCTCTGTTGCATATTCAGTTAAATTCGTTTTTCTCTATTTGCGTGTGTATGTCTTTTGAATTTGTCTATAGTATCCAGCGATATAGAAGAATATTTCAAATACTTCTGTATTTCTTGTAGTCATTTATAATAGAAGAAAAGATGATGTAAAAATGTAGTTTCAAATTGTATGGTTTTAATGCACTGTGTTTGGTTAACAAATCGAGGTTTTTAGAATCCGGACTCCAGATTGAACTGTGCATAAATAGTAATCAAAGACATTTTTCTACTTTTCCTTACATAGGAAGCTTGATCAAGAAAAGAAAAAAAGACAGTGGGATATATGGATAAAATGCAAATTATATAGCAAATATTAAGTACCTAAAATAGAAGGGAAAATGAAGTCTATATGAAATCGAAATGCATCATTTGGTCAGAGTTAGTTACTCAAGATTTGGGGAGGCTGTGATACCGAAATATTTATCAGAAATACTATTTACTAGAAAAGAAGAGAGAATACAAGGGCAGTATTGTACCAGATAATAGTCCGGCGCCAAGTGGTTATCTCCGTAGGGAGGTATGCTTGTTATCGATAAAACGAACAAATGTGATCAGTCAAACCGACACATAAATCTGAAGGCAGACAATGACAAACCGTATTATCAAACCGGAACTATGTGAATGAAAAAGCAGTATTTATTTAAATCACAAACTAACAAATAAATAAACAAATTAACTTTAGAGCTTACGTGGAAATTAGGTTTTAGCCAAAATAAAAAAATTATGTTTATTCAATCATGTCAATAGAATGTACATATTGTAGTCTAGTATACAATTTCAACACGCAATTATGTTGGTTTTTAAGTTGGTTGCACAAGTTTGCTGCCGTTTTTACTCAAAGTTTTGGGTAATTTTACTCCAGTTTTTTCAACTAAGTCGATTTTCCAGCAGTTTTATATCGCGGTCAAATCTTTCGCGTGAACTTTTCCGATCGACTCGATTTGTCAGGAAATTTACGTGGGTGAGAAGATCGATTGGTATGAAGTAAAAATGGGGTTAATAATAAGACGTGTTGCCATGACAATTTTCTATGGTTTCCATAGTTACTTATGCTATAATTGCTATTTAACAACAAATATGCTATTTCCTGAAATCAGTCAGACATAAAATTAAGTGCATTTCTGTCCATGAAAACTCAATATAATTTGGAATATATCCAACGCATGGATGTATCTGAGTACTGACTTAGTAAGTTGTTCGATAGGTTAGAAATCTAAGTTAGGTCTCGATTTTTAGAAATTCTACGAGACACAAAAAGGAGTAACGTAACATACTTTTGAGCTGCCGTTAATAGAACTGAAATGTTATAACGTAAACTAATTATGTCAGAGTGAAAAATCGCCGAATATACGTTGAACAGGTCTACGTAAAGAATGGGCAAAACATTCAGCCTGATAGGATAGGCGCCGATTGATTGACTGACTGAAAGCAATTGTATTTACTGTTGAATGTCGAGGACAGACTAACCGCCGCTCGTGAAGAGGGCAGGAACGTGACTATTTTTGTCCCATGCTTCATGACTTACTGAGTAATGTGTACTTTACTTTGTACAGTACTTTGTCCTAGACCTGACATGGGCAAACTAAGTCCCGCGGGCCAAATCAGGCCCGCCGGGTAATTCAATCTGGCCCGCCTGATGCTGTTACAATCAAACTAAAACCAAGATTTGATGGGTTTGCTAAAAATATCTCAAGGAATATGTTGTGTTTGCGATTCAATTTAGTTTTGCCACGAGGCTTATTGTTTTCCACTCTTGCTTTTGTAACTCTGTAAATATTGTTAATAAAATGTAACTTTTTACGTCATACTTACATGGCCCGCCAGTCCAGGTGGGTGAAATTTTTTGCCCCGGTCCAAAAACCTTACCCACCCACGTCTTAGACTCTCGAATGTCGAGCTACTATACTATCTATTCCTCGAATAGTGCCGAACTCACAATTTGAGGTGTTAATTGACTGATTGATTGACAGCTAGTTGGCAACGTGCCAAAATGGCATAGTTTCGTTTCGTCTTTGTTAGTTAAGCTGGCTGTCTAATTATTAGCGAAATGGCCGGTGAGCACCGAAGAGACGCATAGAAGACTGCTGTTGGTAAGGTCAACGTTTGGGTTCAAAGTTCAGAGTCATTACCAATATACGAGCCACGATCTTTTCATACCTGAGTGCTCTACGGCGTTTTATAGCAGGTGCGACGTCAGGTGTGGCTTGCTGTAAAAATAAAAATAAATGACTCCATTTTAACATTTGTGTTCTGCATTTGATTAGAGTGAGTCTTCAAATTTTTTTGACAAATAGTCCCAGTGACTGAGTGTGGTATTGTATATACGGCTTCGGTTCACTGGCCTATATCAGTTTTAAATATTTCCTGTAAACAAAACTAAAACAAATCAAAACCGAAAACTAACCATAACTATGGATCCTGCTTTATCCGGACGCAATGATAAAGATCAATCAAAAACTAACCATTTTATGTCGCGGAAAAAGATTATGTTATTCTTATAAACAAAACTACTCATCACAATTATTGTAAGAATAAATCTGCTGTTTTGAATGCTTTTTCATTCGACTGCATTCGCGTAATCGATACAAAATTATGTTAATTCTGATGCAGTATTTATCACCTGCGCCGAAATATGAGTAACAAAACTACCAACCTCGAGTAAAAGAAACTTTTGTAAGTTTTTTCAAAAACGATTTATTTTAGGACATCAACGGTATACATTTGTAGACCTACGTCAATGTATTTAAAATGTGTGGTGTTTTAGCGGTAAAGTAGTATTGCCTTTCTCATTACTTCTAATTCACAAAAATTCTGTATGTGTGTAAACTTTGTGTGATTTGTAATAGGCCGTAACACAAAATCTGATATTTTGTGGTTAAAGATACAATATTTGGATTTGGGCGCTCCAGAGGTGTGTGTACTAATATGAAGATACCTAATTTTGTTTGCCTTCTTTACATCAAGTTCTGTAAAGAGAAGGAAACCTATGAGCAGGGGTATATTCACTTGTCTAACACGGACAGTCTTCAAACTCGTAATAGAACTAAAATAAGAAAAATCGAAATAAAATTATGACCTAACCTGGTACACACACTACGGGAGTACCTGGATTCGGATTGAAAAAAAAAGAAGTTAGTAAATACAAAAACAGGTTGAATCTTATAACTTAGTAATTAATCGACTCGAATTCAAACATACTGACAGTTCGTGTTTAAATATCTTTATGGATTATTGTGGATGAGAAGCTCATTCAAAGCAAAAGCCGTATAACCAAAGATCGCTACAAAATATTATTTTGTTCAGAATAATATTCTAATATTTGAGTCTTATCGTTCAACTTCTATACGGCCAAAATTCTCCCAGTTTCCGAGGTCGGCCAGACTGGTATTTACATAGGCTTAGGGAAAGGATTAACTTTATTTGATTTTATATTTATTCAGCGGTGTAGTTTTTGATATACGATGTGCACATAGTGTTTTATATCAAAAGGTCATCTTTGAACTAGAAGTATCAGCAAGAACATGATTCTGCTAACGTTGATTTGTATTTTCTTGGCATCGGTTAATGGATTTGATACCAGTCCTCCAGGTACGATATATGTTACTATTCGTTAACGCTAGTAAAGTATTTGGATGTCTGAGCACGAAATTACAAATGTTAATTATTTTTGTAACACCGTTGTTCTCAACTTTATCAAATATATCTCTCTTGCCTATATCTTTCGAATCTCTTTCCTCCTTACTGACTATGCATATCTCCGTTATTGTTCAATTTTCGAAGGATCTATAGCTTGTGCTGTGCGGAACTCGCACTGGCGTTTGCACAGTTGGAATAGTGCATAAATATATATGTATTACAAATATACTAATTAACTTGACAATACTATCAGTTGGGGTTACGTAGGACTAACTACCCTTTCTTGCTCTGTGCCTTTGTGGAAGTGGATTTGTATGGGTGTAACGCAAGGATACTGTGGCAAGAATAAAGATGAATATACTATTTGATTCAAGAGTCTTGCTACATACTAACGTTACAGAAATACATTTGTGTTAGTGTGCAGCAAGACTCTTGAATTAACCAGCTGAACAATATTAGTAAAACTACTCTGAATGAAGTAATATTTTTATAATCCACCCCGGAAAGAAGTTCCTCCCCGGCTGGGGATCAAATCCGTAGGTGAAAACAGTTGAAAAATGGAAATAAAGAATGATCCGCTACACTTATCCAACAAACCTTGTTATACTTGTATGCTGCTAATGTTCACTTTGAATCACGATTTTAACCCCCGCGCTTTGATGGGTTGTGTCGGTCAAGCTGTATGCTATACAAACGAATACAGTCATCTTTATTTCAATTGCATTTTATTAGGCTGTGCTACTTCGGAATTTGACATCATTTTTATATTGGACACTTCTACTGGAGTGACGGAAGAAAACTTTCAAGAACAGAAAGTGAGTAAAATATTCAGATCTAGTTTAAAAGATCTAGATAACATTAGCCCAGTCTGGCCCAGTCTGAAGTTTCGCGGCACCTTAGGGTTTCGCCACAACAGTCCAGGGTTCCCATGTTTACTATTGACTAAATAAAATGACTATATTATTATATGAATATTGTTAAAATATAATCAATTCACCATTAACCTCAGCACTAATATTAGACTTGCTGCACTTTGAAGATCATTTCGTTTTGCTAGTGTTATGCTCGTTTTTATTCGTATTTGTAGTCAATACAATTCTTCGTGCAGCCTTACAGTTACTTCACACGGGTTCCTCAAGCCTTTGGAATTTTTCATTGGGGTTCAAATGGGTTGAAAACCAAAATTTCTGAAGTTCTTTTAATGCATTAAATTGTTATGTTGTACACATCCATGTTTTTGCTTTGTGGTCATCTGAATTAGAAAACAATTATAAAATAGTGCTCATTCACACCCTCATACTGACAAAAACATAGTCTACGGTTAAAAAAGTACTGAAATATCCTGGATATCCACTTCCATGTCTTGGCTACGCTAAATCCGATATAATCCTGTCCAAACTAGAGTTATGCTATAATTCCAATTTGATAAAATCAAACGCAGAAGATCCTTTTTCAAGGGATTACTTATAGCACGGATAATTTTGATTTACCTGGTTTTTATGAAGCATTTTGAACCCGGTAAGATGCATCAGTAACTTCCGTTGTTAAACCAAAGCATTGACCATTCACCGTAAAAATACTGGCTTTTGTGTCTGAAAATTTATTTTAATCAAAGCCTATATACCGGCATATTTTCTAGTTTGTAACGACCAAGACAAAACTGCCAAGTCTCTGAATTACATTACTGAATTCACAGGACTTTACAAAAGGCGTGATTGATGCATTTGACATCAACAGTCTGTCAACTCGAGTTTCTGTGATTACTTACGGCTCCGTTCCAAAAGTACTTAATTACTTACAAAACATAACTTCTTCAAGCGGAGAAGGAAACAGCTTTGGAAAATCCGAAATTTTAGAACTCGTTGATTCGTCTGGTCTTGTAGGAGGTTCGAGAAGATGCGGCAAAGCATTGAACTATGCATGCGATACGGTGTTAGGATATGATGTGGAGCTACCGAACCCGGGTATCCGGAGACGGAATGTTCCAATTTTTATTATTGCTGTATCATCCGGATATTCGAATGATGACATTTCTTCCGATTTGTCATGTAAACTGGATCAGGAGTTCGGAAAAATAAGAAATTCTGACGTAACAATATGGGGAGTAGCCACAAACTATAAAGGAAAAACAACGTTCGGAAGTAAACACATCGATGAGGTTTTTGAGTCGGCAGATTTAAGCACATTGCAAAAATCAATAATCGAAAAAATTTGCAGCAAAATGTCATGGGGATGTTCACTCGCACAGCAGGATTTAGTCTTTCTTATTGACAGGTTAGTGCAACATTTCCCAATCAATTTCTCCCCATAAAATAATTTAAATATTTTTGCAAAAAAAATTTCACTTTCCATTTTTGTGACGTGTTTTTATTAATACTTTCACTTATTCAGTATTATTTTAATACATATGCATACCTTATATGCACTATTCAAAATGTATAGACGCCAAAGTGCAAGTTGCGCAAGCAAATGTTTAGTTAAAGATTAATACCATTTGCAAATAGAGTTATTATATAGATAGTGGTGGAGGAGAGAATGTGTCAAACTGGTTGGCTTGGAAATTACTGGGTATTCAATTAATTAATGAATATTTACGGATGGAAAGAGTGAGAGTGCACGTCATTGATTTCATAACATTTATTCAAAATCCTGCCTTACCCGATCAAACCTGATACAGACTTGCGTACAAATAATAATTTGATGATAATTCAAGAAATTCTCTAGCTCACAGCCTTCTTTTCATTCTGGTTATAGTTTGAAATAGTTGAAAATTCCTTGACATTTTCATCCCATAACGACGTTAAATTACCCGTTTAATCGTAGATAACCGTTATGTCAAGAATGAATGCTGGACATTGATGGAGTGATTTTAAGAATGAGATTGAAAACTTCCATTTTGTGTGAAACATATTATGATACTACCAAATATTTTAGTAACAAATTTAGTCATAAAATTCACCGTTTTTTTTTTTTGTATTTTGGCATGGAATCTAAATAGATCTAGTTTTAAATAGTTTATAATCATTCAGTGCATGATAATCAGTTACCACCGGTACAGGAGACTGATATCTGAACAAATTATAAGTTCGGTCATCTATGCTTCTGGGCTAGTGCGCGTGACCTGGCTTTGGAAAATTTTCACTATTTGAAAATGATAATTTCCTTTTTTTATAGCCATTTTGAAACCAAGCTAACCTGTTTTAAATATTTCCCTTCTTACATGTTACATGCATGAGTCGATGATAAATGTTCACTTGTATGTGTTTCATGCCTGTAATATAATTTAGACAGAACTTTCCCATTAAATGGACGGATTACAGGTTTCGGCAGCGAAAATAATCGCAATTGATGCATGAACAAAAAGTTATTTTAAATGTATTATAGCGTTCTACTCCGAGATGCACCTGGACAAACTTAGCAATAATCATAAATTCGGTAGAATTTCAATGTTATTAGGACTTCGAATCAGCACTATTGTTTAAGCAATATGTAAATCTCTGACCAGCATTAGAATCAACAGAAAAGTTTTAACTTAACACTGGAAAAATATTTCGTAATGAGGTATTGATAAGCAGTGACAACATGCGAATTCATTGATTTTCCCGATTATTTTTTCTACAAAATATCTGTTCAAACAGGCAGAAAAATTTGATCCGAATAAATTAAGTAAATATTGGCTTAAATATTTGGATAAGAGTAAAGACACCAAATATAAAATGCATTAAAGGTTAACTTAATGATAAAATTTTATCCGACGTCGACGCCCAGATTTTTGTCTCCTGACTCGGATATATGGAAGCACTCAAATCTGGACAACACTTGAAGCTTCGACCTTAAATAAACTATAAACGATAACATGTGTCCACGCCCAAAAAGTCATTCACTTCTACAGAACATCTTGAAATTGTCGAATCATAAGAATAAAAAAATTATACGCTGGTGAGATTGAATGACCATAGTGTGATCAGCGTTAACAGCTAAGCCCAACGCATTTCCAACAGTTATACAATATATTCAATATTGTTATACAATTATTCATCATGAATACAATTTTACAATACATTACCTAATAAATACCCTGCCATTGATAATACGAATATTTCAAAGTTTACTTTTTGTAAAAATAAGTTCCCAGCCACAAAAATGTTGACATTGGCAACTAATTTTTTTAACCCTTTTTTGATATAGCTTGTAGCTTTTATACCTTGGGTAGATAAGTCAAAAATCAGATTATAGGTGCCACTCTGAGTTTTGGCATCGACTTAGAGGCCACTTTCATATTGTTCGCTTGGTTGTTACTTAACGGCATAATATTCTACGTCAAAGCCTGTTATATATATTTTGAATTAATTTTATTTATGAAGGGTTTTGTTTATGATGTCTGAGATACGTTCAGTGATAAAATTCGTGCTCCAACCTCCGCATTGCTCCGTATCTGTCATATAAGTACGGCGCGCTAACCGATTGCGCCACTGGAGCTACGTTTAGGAAAATAAACAAAATATGGTGTCATATCGATATTTTAAAATGCGACATATTTCTGTTTGTACACAATTTAACACCATTTTTCTAATTGATACTGAACATTTAGATCTCAGCCGATATCGGAAGAAGATGTCAAGAATGTAAGAACATGGATGAAAAACATTGCAAAAAGTTTTGAGATTGGAGAAAAATATACAAAAATCAGTGCAATAGAGTTCAGTGATAGTTCATCGGTTCAATTCGACCTTGACGAAAACTTGGTGAGAATTTTTTGATAAATTGAAACGTGACAGCAATCTCAAATCGTCAAAATATTTCCAACGACTCAGGGTTTCCACGTTTCGAAAGGGGTTAGCGATGCGTGTTTAAACCCTTAAACGGGTTCTTATCAGACCATGCCATATTTGTGCAGAACAATAGATTTTGTTTGAAATGTTTGTTTTTATTAAAATTTTATTTTCCAAAGCAGTCACGTTTACATGGATGGGCCGTAGAATATAGCTTAGAAATCTGGTCGAGCGGTATATTCAATTATCGTTTAAAAATATTTCCTAACAATGATAACGAAATTTCCTGTTTAAATGCTTCACGAATTTTATTATAAATTTTTATTTGAAGAATCACAATTCTGGTGAAACTATTGGAGATTATTTGGAAAACTAAGATTAATTTCTATCTTTATTGACAAACAGGATGCAACAAGTCTGGAAGAATCCATAGACGACATATCATATCTTTCTTCAATATTTGGAAGCAGGAACATTGAAGATGCTTTACGACATGTTGCTCTTAAATCGTTCACGAATGAAGGCAAGTCGTCGTAACCAGAGATGTGTAGTGGAAGTTTAACGTTATTTCCCGGAGTCGGAGTCGTATTTTCAGACTCTCCGGAGCCGGAGTCAGATTTCTGAATTTCTCAGCGTGGGAATTGGAATTGCGGGCTTTTAATAAAGATAAAAAAAAGTCGAAATTTCCCACTAAAATGAAAAAAAAAACATTTACGAAGCCTTGTTGTTAATATGTTGAAGAGTGCTTGCGAACGCCAACATTTGATTTTTTCGAAGTTTGAATCTGGTGTTATATTTTATATGTCGGAGTAACAGGCAAAATTGTTTTCAACCCTTGGTTCAGAGTCGATTATAAATTTTCTCCGACCCACTGCCAATGTGTTATGTTGAATAGAGAGACTGGTGTACGGATTGGTTATTAAAATCTGGTTATAACAGTTCTCATGTAACGTCAATAATTAAAATTATACTAAATCATGACGTGATCACATAACACTCTAGTTCCGTGTTTCTCAAGCTATTGATCGCGTCCCAAAATTTGGTCGCCCGAAAATATTGTTGGGTCGCCTGTTTTCCAACAAAAATCTTTTAAGTAAATTTTTTTGATTGTTTTATATTTGGTATTGTAATATTGCTCAATCGTAATTTTGTACGCGGGAAATATCACAGCATATCAGGCAGCATCTATTTTGCCTAAGTGAACCCACGCCACGATTTCATAAAACTCGCTGATGGCAAACAAGAGCAACTTACTAACTAGCAATTAATGTATGTTGAAATAAATATAATGTAAAAATGACTGTTTTTGTAGTAGCTATTTAATTTTGCGGTCATAAAAGCACTACATACCGTTCAGAATATCCCTGAGTCGCTAGATTTTACAGAACTTGTCTAAAAAAAAAATTTGGATCGCTTGAAAAAAAATGGTTGGAAACCACTGCCCTAGTTCACCCAACTTGTCTTGGTACTCCAGTAGTATGTGAACCAAGATGGCAGATACAGGAACGTAGCATGTGTACCAGGTTAGGGTTAGGCCATAATCTTAGTTCCAAATACTACGGGAGTAACTTGGCTATTTCCCGAACTCGTAATAAAACTGAAATAGGGAAAATTGGAATGAAATTATGGCCTAACCCTAACCTGATTGATACACATACTATGTTCAGGGGTCCGCCATTTTGGTTCCCATACTACGGGAGCGCCCTTGTCTTATATCAGCATCATTAACAATCCTACTTCTGATGTATTTGAAAAAAAAATAAGATAAATATGACCCTAATCGATCTTTTTTCTTTATAGAAATTGATGTCCGGAAAAAGGTTCATAAAACTATCGTATTGTTAACAACTGGAACAATTACTGATATTGAACTTTCAAAAATTGCTGCAAACGATCTTCGAATTGGGGGAGTCGAAATTTTTGTCGTAAGGATTATTATTATTGTGAACCTTAAAACAAGAATCAATACAACGACTTCAGTAATAATACAATCAATACATTAGAAAATATAGTATACACAGTGCACGAGTATTTTTTCCATTTTCGCTTTCAAATTCTTTAGTTAAAAATAGAAGCGTCTATCGTTTTTTTTTATATATTATCATATTTCTTTTTCCCTGAGCATGTTGCTGTATCCAAGATTTCGCTATTTTAAAATAACTACGGCACTCCATATAGAGATGTATCGCGGATCTGCGCAAGTTAAAAGTAGATTTCGTATCCATATGCATCACTTTCATTTCTTTGTTTGTTCAACGTTTGTAGTAAGTTGGTGCAAGTATGTTTTAACTATTATTTGCACAATAATATTTTGTCAATGTATTTAAAACATCTTCAGTCGAGTGTCTCTGTGTTGCTTCCGAAGTATGTGAACCAAGATTACTGACACCAGAACGTATTATGTGTACCATGCAGGTTAGGTTATAATTTCAGGTACAAATACTAGTTACTTGGCTAGTCCCCGAATTCGTAACAGAACAAAAATAAGGAAAATTGGAATTAAATTATGGCCTAACCCTAACCTGGTACACATACTACGTTTCGGTGTCCGCCATCTTGGTTCACATACTTCGGCAGTCCGTCTCTGCTACTCCGATAAAACAAATTGAACCATTACTAATAGAAGCACTTCAGATAAAACAGACGGAACTATAAATTATTTCGATGAATTTTCCTGATGTATTTTGACAGGTAAACGTCGGTTCCGACGGAAGAAATGAGGAATTCCAGCAAATATCATCAAACCCTTTCTCAACCCACATAACAGTGACTTCAGATTTCACTGATCTTAAGGCACAAACTAGAATCTTGGTAAACAATATTTGTCAAGGAATGTTCAAAAGTGAGTAAAATTCATTTTTTTCCCGTTCAGCTAATAGTTTTTTGTGGAATATTTTAAATATTTTTTTTTATCAGATGTTACCACGCACCTGCGAAAAAGAGTCCTCAATAACTAATCATTTTCTATTGCTTTGAAAAAATCAAATAGCCAGAATCTTTAGGTTCAAATTAGCTTACCTATATTTATTGCGATATGAATGAAATGTGGACATCGGGTACAAACGTGGGTAATTTGCAACGCCGATACAGTTGAGTCTAACAATGACATGGTAAAACAATGACATGGTAAAACTATGATCCGCGGGCCGGAGCCGAACCGTTGAATAATTCAATTTTGACGACCGGATTAACCAAACTAAATCCAAATTTGGATGTTTTTGCTTAGTTAAAAATAACTCAAGGGATTGTTGAAATTGCAATTAAATTTAGTTTCGTCGCGAGGCCTATTGTTTTCCCCTTTTGTTTTTGTAACACTGTAAATATTGTTCATAAAATGTAACTATGGAACCTTTCACGTTATACTTACATGGCCCTTCAATCTGTGTGAGCAAAATTTGTGACCCCTGGTACAAAATCTTTACCCACCCATGCCTAACACATCAACCACTAGCTAGACTATTGTTAAATCAATTGGAGAGGCTTTTCTGGAGTCAAAACTGTGAGGAGTAAATTTAGCAGATGTAGAATGTATTATAACAGGTTTTCAAATTATTTTGTATCTATTGTTTATTACAGGATATTCTGGAGCATTGTTAGATCTTCATTTTATTATCGATGGAAATTGGAATGCAACTGCCAGAGCCCAAACAAAAACATTAATGAAAAGAATCGTCGATTTTTTTCACATCGGCCAAAACTATTCAACAGTCCAGGTGTTGAGTGTCGAGTCGCAACCACATATATTACTCAAAGAAAGTCGAACAAAAGGTGAGACAATTTGCTCAGAGCAATCCTTAAAATTTTTTCGTGTACACTGTAATTATGAGCTCGGGGTAAAATTGCTGCAATAACTTTTGATGTTAATGGACTTCAGTTAATGGACCTGGAAAAACATTATTCTACATTATTACAACATTATTACAAAAGGTCATGGTAAGGATCAGTGTTGGACGATACAGATGGCTATTTTGCGAATACGGAAACTTAAATCCAATAAAAAACTAAATTTCGATTCTTATCTGTGATTGATGAGATATACTTCATGCAATAATAGTGACCCTTATCTAGAATTAATGAAACAACAACAAAAAAATCAGAGGCAGACAGATTTTTCAAAGACCATGAGGAGGTTATGTTGTATATCATTCTTAATTAAGGCCAAGTAAATTATTCAATTGTTTCTTGATTTACCCGTACGACCTTCTAGTGTTGAACTTGCCAAATTTTCTAAGTTGATATGTATCAATGCTTTTATCGGCGAATATTTTTTAACTAATTCAACATTGTGGTTACAGCTGATGCTTTTAGTGGAATAAGCAATATCAAGTTTGGAACAAAAATTGATAAAACGCTTTGGAATGAATCGTTAGAATACGCATTTACTAATTTCAATTTGGATGAACAAAGTGGGAGAGAAAAGGTGAAATGATATACAACAGATTCATCTTATTTTGCAGTGTTATTATTGATAAAATCGTCTCGTTTTGAAGATTATCAGTTATTATATATAAGTTAAAATCACATACAAAAATATTTACGTTAGGAGTTAATTATTATAAATGTGACTTTTTGACTTTCCAGTATTACGCTGCAAAGTTTAAAATCCCTCAAAACACTTTGATTATAGGATGTGGATTGTTCTTTAAATTTTTTTTCAATAGGTAAGGGTAGAAATTATTTTATACGCAATGTTTCATAGCAACAACAAATTAGCTTTAAAAGCTGAGGTATATTAATGTCATGATAAAAATAATGAAAAAATGGATATATTCTTTGTAAACGCAACTTTGAAACGCTCGATTTGTAGAATATGGATTTTGGTTTTAATCTACGACATCAGTTTACAGTAGAACAGTTTTGTAAAGAATACTGAACCCAAATATTCTATAGTTTCTGCGGCAATTTACGTAAAATAATAAACAATACGTTCATTTTGTCGTGCAAAAAATCACAACTCAAATTCAAAACAAATAAAAAATTATGAATTACAGTAACGGATTTCATTGCAATTGACAGGAAGTCGCAAAGAACCAGAAATGGTCATCATGAGTCTGCGGGTACTCCTGAAGTATGCGCACCAAGACGTCGCATAACCTCAACCCTAACCTGGTACACAACCTGAGTTCAGGTTGTGCGCCATCTTGGTACGCATACTTCAGAATGTCCGCGACATCAAAATGATTACCAAATATTCAATTGAATACTACATGAAACCTATTTTGTCAGGTGTTCATCGTTTTATCGCCGGAAAAAATTACTGACCAAGAATTCTGGAAGAAAGTTGACGGAAAACGCCAACTGGGATCTCACACGTATTGGTTCGGATTGACGTCTCACGGCATGGAATGGCAATATGGGGCATCGCATGGTGGACGCTGGGATGCAGCAGCCGGCAATTTTAAACCTGTGGCTCATAATATTGTTGACCGAATCAGTACCGACACCACTCAAAGTTAGTGCAAACCACATTTCATAGTTTCAAATAAATTGATTAGAATTTTTGGTAAAAAAATATGATGAGAATAAGACATCGAATTATTCCGCATCACTTTTACATTATTCCAAGTGATTCACTGACTTGATTGACACTGATTTGATCTTTCCCGCCTTATTTTAGATATTTACCTTTCTTCATTTTTGCCGTACTAACTGTTATTTAGTTATTTTCGAGATGGGGCGCGAGGCTTGACAAATTCTAAAAAAGGGGCGCGGCTTAAAAGTTTGAGAACCACTGCTCAAAAGTATTCGTGAAGAACAAGTAGTTAGACCCACAGAAGCCCAACCGATAGCACTTACACTATTTTTGGAAGTTTATAATGTTTTATTCAGTTTTGATATTGAAAAACGAAATTATCTTTCGCAATGAGCAAATATCATTACGGCGTTTCTAAGTAATTCGGAGTAAACAAAACTATCAAACTAACCACAAATATGCTGAACAGTTGCTCCACTTGCAATATTTACTAATGCTCTCAAGAACCATGTTATGTGATAATAATTTTTTCTTTTACATTACAAAATATTCCAGGATGTGGACTTATCGAACTTGATCTGCAATTTCTCTTGGATGGATCATCAAGCATACAAAGCGATAATTTTGATCAAACGAAGGATTGGGTTCAGACACTGATCAGTATGTTTGAAGTGGGACAATTCACTACAAGAATAGGTGGGTGGTAAAACAGTAATTGTTGATTGATGAGCTACTTGGTCTGCGACTATCAATAGTAAACGGTATTCATTATATGAGAAGGTTGACACCTAGAGTACATATTGTACTTGAACACATTTTGTTTTTCACAATTTTGCGGAAATCATACTTTTAATCAAAAGTCAGCAATACGATTCCATCGTACAAAAATTTGAATATAAACTAAGCTTCTTAGTCGGATAGGGACGTGTCTAGGTAAGGTCATTGTGGCATCCTCTCCCGGCAGCACGTTTTAGGGGGCAGCAGATGTCTTGCTGTAGTAGAGTCGCGTTATTAAACATCGTTTTCTCGACGTGTTTTCATTTAAGTAAAAGCTGACGTGTATAGTTTTGTGTGACAGATTATGGTGATGGTGATTCAGCAATGGCCGACTGCCTTTTTCGCCAATGCGCCCTTATGTTCATTGCGTAATTTAGTGCAATAATACAAAGATTTTAATCTTACTTGACTTTCAATTCATCCATTCGCGTGTTATTTTTGAAGTTAGGTATCGCCCTATTCGCCCTAGGCAGCAGAAAGGCTTGGGCCTTGTTGTCGGGATAGGTGATATCATTTTCTCACAAGGCAACATCACTCTTGTTTTCGCCAAGTATTGTGGGTCGTTACTATGATGGCATCATAAAAACAACAATGAGCTTAATTCTAACAAAATAGAAAAAAAAGTTGTGGAGGCAAATTACTGATGGTAGTTAGAAAAAGTGATGTAATGTTTAGATTTCGATTTAATGGAAAAAGAGTTTTGCAACAGCAGCCAAGTGTCACCAAATAATAATCATTCACAGTGGAATAAGCCGGTAAACACCGAACTAAAAAAACTTAATCTCGTGTTAAACGTGCGAATGCATGAGATCAGGGTGATCCAAGGTTGCGAGATTGAAGAACCGCAAAATTTTTGCCTGGCGCGCCAAAAGTGATCAGGATACTGCGAGTCCAGTCACTTTAAATTGTTTTAATCAGCCTCTTGTTATGTTGCATGGGTGGTGTTTTTTGCTTCAGAAGTTACCCTTTTTTCTTTCAAAATTGCTTCCCGAGTGGTAACGTGGTATTTTTCGTATCTTTTCTCGTGTCTGGTGTTGCAATGCCGCTTCAAATCATGATGACCTGTTATATTTTGACTAATTTTATCATCTGCAGCGTGGATGAAGTGTGTTTACTAAAATCCGGCCTCACGCGCCCGCGTGACATGGTTTGTACCACCCTGTATTCGATTATACCGTTTCGTATGGTACCTATTCTAATTTGAACGCATATATATATGCGCCATTCGACACTACTGTTCGTTTACCAACTTGTAAAAATTATCTCCAATCAGCCAACCACATTACCACAAATCCACTTATGTTATAACTTCAAAATACCAGTATAAGACGATTTTTTTTACTATGTTTGATCCGTCTATTTGTTCATCTTTGACAAGGTGAGCCAGCATATTTACTTGATTTAAGCCAAGCAAACAAATCAACATTCAACAGTCAGACGGAGAATTAATATTGACTTTTACCGGGACCGGAATTCACCACGGTCTACTGAATGTTATCGACATAAAATGAATGTTCTGAATCGAGCAAATTATACACTATATTATTATTTCAGCATCGAATTTTTTTTTTATTCATTTCTTGTTTAAATGTTCACTGTGGTAACATTAGGACAAGTAAGTGTTATTTATTCAGCATCATGTGAAAATCAAATACACAAATATAACAGAAGTAAAACATCGTTATTCACAGGTGGAGGAAGTCACAAAAAAAAAAAAACGTTATCTAACTGTAACACCCAATGAAGTATTACAAACTGCTATTAAAAGATGAACAATAGTTGTATGTGAAAATATAAGATCATACTGGTAACAAACGCTTCAATTCAACCAAATTTCATCCGTTTTATTGCGATAGGTTTAATGGGCGTAGCCCAGACATGGGCAAAGTACGGCCCGCGGGCCGAATCCGGCCCGTTGAGTAAATTAATCTGGCCCGCCTGATGCTCCCACAACCAAACTGAAACCAAATTTTGATGTGTTAGCTAAAAATAGCTCGAGAATTTGTTGAGATTGCGTTTAGATTTAATTTTCGCATGATGCTTATTGTTTTTCAGCTTTGCTTTGTAACAATGTGAATATTGTTCATAAAATGCCACACTTACATGGCCCGCCAGACTAATTGAGTAAAATTTTCGGTCCCTAGTTCGAAAACCTTGCTCACTCAAATGCAAAGTTTTCATGGAAAGTTTGTGGCTTGCTTACTGATGAGAGGAGACGGGTATACCACGCGATATAAACCATAACTTGATAATCCTAACAGAATTGAGATGAAACGCAAATTCAAAACCATAATCATGCTTTCAACATACTTTGCCCTTTTTCGTTATTTAACTTTATTTGTTATTGTGTGCCTGTATATTGTAATACATTGGGCCATTATAGAAAACGGGGTACTTTCGCTACACACGCAATGCACACAAAAACAAAGTTTTCGGCAGTATAGAAGGCAAATTCTCAAATGAAGTTCAAAACACCATAAAGATTGCGCGATGACTCAAAACCACATAATACGAATATAAAAAACATGTTTACGAGGAAAAGGGATGAACCAACTCTTAAGAAGACAATACATGGCTGTCGTCATTTTAAAAAAATTCGACATAATATTATTATGATATTATTTTTTCAAGCAAACTTTACAATGTAGTTAGACACAAGCTAGTTTCAGTTCCTGAATTATTGGTTGATGAATGAAAACTCGGCGATTAATTATTTAATTTTAATTAGTTGGATTTTTCAGTTTCAATAGGAGTGAATAATATGTAACACAGATTCAATTTCTAAGCTTTTGCTAGTATTTTATATAACGCATTAAACGCGGCGTTTATATCCTGTATGTGAAAAAAAGTTGCAGTTGAGATAATCAATCTGCATAAAATACCTTGTCATATACACCTCGGTTACTTTATAAAACATGAACTTATAATAATTCATTATCGACCAAATTTCATATATATATATATATATATATTCAATACAATCTCTGTCAACAATGTTTTTTCACAAATCACACAATAACAATTTCTCTAATTATTATTATTCTAATTCCAGGAGTGAACCAGTACAGTAGATCACCCGTCACAGAATTCAATTTAAACGAATACGATACCAAACCATCGTCGATTCAAGCAGTCAACGACATTGAACATTTGAAGGGATCAACAAGGATTGGACTTGCAATCAACTACACTTTATCAAACAGTCTGATTCCTCAGTCAGGATCGAGGCAAGGAGTCCAAAAAGTAAGAAAACGAATTTAGAAAGAGCTTACAAATCCGTGCATTTTACAATCGATTTAACATTCGGAGAAATGGAGTACTTTGAATATAAGTCACTAGAATTATATGTGCAGTCTTTCATTTATAATTTTTCTGGAGCAAGATCGCGAGCCTTCAAATTAAAATAGTGTTGCAGGGAGCAAGTGACACTAACGCTGGCAGTAGACAGAGATTGAATGACCCTTAAACAATCCATTTCGACACTGCCACAGCTAGAATAATAGTAGCTTTACAAAATTATTGGGAAAAAATTTTCAACTTGGCGCACCTTGGGTTCCCATATTAATCAATGCGTAACTTAAGTAGTTGTAAACTATGCCGAACCAGTAAGGTTCAATCATCTCAGCTATTGCTTTGTCAAAAGGTTTTAGATACAAAACACTTCCGAAATTTAGCTAAATGTTGCACTTTTTTTGAACTTTCAGATCTTAGTAGTACTAACAGATGGAAAATCAAGCGACGTTGTTTCAGAAGCTTCCAGAATTGCTCACGAGAAGAAAGATCTAACAACATACGCGGTTTTGTTTTTTACTTATACTATATGATATTTTTTATACAGGGTGGTCGCTATAAAAGCAGAAAATTCGAATGTCAGATGTGATCACAAATAAAATGCGTGCTTGCTCATTCGTTCTTCGATATTTTTTATTACTTCTAGGTTTTAGGTTGTTTTAGGTCCTATTTTATTTCTATTTTGACACCCACATCATGATAGAAGGCATGAAATAGCTTCCAGATACTAAAGTGCACGGACGACATTTTGAACATCTATGAGTGTAATATAACATGTGGCTGTAAAAGCTTGCTTGCTGTTTGACAAATTTTCTGTTTTTCTATAGCGACCACCCTGTAATATACTATACCTTGTTCTAATATAAATCACAACTAATATTATGAGACTGAAAGTACAGAAATAATCAGACGATCATAACGCCATACGTATATTATAAACTAGTTGTGATAAAATATGCATTTTACATTTCTTTGAACATTGGAAAGTATGTTCATAAGCCTAATAGTCGATTGAAATTGTAATGCCCTAAAATTCATTTAGCGATTATTAGAATATAAACCAATCGCCCAATTCCAGATCGGTGTGGGTGATGTAGACATGGATGAACTACGAGAAATTGCATCAGAGCCGGTAGATCGTCATCTATTTTTTGTAGAGGATTTCGATCAAATAAGTTCAATCAAAAACAGTCTTGCAACGAGTTTATGTGAAACAGCAAAGTCATCTCAAAATGTTTGTAAGTGTATATAAAGTCATTTGATTCGTAGGCAACAACAATTCACAATGTTAGTTTAGTCCAGTGGTTTCCAGCCTTTTTGACGTAGTGGAACCACAATAAAACATTCCGGACTCTCGAGGAACCCATGTGTAATAGTTTAATTGTCTTGAATCGCCTGAATTATTTGTATATATAAAAGCAAACCTAATGCAGACAAAAAAACATCTTTAAAGCGTTACGAATTTAATAATAGTGATAATCTTAACAGGTATTTGAATTATATTTAAAAAATATACATTTAATAATATAGACTATCAAATTTAAATGTCAACTTGCGAAACCAGTACTGACAGAACCCCATAGTTCCGCGGAACCAATGTGTCAGTCTATGTTTTATTTTAGTTGCTTCTGGTGGAGAGCTGGATTTTATCGTATTGTTGGAAGACTCCACATTGCTTCCAGGAGGAAGATTCTTTATAGAAATTCAAGCCTTCATTGTAAAACTTTTAGAACAATCATCGGTACAGTACGATACTCGTTTTGCGGTAGTGCAGTTCGCCGCTGAGCCAAGGTACATGAATTTATATTGTGGGATTTATATTTTATCAATCCATGGTGTATATCATAATAAGAGATATTTTTAGAAAGTATTATTAAATTTAAACAGGGACGGGAGCTCTTTAGAATGTGCAGTATTATCTGGTTATATTATAGTGTTTTAAAGTCTATTACTATATTGACTTTGTGTTTGCCCACGCAGAAAAGGTCAAAACTGAAGTATTTACCAAGTGGGCGTTTCTATATAACGTCCGTCGTGCTTTATCAATTTATGATTAGTGTGCTGTTCATCAGCTGTATAACACTTACAAAAGATCTCGAAGACTTGATTAATCAAAAATAGATTAGGCAAACATTCATAAAACAATTGTCAGGGCGCCATCGACGAAAACTGTCTTTCATGTGACTTATCAGAAATTATGAGCATTATTCATAGATCAGATTCTATCATCAAAACAATAAAGAATACAATCAATGTTTAGTATCGATACATATCGATATATTTCAGTGTCTGAACTCTGAACCTACCGCGTTCTTATTTCATTTAAACATTCTATCAACTCTGAGGTTTGCTTCAATTTTTATTGTGACCACTAAAATGGAAAGAGATACTTGTGTTTTCAGGGAGTGAGAATATTTCAATGTTACAACTCGATTTGGTGACTGACTCCCTCGCCTATGAGTTGAATTTTTGGCGCTTCAGAAGTGTGTTTACCAGTATGGGGGTAACCAATTTTATTCGCCTACTTTACATCAAATTGTGTAAAGGGACTGAAACCTATTCGCAGGAGGTATATTCACTTAGCTAACACAGACATTCCCCGAACTCGTAATAGAACTAAAACAAACATAATCGGAATAAAGCTATGGCCTAACCCTAACCTGGTACACATACTACGGGAGTACCGAATTTTTCATGGCTCACATATTTGGTGATATAAATATATTTTCACTAGGTACAAATGAGGGAAAAGGTAATTTATTTAAACTTATAGTAGATATTTCGTAGTTCTCTGGTTCTGATTGGAGATTGGCAAATATCGACAAAATGGCCAATATTTCCGATACCAATACATCTCTAGTTCTGGTGTGTATAATATTTTCTATACATTTGATTTGTCAAGAACAATTTTGCCGTTTTCAACGAACATCACCGAATTACTCATCGCGATGGAAAAGTCTTACGAATCCAAAGATTATCGATTGTCAGTAAAACTAGGTCTTGCACTTGACCACGTCACTGAGATGTTCCTTAAAGATACAAGTCGTAGTCAGGCTAAAAAGGTAAGAAATGCAAATAATAAAAATGTAATGAAACTCACTTTTAAATATGGACTTTGCAAAAAAAAGTTTGGGGTGTTCACACGCCTCTTGGCTTGGAACAAGCTCAGGAATGCATATAGGTGGGCAGTCTCAGGACCAACGGGCAATCTTCCCTTACTGAAGATTCGCTACCGAGCCCTGCGCCTGTCTATTGCGATCTGTTAGTTCAACCTGACTGTGTGATATTTGGTACAGAAGAAACGCGTGAGCCGAAATCGGAAGTTTTCTCAAAATTGAAATGTTTTACTTCTTCTTCAAAATTGAAATGTTTCACTTCATCTACTGCGCTTATTTATGGAACCCTGAATAAATTTGGGGCTGACCTTGACGTAGGCCTACAAAGGCTCGACCTCGTCAAATTTCACTCGCTTTCACGCAGCACTAAGTATACAAGTAATGCACAACCAAGAACCCTATTTTGGGCAGATATTTTTCGATTGAGAAAATGAATAAACACTCTTTAGCGCTATCTTACAAAACGATTTTCAATTTCTATTCAAACCATTACACTTCATTTTCAGGTCTTACTAATAATTATGTCGAATCCAACCAGCGATAGTTCGTTTCATTCAGCATCAGCCCTGGCTGAATTGGGAGTTTACGTATTCGGAATAAGCCTCGGAAGGACAGCAAGCCTTACTCAACTGGAAACGGTATTTTATATATATATATTGCAATTCCTATTCAATTGTAAATTCTATTTAATTATCTTGTAAGTCATGTATCCAATAAAAGGAAAAAGAAATAGCAATGGAAGTTTTTTTCAAATCACAAATCTCTAAACACGTTAAGACGAATTTTAGAGGGGGATAATTCGTTCAAAGCAAGGATATGTGCAAATGTGTGCATTCAATTATTCACTCTGATGTAACTCATCTCTGAGTCATCTAAGATCTACCGTGTTTCCCCAAAAATTGACCTAGTTGATGGCTAGAAGTCTCTCGTAAACGTTTTAAATGTTTAATCTAAAACATGTGAGGGAGGAAAACGTGTTATTTATAAGCAAATGGATATCGTTGGATGATGAGTGAATGGATGAGTTTAGTCACATTTGCACAACAACGGATAATACAAATGCGTTCACAGTACAATTACAAGAACAGAACGTGCCAACTTATTTGTCATTGTCTCAAAACACAAATGTTTATAGATTATAGACATAAAACCTTATTACGAAAGACTTTTCTGGAACACGACCTAGTGCCCATAATTTAAATGAAGGAACATTTCTTACGTTCCATTTCTCTTGTTTTAGGTTACTACAAAACCAACAGATGAATATTTTTATGCTGTACCTGATGCGTTCGCGGCAGCAAAGTTGGGGCCGGTTCTGACAAGACACATTCGAGAAATTACAAAATTAGGTAACCAAGTTTAGTTTTGTATTTCGGAATAAATTTGTTGTTGTTTTGTTTTGATAATTTACAACCAAAGTTTAACAATATATATATATATAATCACGCAACTGGAATTCACAAAAAATTATCCAGAAAAAATGTTTCGACTGGAAATTTTGTCTGAAATAGAATTTAATTTAAACGAATGAAAGTATGCTCAAGCGGGATCGCTCCTTTTTCATGTAGTTTAACTGGTGTAATGTCATAAAGGCACTGTAATTAGGTGATGCAATGGGTACTCCTGTAGTATGCAAACCAAAATAGCGGACACCGAAACGCAGTATGTGTACCAGGTTAAGGTTGGGCCATAATTTTATTCCAATTTCCATATTTGAGCTCTATAACGAGTTCGGGGACTAGCCAAGTGACTCCCGTAGTATTTGTACCTGAAATTATGGCCTACCCCTAACCTGGTACACATACTACGTTCTAGTGTCCGCCATCTTGGTTCGTATACTACAGGAGTACCGTGCAATCATCTATAGCGAAACTGTAAATACTTTATATTATTGAAATTAAGATGAAATACTTTATTAAGAATGTAAAAACACAAAAACAAGCATGGTATTTGTTGTGGACAATACTAGTACGATGGACGAAGATAAGTTCAATCTTATAATACGAATGTTGTCAAATATCGCGAGTGGAATGAGCGTAGATGGATCAACGTCATTCCTTTCTATGGTGCTCAGAGGAGAAGGAAGTGAAGTATATAGATTGCAGGTAACGTAGAAAACAAGACAAAACTGTATACTCTCTAAGTGGGGCTATTAACACAATGAATTTAGCTTAAAATATGCATTTATAAACAACTCATATGCCTATACAGCCAATAAAATATGCATATACCGCCAATGGCACAACCATATACAACCAACCCAATATATATATGAGAAGGCGAAATTTATAGATTGCAGGTAATTATCGCACATAACGAGACTGAATTTGGGTACTTTCGAAGTATGTGAACCAAGATGGCGGACACTGGAACGTAGTTTATAGCAACCTGTTTCTTGCTCACTATAACTCCATGGTGACATAAAATGTCGACGTGACATAAAAACTATTGATGGTTTGAATACAAGTTTGGGACGATATCCCACAAGTAATTAGGATGATTACCTCATGTTGATCTGTTCAAAACAAACTTATTTTTTATTTGAATTCAGAAAATAAATGAAGGCAATGTACGGATCATTTTATCACGCATTCCTTTGGAATTAGCTACTGTGGACGCGTTGCAAGCTCTTAATATAATTGTAGAACAAGGGTTTGATGACGTCACAGGTGATCGATATAACGTGCCAAAGACTGTTTTTCTTGTTACGGATGGAGATGGAGCTTTTGAATTTGATGAAGTCATCGACACTACAAATGTAAGATGGGTACTTTTAATGGATTTATTACACTTAGGTACAATACAACAAAATAATAATACAGATAATATTAATACATTATTGAGTTGATGAGAATCGAATATAACTTACTAGTTGGCGTAGAATGTTATAGGATGGCACTTTCATATTTATCACCGGGAGATGAAATCCGAAAAGACGGCTTAACCCTATGACAAACCACGGCCTTTCGTCCATGTTGGAATAGGTGACCGGTTATTTGTGTTAGGTGCATGAACAGATGTTTCGTTAGTTCATAAATTAACTCAGTCGTTCCTAATCATTTAGGACTCGTGGCCCCAAATTCCAAATACTATTATGTTCAAACAATTCGTGCTCAACAAAGTGAAAATAACCATATCAAGCGATGAAATTAGGAAGTACGGGGAGTTTTCTTTGTAAAGTGAAAGTAAAATCATTTTTGCGCACTGGTAACCGCTAGCATTAGCCTAAACGTAGCGCCTAACACAGGGTGCAATTAACTCAGCCAATATAAACATTATTAGTTTCTTCATAATCTGCCATTAATTAAAAACCTGGAGAGGTGACGAGAGTAACCACAAAAGTGTTTCGCAGCCTTTCCAAAACCTTGTTCGACTACACGCTAAAAATAAGTGTACAATAGCATTAACGTTTCAGAGTTCATAACGATTTTTATTTTCGTAGCTTTCCGAATCCGGGATTGATTTGATAAAAATAGTAGTCAGAGATATTCCTAGTTTTTCAATCATCGACGATTTTGAAGTTAACGACGATGACACAACGGAAACGATACCCCAAGATAATTCTTATGAAATATCGGTTGATTCATATGAAGATCTATCAGGAGTTCCAGCAAAAGTAATCGATCGTCTATGTAGAGGTGAGTTTAAATTAGAAACTTTTATTCATGAGAGATTGGCTCTCACTTTTCTTAGTGTATTATTAGACTTAACCGGACGCTAAACATTCTGTCCTACTGTTGGTAGCAAAGCAGTGAAATTGCCCTGACAGACTCCGATTAAACATTTTCTCAACTTCACTATTAATTTGTTTTGTGTTTAAAGAAGTAACTCCGACGGAAAGTAGGTCCGATTTAAGGATTATTTGCCGCCGGTATTGTTTATGTACGTTACAGCGAGTATTCTTGAAATTCCCAGAGTTTATGAGTATTTCTTATAATACAGTGGGTCGTAATATAGTAGGTTTTATTTCTGCATTTTGTATTTGCACCTCCAAGATTTATTTCAAAATTATTGAATACAAATTATTTTCATTCGCAGGTGCTGTGTTCTGTCCAAGAATGTCTGGCACATCTGGAAGACACGGTATGTAGCAATTTATATATATTTGTAATTTATTGTCACGAGTTAAAAGCAAGTTAACCGTCTCGCAAATTGCTAGGTAGTTTTCTGCCAATCCATTTGTATACTTTTGAAATTTAAATACCTGGCAATCAGCCCTGCAATTTAGTATTAATTTTGTTACTCCCGTAGTATGTGTACCAGGTTAGGGTTAGGCAATAATTTTATTCTGAATTTCTTTATTTTAGTTCTATTACGAGTTTGGGGACTGTTTGTGTTAGCCAAGTGAATATACCCCCCTGTCCATAGATTTCGGACCCTTTGTTTTACACAACTTGATGTAAAGTAGGCAAACAAAATTAGTTACCTACATATTGGTAAACACATTTCTGCAGCGCCCTAATTTTTGCATTTGGTCATCCTGCAAGATTGAAGCCCTAAAATTCTAAATTTCAATATGCTGTTTGTGCACCAGGTTATAATTTACTGGAATCGATGAATCTCCATGGAAATGCAGATAAAATGAAATTAAAAATGAGAAAAGGAATGGCTGAAGATTCGTTATCATACCGATTTCAAGGAAGGACTCGCGCATTTCGACCAAAAAAGTTAGTTGGAACATTCACGAGTTGATTCATTTCGAATTTATTACCAATCATAATGCCTTTATGTCAATATTTTCATTTTCATCGTTAGATAAAGGTGCAGTCCCCGGTTTCATAAAGTTATTTGTTTCTGGCCCTCGTGTATATAAGGCTTGCACACCCCTGTAATGTAAACGATCAAGTCTTTCATGAGGTTCGACTCAGCATTATTTTCTGTAGTACTCCTTCCAATTACAAATTATTTTCTGAACTCCTGTGCTTACATTACAGCGAAGTGTTTCCAAATGGATTCCCGACGTCTAATTTTTCAGTCGTTGCTCTCCTACGAATGGGAAAACAATTACGAACATCTGATGTATGGCATTTAATCGAATTAACAGACGATTCAGAGGCAGTTGAGTTCTCAATAAACCGAGATGGCAATGCCAACGAGATTGGCGTGTATGGGTGAGTTTTAGGCCATAATTACACACCAAAGAGTAATATTTTGATATTATTGTCGCCGGGAAAATATAAATGTAACTGCATTGATATCAGCAGAATGAATGAGGCATCATGTAAGCTAACGTTATTTTTATTGAGTAAGTTTTACAAAACTGCTCTTAGACAATAATATTAGATATTTTGGACTGGTTAAATTGTGATTTAAAATATACAAAATAGGGATCTCCTGAAGTATGCGCACCAAGATGGCGCACAACCTGAATTCAGTATGTATACCAGGTTAGGGTTCAGGTTCTGCGACATCTTGGTGCGCATATTTCAAGAGGACCCAAAATAGTTTGTTTTGCAGTTGTTGTTGTTTTTGCGGTAAATCAATGCATTTTCGCGATAAAGTTTTTAATTTTCTATGTTATGTTATGTTTTCTATGTTATGAATATCGATAAAAATGTACTGTAATGATCTTAAGGGAAAAATTTTGTTGTTTCCGGGAAAGAAAGAAATCTATATTATTTTGTATAAATTCGGTGTAGTTTTATTAACATTTTTTTACTTATTTAGTATCATTGTATAAAATATTTATGACCACATTATAAGCTATCCCAGAAATATATTGAAAAAGCTTGGAAACCACTGTCACAATTTATGGCGTGTAAATATTATTTACTATATAACGTTAGAAACGACGTTGAGTTTACCTATTTTTTTCAGAGCATCAAGTCCTCCAGAAATTGCTGTATTTCGAGGTCCTAGAGTGGATTCATTGTCAAACAGAGATTGGCATAAGCTACAATTTTTATTCAGCGGAGATTTTGTGGATCTTTATATAAACTGCCAAAAAGCAGGGAGGTAAATATAGTATATTAAAACGGGGATTTCAAGTAAAAATATATATAATGTGAAAAGTAAACCGAAGATTACCGAAACTTTGATTCGTATTCGTAAAACAAGCTTTAGCCACCGAAAATTTTGAAGAAATTAAAGCCATCTAAACCAATTCTTGGAGCGCAAGTTTTACAAAAATAAATAAAAGTAATAAAAGTTGGTCGCAAACCGAAAAGTTTATATATACAAAACATAAATAATGGAAAAAGTAAACCGAAGATTATCGAAACTTTGATTCGTATTTGTAAAACAAGCTTCAACCCCCGAAAATCTCAAAGCAATCGGACCAGTAGTTCAAGAGAAAGGCGATTTATTTCAGAACAACAGTATAATAATAAAAGATATAGGTCCATTTCGTGTTCAATAACGATTGCGATTTAGTTATGGTACTTGGGACACGTGGCTTCAATGCATCGTAAGCAAACTTATATTTATAGAGTGAGTTTTACAAAAATAAATAAATATAATAAAAGTGGCATTAAAAGTGGGCCGCAATCCGAAAAGGATTGGGAGCACTGCTCCAAACAGTGCACTGTTCGTTTGTAAACAGAATTAAATTATGGATCTGCAAAAAACGTGTTCAATATTAGCAACCACGCAAAAATGAAATCACGTTGATATATTTATTATCCATTGTGTAGCAAATTTAGCATATTCAATCTATAATAATGGGGAATTCAATACAAAATAAATATTAGATGAAAATTAACTTTACAGGGCGACCAAACTTCAATTTCCAATTGTAAAAATAATTAGGGTATCTGGGACTCATACCTTTCATGTATTGTTTAAACTTTAAAAGATATGAAACTACCAAGAGAGTATACAGTTTTCAGACGTAAACAAATTAGGAATCTGCGACAACCGTGTGTGATATTATTAGTAACATTGCCAAATACAATAATGTGCATTTATATATATTGAGCAATTGACCAAAACTGAAATTTTCTTCAGGCAATCATTTCGAGCAAACAACGTTGGAATAACGAAACATGGAATCGCAAGAATTGGAAAATCTTTCAGCAGTAAAAAATCAGCTTCAGTAAGCTTCAACTACGCACTTCATGTTTTTTTTTATATATATTTATTATTTTGTTCGCATGTTTTTAAATGAATAATCAACGTAATTTCAAACAATCTGTCGACTTTTGCGAATCAGAACATCGGTGATACACGAAATTAGGACATTTTGATCATGATCAATTATAAACACTTAATTATATTTTGTCTTTTTTAAAAATAAACTACAAATAGCCAAATTTTGTAATCCTGATTGTTACTACAAAAAACTTCCCAATTTTCGTTTTTTTCCATTTTTCGTTCTATTTTTTATATCCATACTTCTGACACCATTTCCCCTTTAACAAGTATCTTTGCATTGTGAGTTGTATATAACAATAACAAACAGACAATGAAAATGCAGAGATAGTACCTAGAAAGCCATCAAAACTTGTAACTAAAAACATACGAGTACGCGCTCGATAACCAAAATTAGTGAAACACAAGATAAATCAACAAATACGATGTAAAATCAGGCAATAACTTTTAAAATCAATTTAAGTTGTGAATATACCATACATAAGAAGAACAGGGCAACATATTTAACACTCTAGTATTCAGTTATATTTATCAATCACGAGTTCTTTTCAATTTTGTTTAGTTCGATATTCAACGACTCGACATATTATGCGGATTAGGCGGTGAAATTCAAAGTTATATGGAAGGCTGTTGTGACGTGAAAGGATATAAAGGGAAAGAGGTGAGTTGAAAAAAATCGTTATTGACTGGCGTCTCGTTGCAAAGATAAACCCATATAAAGTTCATAGCTCGTCAGCTGCAACTTGCATTTATGTATCCACACTATTCTTTCCACATTTAATTGAAATTTCGAAATTTACCGGAGAAAAACTTGCATAAAAGTAGTGTCTTGTGCTTGCAATGAAAATGCAAAGAATTTTAAATCCAGATTTTAATAAATTCGACCTGCATCAAACTACTAAACGTTTTGGAAGTTTTTGTAATAAAGGTGCTAATATACATTTAACAAGGCAATATAATCGCTATCAGTTGTTTGTGTTTCTAGCCTTCACTGCATTAGGGTAAAGAATAATCATTTTAAAATGTATTTTCAGTGCATCGGAGAAGTTATCGATGCCCCTGAATCCACTCCAAAGCTTGACTTAGAAGAAAAAGTACCATCATCAGCAGGTGGAGGTGGAGGAACGACTGGGATTATCATACAAAAAGAGGAATGCAATTGCCCTCCTGGACCCATTGGTCCAGCAGGTTCCTCTGGCGCACAAGGATTAAGTGGTGAAAAGGGTTCTAAGGCAAGTGGCATAGAATCTTTAAACAAATCATTAAAGCAATTCAAAATATAATTGTACTGTTCGATTAAATATCAATATTTATACTAAATGTAAATCAAAACCTGCTTGAGCTATATTGAGAAAAAGTTGAACATTTTATTTGGTCAGGTTTGAAAAAAAAATAATTTAATAATAAACATTTTGTTCAGGGCCTAGATGGATTTCGTGGAGTACCCGGTAGCAAAGGCGAAAAGGTGGGTTGTTTTATTTTTGTAAGGTATTTTTACATAATATCAAAAAAATAAGTTTGCTACTTGTGCCAATTTACGGTTTCCAAATAAGGTAAGTGCAGTTAGGTTAGATGTACGGATTGATTCAATAAAGCAAGTATGTAATTACAGCATGTGGAATTTAGAAACATGTGACCTAAAATAGATTTGAGAAGAGTCGCAACGGGCCGTGAGATCAATAATATCACAATACAATAACAGTTACATCCGTAGCTTACCACAGCTGAAAAGCAAATGAATTCCGACTGTACTCGTGCGCCCTCGGTGGTTCTGAAAGAAATGTTAGTTCCATTAATAAGACAAAAAATGGCGACCACGAAGTGTATACAAAAATGAAAAATATTTCAATGTACTTCAATTATTTTGAAGGGTTTTTAAAATATCCTATTTTTGTTCAGGGTGATGTGGGACCGGCCGGACCTCCCGGTGGAGGTGCCGGTGCGGCAGGAAGTGGAATAGGAGCTACTGGCCCTCGTGGACAACCTGGACCGCCAGGTCCGCCTGGATTACCTGGGATATCATCTGGTCAAAGTATACGCGGACAGAAAGCGTTCGGGATGGTAAATAGAATGCATATTTTTTTTTAAATAAAATTGGTATTGTGAGGAATTCTGCCACGCATCGAATTTTTTTATGGCATTTTTATGCGTCTACAATTCAGGGTGGTCCACATGTGGCCGCGGCTTCATTATCTGTGGCCCGCGGAGAGTATATAATAAATCGTATTTGGTGTTTATCCACCATAAATCAACCAGAAAAATTGTTTGACATATTGTTACATCATTAATGTCACTGAATTGACTAGTGTTATGGGTAGCTGAGGCAACTAGCAAAGTTGAATTATGTGCTTGGCAGTATAAATTGTTATCTGGCCTTCTATCTTTTTGGTCTGGTATATATGCTAACAATTTTGGCATCATAGAAAAGTAAAAATTGAATGCGGATTCTATTAGCTTAGGTTGGCTATGCCAGATAACTAAATATTAATGTTATGGCCTAACAACATAAATCATGCCTGGTGTTTTTTGCAACCATCATAAACAGTATTACAAAAAATGCTGCTTATATGTCGTAACCACATCCTGTACCTCACATTCGGTAATCTATCAATCTGCAGTTACATGTAAGTGATTTTGTAAACATGAGTTTGAAAGGAAAGGTGACGAATTCAAACAGGTTTTCAACTGGATGTGGGAGGGAAAATACCACAATGAATAATATGTTGGCAAGTTGTGTCGGTGACAAAAAAATATAATTTATAACGGCATTTTAGAATCTTGTGAGCATTTTCAAAAGTTAAGATTTTGCCTTGAAAATCGATGTTCGAAAGCATTTTTTCCATTATGTAGAGTTTGAAATCATACACTAAATTTAGATATAGAAAGACTTTGCAAGTTTTAGTATGTTTTTTGGTGGTTTTTGCGTGTTTTAGTTTGATAAATGACAAATATTGATCAATGTGTTTGCACGATAAAAGTGTTTGTTTTGCATTGCACTGTTTACCTTTTCTTGGCACTATTGTGGCTCGCGAACAATGAAAAAATAATTTTGTGGCCCCCGGAGTCGACAACCTTGTACAACCCTGGTCTACATGCAAATTTTTTTAAATACTGATTCATGATCATTAGCTATCGTTTTGTCTTATTCATAATCCCTCAATATTTGGTTTGTGAAAATTTAATATTACAAGCTTTAGTGTAATTAATGCCAATACACCTTTAAAAATATCACTCATACTCTTGCTCGGCCTCCCAACATTTCTGTAATTTTCATTGACTGCAATACCAGCATTAGACAAGAATTCAGTTTTTGTTGTTTCTTATAGTAATGAACCTCTTTGATAGAACTGTTTTGCATCTTAGGCAGCATCAGATGCCAGAATGGAAACCATCGCACAAACAGAATGTCGAAACATGATTAATCGTAAGTTCTATCCATATATTTGTTACAGCTGCGTCTTGCATAAACGATTTTAAAAACTTTATATAAGTTTGCCATGAGGTGTGATAAAAAAGAGAAAGCGTAAGATCGGGATTAAACGTTCTGTGTTTAATTTGTTTCAGAAATTTTACTATTGGCTTGATTCGATAGAGTAATGCGCTCTCCGATCGTTTTAAATATCATTATTCTTTTTCGCATTCACGAACGCAATGTTGCAAAGTCCTAAAAGTGCAAAACCACGTAAAAGGACTTGAGTGAATACTATAGAAGGCAATACCGGTCAGATTCAAGCTGACTGTGCGTAAATGCTTGTATCAATTACCTGTCTATTATCTCAATATATTTCATTTATAAATAAATACCAATTTATTTGATTGTAGGAGAAGTGCCCCGAATTGTAACGATGCTGTTAGAAAGCTCAACCTTCACAGAGATGTATCGAGGACCAAAAGGTTCTCGTGGGTTGTCAGGGAGTATTGGGATACAAGGTGCACGTGGTCAATCTGGACTACAGGGAATACCTGGGCCGCGTGGAATGCAAGGACCAGTTGGAGAAGTTGGCCCAGTTGGACAAAGAGGTTAAAATACGTATATATTTATATTTGTTCATATCGTTTGGGAAATGGCAAAATACATAGGTTCCTACAGGCTTGTTCGTGGGAATGGGATTCCTATGGGAAACGTCCCATGGGATGAGATTGGATGGGACAGCACACATTTGTACTTCCCATGGGACACGAAAACCGTATGATTTTTCGGGAAATGATGATAAAACACTTGTTATAAACTTCGTGTCCATATATTTGAGCATAACTATCTTGTCGGTTATAAAGAGCAAAATATATTCAACATTAACAATATACTTCGTGAAGGGGCCGATGGAAACATGTATAGTAGTTGTGAATATAAAGTTAACGAAGTCAGTAAATTTTATTGTTTTTTCATGTCTTTTTGTACAGGTAGTCCTATTTAGTAGTCGCTAAACCTAAATTTAACAATTTTTATTGAATTGTATTTCAATGGGAATCCCATGAGATGGGATGGGACAGGCATAATTGCTGTAGGTGGGATGGGAATGGGAGAGAAAAATATGTCCCATGGACAAGCCTGGCTTATCTAAGATAGCTCAATTGACGTCATTGAATATTTATAATAATTTCCACAATTCACGGTAAGTTGACTATTGATCGGTGATCGTTCTTCTCTCCTTGTTTTTTTTCTATTATCTATTAGTCGCTTCACCAATGATGTAAAAACTAAAATAACCGAATACCGACTCATACTTCAGGTCCCAAAGGTGAAAGAGGAGAACGGGGTAGCCACGGATATGGGATACCAGGTACGCAAGGAATACCAGGAATCCGTGGTCCTCCTGGTGAAACTGTTCATGGAACACCAGGACACAAAGGAGATGTAGGATTACCTGGCGAGCGTGGACGTCCCGGACTCCCAGGAGCAAGGGTAATTTTTCTATATTTCACACTTTAGCTTCAAATGAAATCTCCGTAAAATACTTCTTGCGACTCATTGAGCTACCTATTCATTATCAAGTGAGTTTGTGATTAGAAAGCAGGCTTTTTCAAACTTTCTGTTTATTGGTATCCTTTGGACATTCATAAATTTACTCGTGCACTTTTAAAATGACCTCACGTGCTGTTATTAGACAAAGAGAGTCCTGTGAACTGCGAATGTATACTTGGTAGTTACTGTAGTTGTAGTTAAAATTTCTACTTCCTAAAGAATTCATAAATTCAAGTCTTCAAGGTATTTAACATCAGGTGATAAAGATATTTTCAGGCAGATTAGAGGATTATAAAAAAACATTCTTATACTAAATTTAATTTACCCGTTAAAAAGTATATTGAAATGTAAATCTGGGAATACATGTACCCCAGTTTGAAAACTCTTGTTGTGGAGGATTCTAAACGTAGGACTCAAAGACTCAACATTATAGTAAAATTACTGTATAATTTGAAAAAGATTGCATTTAAATTTTTTTTCCACACTTTAAAATGACATAGACAGGCTAGTTCGACTCATGAGAAGAGGGACCTCCAGAAGTATGTGCACCAAGATGGCGCACAACCTGAACATAGTAGTTGTACCAGGTTAGGGTTCAGGTTGTGCGACATCTTAGTGCACACACTTCAGAGCGCCGAGAAAAGTAAGGTCCGGAGATCAAATTACAAAGCACTATCATACCATTTGAAAATCACATCTAAGACTTTTTTGCGTTGCAAAGTTGTCGATGGCCGTTACTGTTAAGCTCAGATGAACGAAATTACTTGGATGCATTTTCTATTGATGGCTCGCTTCATCTATTTTTGCAAACCTTCGTTAAATTGTCAGAAATAAGTTGAAAATATATTTTAATTTAGGGACTTCACGGAGCTGCTGGGCGGTGCGACCCAAACTACTGTTATTCGGCAGCTTATCTGTGGATGTCTCAATCACGGGCAGACAATTCTGATATAAAAGGATGAAATAGTACTTTGGTTGTTACCATTGATTACTACTATTTAGCTCAAAAGTGAAATTCAGTTTGACGTTCAGTTATCCGTTCTTTGTCCATTTCTGTTCTATATTTTATATTATCAATACTTCGATTGCAAATATTTTAACCAAGTTAATAATCCCGATCTGTCTTGATTAAATAAAAGAGTTTATTTGATTATGCCGCATGAGTTGCAGTCAATAGTTGTGCTTCAGCTTTGTGTTGTGCTGTATTCACTATTGTTTTGCGTCCAAGTGCTAGTTCCATTATTTTTAGTTGTTTTATTGAAATACTTCAATTTTGTTCAGCATAATGATACAATGTGTAGTTTTTGATGTTTTAATCATCATTTTGAATCCAAATATACTTCCATTTCCAAGCCTTGCTGGTTATTTTGCTAGTAGTTTCGTGGATGCCGACGAAATGGCGTATTGATATAACCTGCTTAATATTAGAAATTGCAGATGTATAAGAGTGGAATAAAAGTTCCCACTCGACTGCTAGCAAATAAAATTTAAAAACGCTAAAAATGTTCATTATGTCATAAAATTCAGCATACAAATGTAAATTAAAACAGAAATAAATAAACTTGTTGGATGAGGTGCACACTCAGTGAGTTGGCGCTACCTACGTACCTATTCCATAATTATAACGATAAGCAGCATTTAAGCCTAACAGGATATAATGACGTTTTCAAAACAATAGGAATGAATCCAACGGAAAATGAAACACAAATAAAGATTATGATACATTAGCAGGCATCAATGGCTTCCTTCAAAATGTTATTCACTGAGTTCAAATGTTAGAGCGATAAAAAAATTACTGCTCAGGGGAATATAGGTAGTTGATTTTGTTTATATTGTAAGTGATATTTATGTTCTGAACTGAAAGTAACATTGAGTTACTACAAATGGTAAACAGTAAACCCATCGCTTTTACAGGGCATTGACTAGTTTAGATTAGAAGTCATAAGATATTTGGATTGCGCTTGATTAGTGTTTACTTGTTTAGTGTTTATACCAATATGGAGGTAACTAATTTTGTTTGCCTACTTTACATCAAGTTGTGTAAAGAGACTGAAACCTATGGACAGAAGGTATAATCACTTGGCTAGCACAGCCAATCCCCGAACTCGTAATCGAACTAAAATAAGAAAAATTGGAACAAAATTATGACCTAACCTTAACCTGTTACACACACTACGGGAGTGTCATTTGGAGAATTGATACCTTTCCGACAATAATTTTTTTTCAATAACTTCATTTATATAAAATTCTCTACTTCATAGACGTTTTCTTGATCGTATCAATTTGCATTGCTCTCGAACCCGACACCTCACGCACCACCAGAATTCATAAAGTTTCAGTAGCGTCTATCATTTCATTGTTGACTCCATGTTTGCTCAGAGATAATACCTCTTTACTTCGGAGAAAGTACGCATGACCTAGCTTTCAATCTAATCTCGAAAAATCTATTTTAAGGCATAAATTGCCGTAAAATCGCCTAGTGCCCCAGGAATCTTTAGATTAAAAATATTAGTTACTTTATTAATTTACTTTAGTCAAATTAAAAGAACATTACGTCGGATTGCCGGCAAATTGCCGTCATTTGTGATGCTGTGTATAATGAGTGTTTACGGGTAAGACGTCTAAAATAAAATACCAGTAAATCCCATTTATTATCATAATAATCGTTATACTTATAATCTGATTAAAATGTTACGCAATCTATAGCAAAAAATTTAAAATAACTTTTATTAACAGGAACAGAACTCATATTCTTTTTATAATTATCATCATATTTTAAGCATATATCATCTGTGGCCGTTTCAAACTCTAGACAGCGTCGATTCAGAATTAAGAATTCGATATTTGGTGGTCTGAGTCGTGAGAAACAAAACCTGCTGTGACGTAATACGAATTTCTGTAATGTTATCTGGAACGATAATTTGTGCTAAATTAAGATTACTTGATAAATAAAACGACTATTATAGTAAATGTTTTTTCTTTATTGAGGTATGCCAATGATATTTGTGCGTCAAACAGTTCAGAATTACGTCAAATCAACTAATATTTAGACATACAATTTGATCATATTCAAAAAATGTTCGTTCATGTTGAACAAAGAAAAGAATCGTCTGGATCTTTTGTAGCAAACTCTCGCCACTAGTGTGTAGAAAAGTACGATTTAAAAAAAAAAAACGCCACGCTTTCGAGTACTACAAATTCAAAAATTCAAATGTTTAAATCAAGACAATTACGAAGTTTTTCCGATTATAAAATCAATTATGTAATATTCTTTTTATCATTTCTATTCAGAACACTGTATATTTTAAACGATTGAAGTAATTCCCAATATTATCCAATATAGTTACTCCCAAAAACGCCTTGATTATGACAAAAAAATGATCAAACTGAAATGACTTCAAAACCTACATTTGTAATACACGGACGTTACATGATGAATATTTTTGTAAAACTTCTAACAACATCTTTGTATTCCCACGCAACCGCGTCTGAATGACGTATTGGACAAATAATATCATCGTATCAATTTAGATCGTTATTAATATCGAATAAATAAAAATCCCGATAATAAGGAAGGACCTAAACAGCTAGGCCAAGTAAGAATATTCTATTGGTCAGTCTTGCACAATAAATCATTTGATATATTTGTATATTTATGAATTCAGTTTGACCAATTCTTAAAATATTAATAAAGGTAGAACTTCTTTTTTCGCCTGTTTTTGTGTATGCAATTCCGCTCAACTATTATCTGACCAAATGTTATGGCGATTTTGCTGGTTATAAAAGAGGGATGAGTTGATAGCAAAATGACATTTCGATCACGATTGTGACTTACGAAAGAACAAAATGAAGTTATTCGTTTTATTCAGTCTTGTCTCTTTGGCATTGGCCAAGAAAACATTTTTTGGGTAAGTTCCGATTTATAAGGATTTTGGGGTCACTGGACTTGATCTCGAGTCAACCAAAAAACAGCTCGGAAAGAACATTTCAAACTCTGACTCGACTTGGCTTACATCTAGGGAGACTTGACTTGGGACTACCAGATAATTTTGAGCGACGCGACTTCTCTTTGTCGACTCACGGTAGGAATTCAACGCTGACATATATGACAAAATTATTAGATATATTCACCAATGTATAATTCAATTAAATGAAAGAGTTTGTTGATCCGGAATTAAAACTGAAACAAAATAGAATCAAAAATATTTTTATTCACCCACTCTATCAGATATGAAATTAACATTGTGCAGAGTAAAAATATTAAAAAATATTGGATACATTCATTGTACAAAGTACTCCATTAAATCTAATCTAATTAGTTCAGAATAATTTTCTGAAATGAAGGAACCTGTTGTTAGCGACGGGAACGTGTTCTTAAACGTTAACATAATGTAAATGAACAATGCATATATTCAAAGTACGTTAACATGCGTATTCCTGATTTAATCTATCGTTCCATTTTTGATAAGCTAATTTTGTTTTCCAGAGATCAAGTTCTAACACTCCATCCAACAACTCAAGACCAAGTTGAACTGATCAGAGGATATGAGAACGAGGTACAAAGAAATCTTAGTTTTCAATTCATTACATAAAAGATTTATTTACTCTCGTGATTGGTGTACTAGCAAAAAATTGATAGTTTGTTTATACACATACAGTATAATGTTTGCATCAAATCTACATTTTTAAACATTGTAAATGTGAAATGGCCAGATAAAAAATGAGACAAACTATCAACCTCAATTTGAAAAATATATATTTTAAATTATATGAATTACCTATTATTAACGGAAGCGGAAAAAGATTTCTGCCTTGAATAGGTTTGGAATATAACGCCAGTGTTCCAGTTACTTGTTTAGTCTTTGGATATTCGATACTCAATATAGAGCCCTGGTTCCCAACCTTTTTACCATGGCGAACCGGTAAAATTAAATAAAACGTACTCGCGGACCGGACCACATTTCACATGCGGAAAAACTATCAAATAATGTGCCGGCCAAAAATTGAAATGGGTGGGACATGAAATAATAACATATATTTGCATAATAAAATGCAGTGCTGGGCACCCATTACGCGTAAAAAAGCACAAATCTCATATAAAAAACATGTACATGTCAAATGTACAAACACAATTACCTCCAACTCCAGTGAGAAATTCGGACAGTTTGAGAGCTCAAGAAGGAATTATGACAATGATTATTTTATAAATCTGGACTGTAAAGTAGAGGTTTCATCATATCAATCCCCCTGCAGTTGATCGACGCACCAAACAAAATGAATTTATATTACAATGATAAAGTCGTTGCCAACTTGGCACCTGGCTCAAAATCCTGCTGTGCATCACCCAGAAAAGTTATCACCGTCCCATGCTTTTGTTGAGCGTCTCGTAACTACCTGCAGGGTCGCAACAAGTTGATATCTCGCTGGGTGTCAAGGTGAAGCTCAGGAATATTATACTGTTCTTGGAGTTTTCTGGTTTAAACAGAGAAATATTCATAACCTTTTATTTGAATGGTAATATTAATCAAGAAAAGCATGCAGAACGGAAAAAACACACATGCTGATTTTTAGGTTTCTAAATCTTGACAGATTTGACGGAGCGCTTCAGCGATGACTCGGAACTGTAAAAGCGAAAAGTGTGATTACTCGGCGCCAAGACGTCGCCGGGCAATTAATACCGCAATTATCGAATAGTGATATGACGGCGAAAAAGAAATTGCGTGATAAACCAACGTAACTTCGTCTCATTCATCAAGAAAAGTATGCAAAACAGAAAGAGCGCGCATGCTGATTTTCAGGTTTCTGAATCTTGCGAGATTTGATGGAGGGCTTTTGCGATGAATCGGAACCGTAAAAGCGAAAAGTGTGATTATTCGGCGCCAAGACGTCGCCGGGCAATTAATACCGAAATTATCAAATAGTGTATGACGACGGAAGAGAAATTGCATAATAAACCAACGTAACTTCGTCTTTTCGGCTTCGATAAAGCGATTGAGACGGCAGGAAAACAACAAAATGAAATTTCTCGCGGACCGACAGAAAAGCTTCGCGGACCGGCGGCTGGGAACCCCTGATATAGAGTATCCCAATTAAGTACTATTGCCTAGTAATGTGCTTAATTTGAAATATACCATAAACGAATGGAAAAGTATTTCTAATAAAATTGGCATGCAAAAAATGCTAAAGAGGATCATGAAAATGTAGTTGAAAACATTGAATATGAATTGACTTTTTAGTTTTGAATATTTCAAAGCAATCTGTTGTTATTTAGATTGATTTTTGGAATCCTGGCTACCCCAGTCAAGTGCACGAAAACAATCCAGTTGACGTCAGGATAGAAAAGTAAGATTTTTGAATTTATTAAATTGTATTTTCAATATTTGTTAACATGTATCCGATTTGGAATTGTAAGAAATATGATTTTGTTTGCTTTCGTGCGTGCAGCCACAGATCGAGAAAATTTAAAAATGAATAAAAATTTTTGCTGTAGAATAGTGCATATTGAAATAGCGGATTTCGTGTGTGAATAGAACAAACAAAAATCTACATTTTGTATCATTCTCCGAGTGAAGCCAACCTTTTTGCATAATTTTTTTTTTCATCGTTTGGAATGATTCTTTTGGATAATATATGAATGTTTGTTCTTCGAATAAAACTGCTATAATGCAATTCAAATCAGATTCCATTCAATTATCCTATTTTAGAAATTTCACAGAGTATGTTGAACATTTAAAATCAAAATTTAAATTTTATTTTAATAATTCAGATTTCAATTGATGAAATTTAAGCGTACGATGAAAGACGCAGGAATTAATTTTGAGGTAGGTGCTTTTAGTTTTTAAGATTAAATCTTAAAAGGATATTTCGTAAATGGTAGAGTTCGAATTACCGCATCAATAAAGGTTGTTATAGACATGTATTGCTAATCAGACCAAACATATCAATCAGATATATCTCTAAGTTACTCGAATATTGAAGTCTCTGTCTTTGAGCAGATTTATTTTTCGACCCACCAAGATGGCGCACAACCTGAATCCCAACCTGGTACACATACTAAGTTCAGGCTGTGCGCCATCTTGGTGCACATACTACGGGAGTACCAAAACAAAACGTTTCAAACCCCCGTTGAACTATTAAATACCAGAGTAATATCAAAAAAAAACATAAGAAAATGACATGTCATAGAGTCTATGACGATTTAGACATAGACGAAGTATGAAAACTTTCAATACTCACCCTTCAAAAACAAATGCGCATGCGTGCGTCCAAGAATCATATGAAACATCATGAATTCAGGTCAAAATAGGAGATGTCCAGATGGCGATTGATGAACAAGTTGAACCAAGAAGAAATCATCCTAAAGCATTGCTTGGATATGATTACTTCATATATCACTCATACGATGAAGTAAGTGTTTTTAAATCAGAATACAAAACCGTTTGATCTTTGTCGTAAAGTGGTTAGTTAGATACGTTTGCTTTCATCTTGTGTGTAACGCTTTCAAATTAACTTAGTATAATTCTAGTAAAAACAGTAGACGTAGGTATAAGTGCAGAGCTAAAATTGTTTTTTCTTCATATCGGCCGCTGTGCAAATCCTCTCCAACAAGTTTTCTAAACACGTGGAAAGTGGTGTAAACTATTAGAAATACTAAGAAATACTAAGCTTAATACGCAACGTTTTTGAAATATCGAGTGGAGTTCTTGAATAATAGGGTTCTTTCTTGACTATAGGTCTCTATAGGAAAGCCTGCCTTTGATTTTTGGTATAATATTCTTTTATCCACATAATTATAGATAAAATGCGGTCCATAAATTTGCATTGCTCGTTTTAATTATCAGGTTACATAAATGAATCAATTGCAATACAATACAATTACAATGCTGTATCTTCTTGATTTTCCTAGATTAATAGTTGGACGATGGATATTGAACAACAGTATCCAACTTTGGTAACAAGAAGTGTGATTGGAACCAGTTGGGAAGGCAGAGATATCCCAATGCTCACTCTCAAAACCTCCGATAGCAAACCAGCTATGCTTGTTGATTGTGGATTTCATGCTCGTGAATGGATTTCTCCGGCTTTTTGCCAATGCTACGTTCAACAGGTGAATGACTAATGAAAACTTAGAGATGAGTTGATTATATTATGTAAAGAGGGCGTTTCATTATTTTGAAAATAAATTTATATATATATAAATCATCACAGAAAAAAATTATTTGAAAGATGTTCAACAGCCGTTGTATTATAACAACAAAATGATTGAACATGACATCTCATGGTAGCAGGTATATACAGTGAAGATCTTTTCATTATGTGGCCTAGATTAGAGGTGCCTCCACTATCTAATTCTATAAGACATCTGATATAAATCATATGTATGATATTTTTACAGCTGATAGATTCCGAAATCTTGAACGACCTGACTATTCACGTGATTCCCGTAGTAAACGTTGACGGTTATCAATACACACACACCAATGTGAGTGTTGTTTTGTAAATATTATTAATGATTAAAAATATGATTTGCGCTAATGATTTCTGCGAGAATTAGTACTTATTCTTCTTCTATACTTTTGTGCCGGTGCATATATTACAAAGATGCTGCAACAAGAGTGAATATAATTATTCCTAATGATTCAAGAAACATGCTGCACACAAAACTTCGTGCCAGACGTTACAGAAATATATATGTGTTACTGTGTAGTCTTGAATCACTTGAGATAAAATGTGATTAACGGCATATTGATAACATACGTATACGAAGTTGTACTTAAGAAGATGAATCATTTTGTACAATATTTCTGGTAGGATTTTTTGGATTGTTCAGTCTTTTTAATTCTGGAGCTAAATAAGTACTAAACGTTTTCTGTTAAATAAAATCAAGGCGTTGTATTAAAGAGCGTAAATGACTATCTCTTCATATCATTTCGTTGTGCGAGTGCCCTATTCCCCAATAACAAGCGGTGAAATACATGCAAATTGATCCACGCAATAACTGATGTTCTCAATTACCATTACAATGTCATATAATAATAATTAATAATATAAAAAGAGAGTAATGCTGTTAGCATCTCCGACAACGAGAATTGTACAAGCCCATATATTTAAATTTTCAGGACAGAATGTGGAGAAAAACTCGCTCCAAACGCGCAGGAAGTATTTGCTACGGTGTTGATCCAAACAGAAACTGTGATGCAGGATGGTCAGGACCAGGATCATCAGGATCCCCTTGTTCTGACACATACTACGGACCTTCTGCAGAATCTGAGCCTGAAGTGAAAGCCGTGGCAGATTTCATTCGAGCAAATATTAATTCACTGGTGAATATTTAAATATTATTTACATTTGAATATAATATGGTATTAACGTTTTTATACATGGCCTTTCAAATCATAAATAACGTGATATTGACTTTCTTTACAGAAAGCATACGTCACATTCCACGCCTACGGACAAATGATCCTATATCCTTACTCCTACCAGCTTCGCCTTGCTGATACTACAAAAAATTTGGTGAGTTCATGAATATTTTGTCTGGCGAAATCTTTTTGAGAGCCCTGACTTGGCATTTAGAATAGCGCACTAATACACAGGTTGAACTAGAGAAATGACATTAGAAATCAAAAATCTGGATATAAAATGAAATTTACTTGATTGTTACTATATATTTGGCGCAGAGTAATTAACGAATCGTTTTATAAAATACCGTTGTACTGATAACTCTTCCTAAACACTCTACTTGATTTAGTAAACCTCGAAGTCGAATTTCCTTCCGCATCATCTTTAAATTGTATTTAAGTTTCAAATTAGTAGGTTCACTACAACACTCAAGCGTATACAGAAACGCAAAATGTGAGATTTCAATCAATAATCCTTGTCATATAATCTACAGGACTATTACGCAGTTGCAGCTTATAATGCTGTCAAAACTCCGTTTGGTACAGAATATATTTACGGTCCAGGAGGCACGACTATTTGTGAGTATACTCATTGAGTTTATAATTTAATTTTCAAACAATCAAATCATAATGCATATTTCCTGTTTGCTATTGAGAAATTATGTCTAATCGCGAGGAATGCAGTACAACATTTTTAGACATAATACCGTCCCGTAGCTGAAGAAGCAAGCCCTAACAAACAATATTTCATTTGAATACAAGAACGGCACCCACGTCAACCCCCAAAAGTGTCGTGATTGTGTATTTTGACTGCTGTGAAAAGCAAACTTATTTTTTTTTTACCTCATGTGTATATACAAATGGCATTTTATAATACAGTCGTGTTTAATCAATAATGCCAAATTGATATTTTGCATGGACTCAATCTACAACCAGGACAAATAAAACAAAATGCAAATTAAATATTATCTTTTACATAGACTTGGCAGCAGGAGGTTCCGATGACTTTGCATACGATGCAGGGGTCCCACTTTCCTACACTATCGAACTCCGAGATGAGGGCAGATACGGCTTCGCTCTCCCAGCACGCCAAGTAAGATTTGAGTTTATATTTAAAAAATAAGATTTTTCAATTTGGTGGTTTCAAAACGAATGTTTAGTAATCAGGGATTAGTTAGAAAACGTATCTAACGTTGGTTGCCGCTGAGCCAAGCGTCAATTCTCCGTTACTGTATAAACACTGGTCATACAAGATGCAGGCGATGAAAGCGACTTCAATTCACAAACTTTTTAATTGTGTGTAGCAGACCCGTGAGCTATGTTAAATTAAGTGAATTAATGGTTTGTTTTTGTATCTAGCTGTAGTCAATAAATTTAAAAAAGAGAGGCTTGGATCCGGCTCGCTAGCTGTTACGGTCTGACTTGACTATTAGAAATTTTAGCACACCCACATACTCCATTTTCCTCTTTTTAAAAAATCCTGGCTACGCTCTCTCTGCGGGTGACATTAATCTAGTCGGTTGCCCGATAACTCCAGTAATTTTGATGTTTCGTACTAACCATGAAATATATTTTTTAGATCGAACCAGTCTGTGAGGAGACGTTCAATCTAATGGAAGTAATGCATCAGGGGGTCCGCGACATTAACGCTGGCGTATACAATGAGTCCTAGTAACAAACTACATTGAACTTCTGTTTAATAATTGTGTAATTTATTTGATTTAATAAATATCAATGTGGATGATAAATTTTGAAAAATTAATAAAATCATGAAATACATTTTGTCTGCGAAATCGACTGTTTGATCTAGGACATATTACTTGTACTTTGTGGTGAAATATGTAGTCCTTAATTCAATATTTTCTTTGATCGTTTTTTTTTTTTGGCGATATCTGAACCATTCGTTGTATTACTAGTGAAGAGTATTTACCGTTTTCAAGCTGTTCAAATGGAGAAAATGGTCTATCGCGCTTTGGGTGAATTGAATAATGTATATACGCCATAAATTTTAATGTTAACTTTTCATAACATTTCAATAGCGCTTCAAGAACCTTAAAAATTGAGTTACTCTCGTAATACGTGTACCAGGTTAGGGTTATGTATGGTATTTATTCCGATTTTCCTTATTTTAGTTCTATTACGAGTTCGGGACTGTCTGTGTTAGACAAGTGAATATACCCCCTGCCCATAGTATTCAATCCCTTTACACAACTTGATGTAAAGTAGGCATATTGGTACATACACTTCTGGAGCGCCAAAAATGATCGAAATAAAATGACAACAAAACCCATCTGTTTAGATTTCAAAGACAATGCTAAAATGCAAAAGCACGTAATGCATGCGAACATGTGTGTAACACACGGCCATTGCAAGATGAAGGATGAATATTTTTGTAAAACTTCCAACAACATCTTGCTTTTCCCACGCACTGAATGACGTACGACATACGTATTAGACAAATAATGAATTCGTACCAGTTAATCGTTAACAGTAATTCATGCCTGTTATACAATTTTCAGCATGACTAGGCCAAGTGAGAGTTTCGATTGAAGTTTGATACGCATCAGTATTGCCTATCAAGTTATGGAATAAATTTGTACAAGTGAATTTAGTTTGAACAAGTATTATTAAAGATAGTAGATCATCTTTTCTGGTGGTTGTGTGTCAGTGAAATTAACTTATTTGAATAGCTGATATGAAAAAACCAATTTAGATTTTGCTTGTTATAAAAAGGGATGAGTGGATGGCAAAATGACATTTCGATCACAGTTGTGACTTACGAAAGAAGAAGATGAAGTTATTCGTTTTATTCAGTCTTGTCTCTTTGGCATTGGCCAAGAAAACATTTTTTGGGTAAGTTCCGATTTATAAGGATTTTAGGGTTACTGAACTTGTCACCATCGAGTCACCGTTTTTCAAGGTCGGGAAATAGCTCAAGTCATTTGAACGGGTCAAACTCTGACCCTACTTACAGCAAAGCAGACTTGACTTAGGACTCTATGATAATTTTGAGCGACGCGACTTAATTTTGTCGACTCACGGTATGAATTCAACGCTGACATATATGACAAAAATAGATAATTAAATTGAATAAAAGTTTTGTAATTCGAATTTGAGTTTTGTAATTCGAAATTGAAATAATATGGAATTATTAAAAGTTTATTCACCCACTCTATCAGATATGAAATCAATCTGATGTAAAGTAAAAAAATTGGAAAATAATGAGTGCATTTTTGTACAATATACTCTATTATATCGAATCTAGTCAATTTGGGATGATTATCCGAAATATTAGATGCTGTTGTTAGCGGAAGGAACGAACGTGTTCTTAAACTTCTGAATAATACCATTGAATATAACATAATGTAGAAATTGTAGATGAACAATGCATACATTCAAAGGACTCTAATAACATATACTCCCATAGTATGTGTGTCAGGTTAGGGTTAGGTCATTTAGTTCCATTACAAGTTCGGGGACTGTTTGTGTTAGCCAAGTGGGTATACCTCCTGCCCATAGGTTTCCGCCCCTTTAGACAACTTGATGTACAGTAGACAAAATTAGTTACCTCCATATTGGTACACATACATCTGGAGCGCCCTTTAACATACGTATTCCTGTTTCAAACTATCGTTCCATTTTTCAAAAGCTAATTTTGTTTTCCAGAGATCAAGTTCTAACACTTTATCCAACAACTCAAGACCAAGTTGAACTGATCAGAGGATATGAGGACGAGGTACGAATAATTTTAAATTCATTAAATGGAACAAAAATTCTTTCAAGTGTTTCTCCCGTGATTAGGAATTTGAGCGAAAAAGTTAAATGAACCACTTATTATGATTGGATGCGGAAAAAGATTTCTGCCTTGAATAAGTTTTGAACATATTTTCCGGTGTCACAGTTAATTGTTTGGTCTTTGGATATTCGACACTCAATATAGAGAATAGCGATCAATTACGATTGTCTGATCATGTGTTTAAATTTGAAATATTCCGTAAATAAATAGGGAAGTATCCGCAATAAAATTGGATATACAAATAAGGCCAAAGGGGACTAAAAATTATGGAGAATGTAACTGGAGGCATTAAATATAAATTGACTTTATAGTTTTGAATATTTCAAGCAATTAACTTCTATTTAGATTGATTTCTGGAATCCGGGCTACCCCAGTCAAGTGCACGAAAACAGTCCAGTCGACGTCAGAATAGAAAAGTAAGAAAGTTTTGAATTTTCAAATTGCATTTTCAATATTTGTTAATACGTATCAAATTTGGAATTGTAAGAAAAATGATTATTGTTCTCTTTCGTGCGTGTAGACAAATATCTGTATTTTCGTCATTGTGGTATTCCGCTTTCGCACAATATCACTTGAAAAATTTTCGGTGTTGATTGGAATAGCGGATTTTTTGTGTAAGGAGAACAAACGGAAAATCTGCATTTTTTGTCATTCTCCGAGTGAAGCCAACTTTTCGCCGAATTTATTTTTCATCGTTTGAAATAAAATTTTTGGGCAATATATGAATGTTTGTTATTCGAATAAAACTGCTAGAATGCAAATCAAATCAGATTCCATTCAATTACCCTATTTTAAAAACTTCACAGATCGTGTTAAAAATTCAAAATATGAATTTCAAGTTTTATAATTCAGATTTCAATTGATGAAATTTAAGCGCACGATGAAAGATGCAGGAATCAATTTTGAAGTAGGTGTTATTATTTATTTTTATTTTTTTATTCTAGTATTCAATGTGAGCTTGACTCAGTTTATATTCCCAAGAAAGTAAAGTCGAAAACGGACTATTGCGCGCGGGTCAAATCCGGCCCGTTGGGTAATTCATTCTGACCCGTCTGATGCTGCCAAAACCAATCTAAAACCAAATTTTGATGTTTTAGCTAAAAAACATAGCTCAATAAATTTATTGAGTAAGCGATTAAATTTAGTTTTGGCACGAGGTTTATTGTTTTTCACTTTTGTTTTTGGAACACTGTATTGCCCATTGAACGAAACTTTTTTTACGTCACACTTACATGGCCCGCCAGTCTAGATGGGCCAAATTTTTGGCCCTGGGTCCAAAAACATTACCCACCTCTGGTCTGAACATACAATAAATTTTCGTAAATAGTCGAGCTCAATCTACCGCATCAATACAAGTTGTAGGAAGTAATGTATTGCTAATCCGACCAAACATAACTCAATAATATTGTTTTTGAGCAAATTTATTTATTGATATAACTAGTAGAACTTTCCGATTAGGATAAATCTGAAACTTGAATTTATTTTTGTTACAATCAGTACTTTTCAAACCCCCATTGAACAGAGAAATACTAAAAAAAAATGACATAGACGGTTTAATAGGTATGAAAATATTTTAACCCCACGCTTCAAAAACAACTGTGCATGAGTGTGTCACCAATAATTTCAATACATAAGTAAATCAAAAGAAACATCATGAATTCAGGTCAAAATCGGAGATGTACAGATGGCGATTGATGAACAAGTTGAACCAAGAAGCAACCATCCTAAGGCATTGATTGGGTACAATTACGACGTATATCACACTTACGATCAAGTAAGTGTTTTAAATTACGAAGTCGCTTCAGTGTTACGTTTGAATGATCTTTGTCGCTAGATGGTTGGTTACGTTTGTGTTTAACGATGATCAAGAATTAGCTTAAAGTAGAGGGTACTTCCGGAGTATGTGAACCAAGATGGCGGACCCCGGAACGTAGTATGTGTACCAGGTGAGGGTTAGGTCATAATTTCATTCTAATTTTCCTTAGTTTAGTTCTATTACGAGTTCGGGGACTAGGCAAGTGACTCCCGTATTATTTGTACCTGAAATTTAGTCTAAACCTAACCTGGTACCGTACACATATGAGTCTACGTCCGGTGTCCGTCATCTTAGTTCATATATTTCGGGTACCGTGGTATGGTAAAAACGAGTCGACGTAGTTTCATGTGCTAAAATCATATTCTCTTCATACCTGCCGCGGTACAAATTCTCTCCATCAGTTTTCTAAACGCGTGAATTGGTGATCTATCAAGCTTTCTCAAACATTCGCATATTTGAAGATAAAAATTTAGTTCACAAATGTTCATTTTTTTCATTTTATTTCAAAATTACAAGTAATGCTGTATCTTTTTGATTTTTCTAGATTAATAGTTGGACGATGGATATGGAACAACAGTATCCAACTTTGGTAACAAGAAGTGTGATTGGAACCAGTTGGGAAGGCAGAGATATCCCAATGCTAACTCTTAAAACCTCCGATAGCAAACCAGCTATGCTTGTTGATTGTGGATTTCATGCTCGTGAATGGATTTCTCCGGCTTTTTGCCAATGCTACGTTCAACAGGTGAATGACTAATGAAAACTCATAGATGAATTCTTTTTTATGAACAAGCATGCTGAAAGATATCAGAAAGACCTTTTTCCGAAAGGTGTTAGTTATATTATTTATAAAGAAGGCGCGATAATAACTTTTTCATGCCACGATTTTGATTTGAGTCATTTTACTTATTATGAAAAAGAGGAGTGTGAAAGCATTCTTGCCATGCCCTACGTACAGTCTCAGCATTTTCATACTTCCAATATTTCTTTAATATCCGTTTTCTTTGCTCTTCATTTGAATTATTCGTCATTAACACTCAATTAAAAAAAAGATTTTCAAAGTGTATTACCTTCCAAGCAGCTAGAAAACTAATGTAAAATTCACACTAGATTTATTATATAAAAACATAGGCAATTTTTGTGGTACTTAACAAATAACATAAAGTGAACTGCGAGTAGCTTCGAAGCATATAAAATAGTTTAATAACTGTATACCTACTTTTGGGCCACACTGTGTATATCGAAATTTATTTCAACATAATAAGTAAAATGATATATATATATATATACATATATACATCATCAAAGAAAAAACTATTTGAAAAATGTCCAACTGCGTTGCTTATATACAACAAAATGATTGAAACATGACATCTCATGGTAGCAGGTATATACAGTAAAGATCTTTTCAATATGTGGCCTAGACTAGAGGGGCCTATCTCATTCTAAGACATCTGATATATATCATATGTATGATCTTTTTACAGCTGATAGATTCCGAAATCTTGAACGACCTGACTATTCACGTGATTCCCGTAGTAAACGTTGACGGTTATGAATACACACACACCACTGTGAGTCATGTTTTGTAAATATTATTAATTATTTAAAATTGATAGCCTATAAGAAATTGTACCTGAAGGTGAATTATTTTGTATACCATTGAATATTTTTGGCATGATTTGGATCCATATATCGTTATGTTGGATTGTTCAGTTTTTAATTCTGAAGCTAAATAAGTACCAAAAGTTTTCTGATAAAATAAACGAAGCGTTTTATATTGAGGTGCGCAATGATTGTCCTTTCAAATCATTTCGTTGTACAAGTGCCTCATCATCCACGCAAAATGATCCACGCAAAAACTCATGTTACCAATTACAAATATATATGTCTTTAAAAATTGACAATACAAAAAGTGAGTAATGCTGTTAGCATATCCGACAAAGAGAATTCTACAAGCCCATATATTTAAATATTCAGGACAGAATGTGGAGAAAAACTCGCTCCAAACGCGCAGGAAGTGTTTGCTTCGGTGTTGATCCAAACAGAAACTGTGATGCAGGATGGTCAGGACCAGGATCATCATCAAAGCCTTGTTCTGAAACATACTACGGACCTGAAAAAGAATCTGAGCCTGAAGTGAAAGCCGTGGCAGATTTCATTCGAGCAAATATCAATTCACTGGTGAATATTTAAATATTATTTACATTCGAATATAATATGGTATTAACGTTTTTTATACATAACACTTTCAAATCTTAAATCACGTGATATTGACTTCCTTTACAGAAAGCATATGTTACCTTCCACGCATACGGGCAAATGATCCTTTATCCGTACTCCTACACGGAAGGTGTGGCTGCTACTAAGGACAATTTGGTGAGTTCACAAATATGTTGTCTGTCGAAATTAACGGATGAAAATTTTACATAGTAGGAATTTTCTATTTTTTCATAAGTTTTCATTTTGTGAGGGAAGTTTCTTAAACAAGAAAATATGAACCTTATTTATGGAAGTCCAGACTGGGCATTTGGAATTACACACAAATATATAGATAGTTTGAACTAGACTCTAGTTACTAGAGAATAATACTGAAAAACTTAAATCTGGATATAATATGAAATTTACTTTATTGTTAATACATTTTCAATATAGTAATAAGCGCTCCAGAAGTGTGTGTACCAATATAGAGGTGACTAATTTTGTTCGCCTACTTTACATCAAGTTGTGTAAAGGGACTGAAACCTATGAACAGGGGGCATATTCACTTGGCTAACACAGACAGTGCCCGAACTCGTAATAAAACTAAAATAAGGAGATCGGAAAACGTAAAACACCGCTGTTAGCATCGTTTAATAACTTTCTCTAAATAACCCACTTATATTGGTTAGACCCGGGGACAAGTTCCGTTCCGCATCAGCTTCAAATTGCTAGTTACATTTAAGTTCTGCTTAGTAAATACAATAATTCAGCGAATACACAAACGCAAAGTGTGTGATTTCAATCAATAATCTTTCATATAATCTACAGGACTATTACGCAGTTGCAGCTTATAATGCTGTCAAAACTCCGTATAATACAAATTATATTTACGGTCCAGGAGCAACGACTATTTGTGAGTATTCTTTTAGAATTCCGATAATGATTTAATTTTCAAACAATCGAATCAATATAACTATTTTGCCTATTTGCTATTGAGCAATTCTGTCTCATCTAGAGGAATGTCGTACCGAATTTTCAATCATGATACAAGCTGAAGCGACAAACCCCAATGAACATTTTTTCATTTGCACGCAGGAACGGCACACACCCAGGACACAACAACTACCCAATCACAAAACTAGCGTTTATTGGCATGGGTGTTGTGAGTGTGTATTTTGACGGAGTTTTATGCTACATTCAAACACATGCTCGAAGTTGATATTAATGTCGTGCTGTTCAACTGCCGAAATAGCTTATTAGACCATTTACAAATTGATGGAATTTTTTTCAACTATATCAGACGTTTGAACTGCTGCAATAGGCAAACTGAAATTTGAAAAATTTTCCTTCTATGTATATAGAATAGGCTTTTTAGAATACAGTGGTGAATATTCAATAATGCCGATTAGTTATTTTGCATGAACCAATCTATAGCCAAGACAAACAAAATAAAATGCAAATTGAATATTATATTTTACACCTCAACAGACTTGGCAGCAGGAGGTTCCGATGACTTTGCATACGATAAAGGGGTCCCACTTTCCTACACTATCGAACTCCGAGACGAAGGTAGATACGGCTTCGCTCTCCCAGAACGCCAAGTAAGATTTTAGTTTATATTTGAATTCGAATTTTTGAAAAACTTGTCTAATCGTTTCATATCGTCAATATATCCTTACAAATGTGGCTGAGGAGGGATGTCGCGGCCGACAAGCTAATACGTGAACCACTCAGCGACGGCGAGGAGTCAAACAATCCTGTTGCACATTATCACATCTCTTTTGAGATTCGAACCTATCTTGATAGCTAACTTAGGTTACCGCCGAGTCAAGAGCCAATACTCCGTTATTGTATCGACACTGGTTTTACAAGATGTAGAGAGCGTCTCCGACCTACCAACTTTTGGGTTGCGTTTAGCAGACCCGTGAGCAATGTTTTGTGATTTTCTAGACTTGTTTATTCGAAGCGTTTCTCTGATTTTGCGAATAGACTTTGGTAATAAAATGACTTTGGTGTAGGCACCAACTTTGAATAAAGCGATGCGGTGAGAGTAAATTCGAAGCAAAAATTTGCTCAGATATTTCCGGTTCGTTTAGACTTGGAGCAATCACAAATGAATAAACGAGAATATCGGTCAGAGACCGAAGACTTATCGATCGAAAGTTAGGGGATCCCCAAAACAGCGCTCTTACTTCATAGTGACACATTGTGTCCCATCACTAATTAATTAATAACTCGCTAATTATACTACATAATTCATCCAAAATCAATAGGCTTCTGGTACGACATATGATGAATGCACATGCAAAATCTAGAGCAGATTCAACAGACATACAGACAAACAAACAGACAGACAAATACCTATCAACATACTTACCGATTAAAATCGATAAGTAATGATGTTTTGCAATCTGGCTGTAGTCAGAAATAAAAAAAAGAGGTCGGACCCGGCCTGACCGTAACCGCTAGCTGTTACGTTCTGACTTGGCAATTATAAATTTCAGCACACACCCCTTTTCCTTACTATTGAAAATTCCTGGCTATACGCCCCTGTCTACGAGTGACAGTAATCTAGTTTGTTACCCGTCAACACCTGTAATTTTGATGTTCCGTTCTTACCATGAAATATATATTTTAGATCGAACCAGTCTGTATCGAGACGTTCAATCTGATGGAAGTAATGCATCAAGGTGCACGAGACCGTGCTAACGGCATTATACTCGAGTAATAGACAAGAATGAAGCGCTGTTTAATTATTGTGTAATTGATTTGATATTAATGAATATCAATATTGATGATAAATTTTAAAAAAATTAATAAATCAGTGAAATACATTTTGTCTGAATGACCCACTGTTTGATCTAGAACAGATTATTTATGATCTGTGGTGAAATGTGTTGTCTGTTAATTAAGTCGAAGCGTCTTTGGCCGTCTTTGTGATGTCTTAACCATTCATTGTGATATTAGTGAAGGCTATTTACCATTTTCAAGCTGTTAAAGTGTAAAAGATGGTCTATCGTGCTTTGGGTGAATTGAATAATAAATATGCGCCATAAATTTTGATGTTAACTTTTTAAAATTACATTTCAATAACGCTTCAAGAACCTTAAAAATCGGGGTATACTCTCGTAGTATGTGTATCAGGTTAGGCCATAAATTTATTCCGATTTTCCTTATTTTAGTTAGGACTGAGTGTGTTAGCCAAGTAAATATCTTCCTGCCCATAGGTTTCAGTTCTTTTGAACAACTTGATGTAAAGTAGGCGAACAGAATTAGTTACCGCCATATTGGTACGCACACATCTGGAGCGCCAAAATTGGAACTCAAGTTGGAACTTTTGAACCTCTTTCTCAATTGCAAAGAATGAAACAAAAATGATAGAATTCAAAATAAGCTGGATGAGCTCGTCTTTTTTTTGCTATTACTAAATCTAATTGTGTTTCTTTTTATGCAAACCGATTTTTATCGGCCTATACCATTTGTAAAAAGAGTAATGGGATTTTCTCGCAACAGCAACAAAATGGCAAAAAAACAAGACTAGAATTAAACGAACAGGACAGATTTTTAAGTTCATGATTTTTTTAGTGCTTAGTTGTGTTTGCGAAATAGAAGTACAAATATCTAATGGTGATTTTGTCTTCTTAATATGTGTAATATGTGTACCAGGTTAGGGTCAGGCCATAATTTTATTGCGATTTTTCTTATTTTAGTTCGATTACGAGTTCGGAGACTGTCTGTGTTAGCCAAATTAATATACCCCTGTCCATAGGTTTTAGTCCCTTTACACAACTTGATTTAAAATAGACGTCTCCATATCCAAGTCCTGACCCGACCTCAAAACGATTTATTTTAAGAACCAGTTTGTGCGTTCTAGCATATCGAGTCTGTGAACAGCGAGTAAAGCGTTCCCTGTTTCCTGTCTGTACCTTAATGTCTGATAAGTGGGAAAACTAAATTCATCAAGAACATGTGAAAAATGTCAACGAGCTACAACAGAAAAACCGAGATCGCAGGAAGGAACGATACAAATCCTAGGCTCAGATACTCATTGATAAAATGTTTTTGGATTACTGGGATTGGAGACCTCAAAACGCGCCCCTAATACCAAAGTCTAGTCTCAAACTTAAATAGCCTATTCTCAGAATCAGTCAGTGCCTTCAAGTAATTCAAGTTTGTAAACAGCGGGTAAAGTGCTCCCAGATACTATTTGCGACTTTTTTCCAAGTGCTGTCCTAATAGAATACAGCTTGAAATCGGTGAAATAGTTTTATAGCAATCAACAGATGATACTTGAAATAAAATCTTCAATATATAAACCATAAACGATATTGGGTACGTTGAAATTTGATAGGGTTGTCCGCCAAATTAATCTGATATAAAGCAGCTTTCTCGGGGCTGATTTTGGGTACTCCCGTAGTATGCGAACCAAGATGGCGGACACCGAACGTAGTATGTGTACCAAGTTAGATTTAGGCCATAGTTTTATTCCAATTTTATTTTTATTTTTGTACGAGTTCGGGGACTAGCCAAGTGACTCTCGTAGTGTTTGTACCTTAAATTGTGGCCTAACCCTAACCCGGTGCACATACTACGTTCCGGTGTCCGCCATCTTGGTTCGCATACTACATGAGTACCGATTTTTGAACACTGCAACTAAAGTAACGCTAATACAAAATAACCATTGAGTTATTCGACTTTAACCTGAATCTTTAGAAACCAAACTAAAAGCTGACAAATATCACGTCAAACCACGAAAATCAACCAATGATTCTCATCATGAATGACAATCAGCAGTCTAGGCGTAAAAAGTGTCCGAGTGTCTGCTAAAATTCAAATTTTTACACGAAGCAACTGAGGATATCGATGTTCAAAAACTTACATGGCCTAAAATTGTTTGCCCAATTCTAGTCTGTTTCCCCACCATTTAAATTGAGGAGAAACACGCATGGGCCAATCTGCAAATGGCGTAAACCGATGGCATCCACCCAAAGCGCGACACAGCCTTTTCTACACTTAAACGGCTCAGATACAGTAAGTAGTCTTCACTAATATTACAAGGAATGATTCGAACATCACCAAGAAATCGCAAGACCAAAGAAGCTCATATTACCACAGAGCACATCTTTCCAGATATATGCTCAAGTAATCTATTATAGATCAAACACTAGATTATGCAGACAATATGTATTTCATTGATTTAATAATTATTTAAAATTTGTATCGATATTCATTAATATCAAATCAATTATATGATAATTACACAACAATTCATTCTTGTTTATTGCACTGGATCAATGATGCCCGCGTCAATGTCTAGTGCGCCTTGATGCATTACTTTCATCAGATTAAACGTCTCCACACAGACTGGTGCGATCTAAAATATAATTCAAGAATAACAATACCAAAAGTACGGGTTTGATTGTCGGATGACTAGAATTATCCGATCTCCGATCTAAAATATAATTCATGGTAAAATAACAATACCAAAAGTACGGGTTTGTTTGGTTGTAGTTTGATACTTAGAATTGTTTTAGCAGCAGATCATAACTACAGATTGAATAAAGGTGGGTGGTTCACGTAACCGTTGGTCGGTTACAGTTTCTTTCATTATAAATTCCATGCATCTGAAAATACATAGCTGGCCAACCAATCCCTAATCCGACATGGGCTGGTAACCGGACGAGAGACCGTGGTTGGCCATACTAGTAAACTGCCTCATCGGCTTTCCTCTTCCCGGGATAAAAATGTAAATCTTATCCTTATCTTTTAAAATAAACCAGATTGCAATAGATGATTTGTGATTGTTTTAATCTAACCGAATATATCTTTTAGACTTCATTTGTTTATAACAAACTTTTGTTGAGGAAAAAGTGCACGCCATTTTATTCAGATTTAGTTAGTTGAATTATAATATTATTCTCACCTAAAATACTATACCCCGGTTCTAATATTAAAATCAAAATTTTTCTCACGCGCATAAATCTTAACGTCGAATATTAAAATGAATTGACAAAAATTGAATTCAAATTTTACCTGATCTGGAGGAAGAATGAAGCCGTCTTTACCTTTGTCCCGGAGTTCGATAGTGTAGGAAAGTGGGACTCCTGCATCGTATGCAAAGTCATCGGAACCTCCTGCTGCCAAGTCTGTTGAGATGTAAAATATAATATTTCCTTCGCATTTTGTTTGAGATATGCTGGTTGTAGATTGGGTTTATGCTAAACAACCAATCGGATTTATCGTGAAAGCTTGTTGCAGTGTTAAATAATTGCACAATTTATGCTTGTTTCTTTCGCCACAGGCCAGATTTGCACTTTAATGTGCTATTCATACATTTACTTGCCCCAAACAGCCATAACTTGCGCAGGTGCTCCCGAAGTATGTGCACCAAGATGACGCACAACCTGAACATAGTACGTGTACCTACTACCAGGTTAGGGGTATTAGGTTGTGTGTCATCTTGGTGCACAAACATCAGGAGCGCCCTTGCGCATATACCACAACACTGACTTTCGAAATTATTAACTTAAATCAATCAGAACACTCACAGATAGTTTCAGCTCCTGGTCCGTAAATATAGCGCGTGTTGTATGCAGATTTGACAGCCTGATAAGCTTGAACCGCGTAATAGTCCTGTAAATATATGCGTTTGGATTTTATCAATGGTGTAAGGTTGGGGGGTCCAAATCATATTCACTTTGCGCTTGCATGTGTGCTATACAGACAATGCTGAGATTCAGAGGCTGTGTGCGGGCTCGCACAAGCTCGTTCTTGATATGTTTAGATAATCAATGAACCCGTTTATGTTGCCTTTTTTTGTTTCAGTTGGGCATGGATTTTTAAAAAGAGGAGCCTTTTATAAACAAGTTCGATACAAAGGAGAACTTGTTTTTAACATTTCGAATTCCACCACTCTATATACAAGTATTCATTATATTGTAAAGTATCACATAGATCAAGGGTTCAACATTTTTGTCGGTGGGCTATATAACTTCAGATATCTAGCTGAGTTACACAAAAATTTAGCGGGAAAGGCCAGCGCACCGGGCAAAACAGCGAAAGATTTACCGCAGCTACGAGAGCAAAAACATTGTGAATTTTTACCCATGTGAACGCCTCTTTAAACATAAACTGTCGTATCAAGATTTTATGCTTGGTGGGGAAAATCTGAGAATTGACAAGGGCCACACTATATGGCTTGGCGGGCCGGTTTGTGTCCTGCGGACAGCCTGTTGCACACCCACAAAGATTGTGTATTCAATGGGTATCGCGATCAAATAAAGTATAGAGTGTGTATATATATAGAGAGAGGGAGAGAATATACGGGAAGACGACTCTAACTGTTGGTTGTTTAGGATTGCAGTTTGATGTTATTAAAAATATGGGTACTCCTGAAGTATGCGCACCAAGATGTCACACAACCTGAACCCTGACCTGGTACACAACCTGAGTTCAGGTTGTGCGACATCTTGGTGCGCATACTTCAGGAGTACCCATATTTTTAATAACATCAAACTGCAATCCTAAACAACCAACAGTTAGAGTCGTCTTCCCGTATATTCTCTCTCTCTCTATATATATAGCATACTCCTGGAGCACCCATTCAGGTCTCTCGAAAGTAGTCAGTATTCCATGGTTAATCTCAACAGGCAAAACATCAGTACATGTCTTTTTTAGGGGCTCCCGAAGTATGCGAACCAAGATGGCGGACATCGGAACGTAACATGGGTAACAGGTTAGGGTTAGGCGATAATTTTTTTCCAATTTTCCTTATTTTCGTCCTATTATCAGTTCGAAGACTAGCCAAGAGCCTCCCGTAGTATTTATACCTAAAATTATGGCCTAACCCTAACCTAGTACACATATTACATTGTGATGTCCGCCATCTTGGTTCGCATACTTCGGGAGCACCCTTTTTGGGTACTCACGTAGCGTGTGTACCAGGTTAGGGTTAGGCAATAATTTTATTCCGATTTCCCTATTTCAGTTCTATTACGAGTTCAAGGGACTGCTTGTGTTAGCCAAGTGACTATACCCCCTGCCCATAGGTTTCAGTTCCTTTACACAACAAAATTAATTACTTTTCATATTGATACAAACACCTCTGGAGCGCCCTTTTTAAGTATATGTAACTCACCAAATTGTCATTAGTAGCAGCCAGATCTGTCGTGTAGGAGTACGGATAAAGGATCATCTGTCCGTATGCGTGGAATGTGACGTATGCTTTCTGTAAAGGAAAGCATGTAAAAATGTTATGGTAACATCATATTTTTCATAGACAACGCATCAAATTATGTCAAAAAAAATTCACCAGTGAACCAATATTATTTCGAATGAATTCTGCCACGGCGTACACTTCGGGTTCAGATTCTTTCTCAGGTCCGTAGTATGTTTCAGAGCAAGGGGATCCTGATGATCCTGGTCCTGACCATCTTGCATCACAGTTTCTGTTTGGATCAACACCGTAGCAAACACTTCCTGCGCGTTTAGAGCGAGTTTTTCTCCACAGTCTGTCCTGAAAATTTATATATATATATATGTACTTGTACGATTCTATTTGTCAGAGGTGTTATGAGACAATTTTTTCAATTTTCATAAGATATATTTGATTTGTAATTGGTGACATCATTTTTGCGCTATTGGACTTAATCGCCTCTCATTGGAGAATAAGATCCTCGCATATCGAAATTATTCGAAAAAGACGACCAATTCGCACTGCTCAATACAAACCGCTCCATGAATGTTTATCTGTTAATGAAAATTTTTTGTTACGCAGTAAAATTTCGGACTCAACAAACTGAAAAATGCAGAAGAAACCAACTATAGGTCCAAATTAGGCTAAACACTATTTCAATGGTTTCAAAGCAAAACAGCGAATGTTAAAATTTCGAACAATTTGCATTTGGAAACATTTCAATATGGATATAGTTGCTTTTTAAGCAGGTATTCAATCATAGTTTGAAGCAATACTCACAGGCCTCTCCATGGGAATGAGATTCCATGGGAAACGTCCCATGGGATGGAATGGGATTCCCATGGGAAACGTGGGACATGAAGAAATGATGGTAAAACATCTCGTTATGGACTTTGTGTCCATTTTTCGAGCATAGCTATCTTGTTAGTTATAAAGAGAAAAATATATTCAGCATTAACAATATACTTTGTGAAGGGGCTGACGGACACATGTATATTAGTTATAAATTTAAAGCTAACAAATTCATTAAATTTTGTCGTTATGCATGTCTCTTTGTACATATAGTACCAATGTAGTAGACGTTAAACTTAAAATAAACAATTTTTATTGAATTGTAATCTTATGGGAATCCCGTTGGATGGGACAGGCAATTTGTATGACAAAAAAAATATGTCCCATGGACAATCCTGAATATACACCATAGTTTCTTTCAATAAAAAGTTACAGGAGTTTTAACGCGATTTTTTCATTTTATTTCTTCACATTTTATTCCTTCAATGCAGCTTTTTAAAGGTTTGCCTCTTTGGGATAAAGCTTCGATTTAATGTTAAAGTACGCTTAATTTACCTTCATGAGTACAATTACTCACATCAATCACCATCAAATCAGTAATCATATTCAGCTGATCTCTTTTGACAGAAAACATTTGGTACTAACACCCAACTTCAGGCTTAAAAACTGAACAATTTAGAATAACGATTTATAGGGCCGAATCAGTCAAAAATATTCGATGATACACAAAATAACTAACCTCCATTATGGTGGCCCATCGTTGTCACGCGTAAAATTGAAAATAAAAATAAAAAATAAAATAAAAAACCGAAAATAAAAAAATTGTTGTAAAAAAACATAAAAATAATTAAAAAAAAAATTAAAATTAAAAAAAAATTAATAAATAAAAATGAAATAAAAAACAAAAAAAAAATTAAAAAAAAAAAAAATTAAAAAAAAAAAAATTGAATAAAAAGAAAATAAAAAGGTTGACAACGATGGTCCGCCTCGTGGCCCATCGTTGTCACGCGTTTTTATTTTTAGAAAATTTGCTGCTGCTTGGGACCAACGTTGTCAGGCATAATCCTACGCGCACAAATGTGTTCCCTGGGTTTCAAACTCACTACTGATTTTCTTGAGCAATATTCAATATGAAAATGTTCTATAAATTCTCCATGCTACAAGATCAACAAGAAGTAATATATTTATAATAATGATAAGAGAATATAGAATTGAATACGAAAATTCGGAAAATTTGTTTTTACGTGTATAAGGTAATTTAATTGGAGAATGCTGCTCAACTACTCAGTTGTCTGGACACTCGCGATGCCGGTACCGTCTTACCAAATACCGGTAGTCGGTTATAGTCGCTTTGCGTCTGACCGTACCGGTAGCCATACAATCACTCATGAAAGAATGGGAGATACGGATAGTCTCGTAGAATATAGACTACTGAAACACTCTCTGCGCCTGCCCCATACCGTACAGCCGTAACGTACCGATCCAGACAAATGATAAATCACCCGTGCTCAACCATTTATTTCAATCCATACCTCGATCCTAGTAGAATATAGTGAGTCGAGGTATGGATTGAAATAAATGGTTGAGCACGGGCGATTTATCATTTGTCTGGATCGGTACGTTACGGCTGTACGGTATGGGGCAGGCGCAGAGAGTGTTTCAGTAGACTGTTTTCTACGAGCCTATCCGTATCTCCCATTCTTTCACGAGTGATTGCATGGGTACCGGTACGGTCAGACCGTACCGGCATCGCACGAGTGTCTGAGCAGTTAAGCAGCATTTTCCAATTAAATTATCTTCTACACGTAAAAACAAATTTTCGTATCCAATTCTATATTCTCTTATCATTATTATAAATATATTGCTCGTGGTTGAACTTGTAGCATGGAGAATTTATAGAACATTTTCATGTTGAATTTATTGGATATTGCTCATGAAAATCAGTAGTGAGTTAGAAACCCAGGAAACACATTTGTGCGTGTAGGATTAAGCCTGACAACGTTGGTCCCAAGCAGCATCAAATTTTCCAAAAATAAAAACGCGTGACAACGATGGGCCACGAGGCGGACTATCGTTGTCAACCTTTTTATTTACTTTTTATCCAATTTTTTTTTTTTTTTTTTTTTTTTCAATTTTTTTTTAATTTTAATTTTTTTATTAAATTTTTTTTTTGTTTTATTTTTCAATTTTTTTTTTAATTTCAATTTTTTTTTTATTTCTTTTTTTTCAATTATTTTTATGTTTTTTCACAACTATTTTTTTATTTTCGCTTTTTCATTTTTTTTTTTCATTTTTTTTTTAAATTTTACACGTGACAACGATGGGCCACCATACTCCATTGATACAATTCCTTACGCTATGCGCTATTAATCAGTATTAATAATTACAAAACGGCACTCACATTAGTCCACGTATATTGATAACCGTCAACGTTGACCACAGGAATCACGTGAATGGTTAGTTTATTCAATACTGATGTGGAAGATGAAGATTCATATTCATCCATCAACTGCAAAATCAAAATATTGACTGAGTATTCATGATTGAAGATGGATAAGTTACGAATAAGACCGTAAATTGTTGCTCACAATATAGATTACATGATACAGAGTGTTAAAAAAGTAACGTAAAATTAACAGAAGTTAAGATGAAGTGCTACTTGAAATATTTAACTTCTGACACTTTTAAACAGAATTGAATTACGGTGAAATGTCATTTAAACATTTCACGACTGACGCTTTTTAACAGTTACTTTTTTTCAAGTTGCCATGACAAAAAAATTTACCGGAAATTTGCGTAACTTTTTTAACACCCTGTTATATTTGAGAAAAAATACATCTCTTTATTACTTATCTACTTTTATTCAGAAAAAGTATGGGTAATTTGCTCTTATAATATCTTACTTGTTTAAAATAAAATCATCAATTTAAGGTAATTCTAGGAACTGATTGTTACTCATAGTGATGGAATTCAAAATTTTCAGAACTGGTTCTATTTTGTATCGAACTCACTAACAACAACAGATTCCCTAATTTCAGAAATCCATGCCTAACTTGTAGCTATATAACTGTATGTCTTATTTGCGCATGTATGTCCCTACGTTGCTACAATAACATGAGACGCTTTAAAAAAAATCTAATACAACGCCAAATATAACGTTAGTTGCCAGCTCAAGGACGGTTCGCAAGAACCCACGCGACTCCTCGTAAATCCCACCACTGATTCCACTCACCTGTCGAACGTAGCATTGGCAAAAAGCTGGAGAGATCCATTCACGAGCATGAAATCCACAATCAACGAGAATGGCTGGATTGTCAGAGGCAGTTTGGAGTGTGAGCATTGGAATCTGTCTGCCTTCCCAGCTTGTTCCAATTACATTTCTAGTCACCAAACTTGGATTCTCGTTTGCTCTGTCGAATGTCCAGCTATTAATCTAAAAAACATATCATTTTAGTTACAAAACAAAAATAATCGAGTAACGGAAAAGTGTGACGAAAATTTTAGCTTTAAATATGAAGAAAAAATTTAAAGCATTTGGTCCAGTAGTCAAAGATAAAAGCTTTTTTTTCATACCAACAAGAAAACGAAGTCTAACAACAACAACATTATAGAAAGCTATAGAAAGACTCATAATATGTAGTTCACTACAGGCATATAATATTCGAGTTCTGTTAGTTTATTAAAGTTAAGACAAATAAACAGTAACATGCTAACAAGGCAAGTTTACAACGGAGCACAGGTTAGCTAATTTAAACGTATCAATCAAACAATTTCGTATTATTTTTTAAAACACCTACATCATCATATGTGTGATATTGGTCGTAAACGTAACCATCCGATGCCCTGGGACTGCTCTTTGTTTGTACTTGATCGTCAATTGCCATTTGCAAATCTCCGATTTTTACCTGAATTGATGATTCAAATTTACTTATTTATTCAACTTTCTTCCCACACGTTTCGACATGGACAGTTTTTTCGAAACGTGGAAATGAAAAAGTTAAAGGATTTGTTCAATCATCCAATGCATTTGCTTATTTTTTTTTATTTTTTCTCTGTTTAATGAGGTTTGAAGATTTCGATTCTATCAAAAATAAATTCAGGTTTCCTAATTTATTCGAAAATTATTAGTATATTGTACACTAACTAGATCGATAAATAATGTTTGGTTTTCAATATATGTTTTAAAAACAGAGACTACAATCTCCCAGTAATATTGAGATATATCTGATGAATACATTTTGTCTGATTAACAATACATGCCTATTATTTGCTACATTTTTTAATACCAATGTAAGCTTGGTCATGCTATTTCCAAAGATTCTTCGGGATTTACTTACCTTGGAATATATAGTGATTCAATTCACATGGAATGGAAGAATAAAAATAAACACCAACCTCAAAATTGATTCCTGCATCTTTCATCGTATGCTTAAATTTTAGTAATTGAAATCTAAATTGCAAAAAAGAAAATATATAGTTTGAGTTTGAATACTTCTGAAGTAGAATTAATGGAATAGAATCTGATTTGACATGCGTTCTAACTGTTTGGAAATCTATATTTAAAAACAAATCTTTTTTGCTTCAAATTTCACTCCAAATGATGAGAAAAAATGCGAAATTTTAGCTTCACCCGGATAATAACAAAATCCTGTTTTTTTTTCACACATAATTATAATATCAGTCATAAATTTGTGCGAGTGTATGATCCTCCTATGGTGGAACTACAATTTCAATTAATTGATCTGTGACTGCAAGCATGAAAACAAATAGTAACCATTTTGCTTACAATTCTGAATCATATACAAGTTAACAAATATGAGAAGTGTATTAAAAACCTACTTTGATATTCTGACGTCAACTGGACTGTTTTCATGCACTTGATTGGGGTAGCCTGGATTCCAAAAATCAATCTAAATTAGAAATAGATTTCCTCTAAACTATTTATAAGTGAAAGACTTGTATTCGAAGTGTTCAATCACATTTTCATTCCATAGTGAAAATAGTTTAATTTCTAATCTTTTTGTATGACTGATTTTAGTGCAAAAGTTTTTTTATTCGTTATCGGTACATTGCTAAATTAAACACTTAATTTGGCAAACCAAATTAAAATCCATACCCTCTATAAGTATCGAATAAACAGTTAACAGTGACACACGCATATTATTCAAAACCTATTTAAGTTATTAATGTTACACCGCATTCAATAATAAATAATAATTGGTTCATTTAATTTGAATTATTTTTTGTATTTTTTACCTGGCCATAACACAATTAAAGTGAAGAAAAGACTATATTTGACTGATAGGTCATTATATAGGATAGGGTATAAACAAACCATAATTCTATTTTTCCTTTGATTCTTAAGCACCAAGAAACGGATAAAAAAAATTCTATTACTTAATGAATCGAATACTAAGATTTATTTGTACCTCGTCTTCAAATCCTCTGATCAGTTCAACTTGCTCATGAGTTGTTGGATACAGTGTCAGAACTTGATCTCTGGAAAACGAAATTTACAAGTTGAGTCGTTGCTGTGTCTGGTCAGTAGCCTCTTTTATTGAAAGTCAAATCGAGATTCAATCGAAACACTTATATCGACATTAACACATTCTATTTTGGATCATTGCTGCGATAATTTAGCAAGTTTTCGAAATAATAGTTCACGCAGTGAATATTATTTCATTCAGATTTTTCGCTGTTTCAAAGACTCGATCGAAATTATTTTCGAATCTCAAGTCAAGTCTTTTTTTCTAAAATGGAGAGTCATTTCTAGTTTTTGAAAAATTAGGCGAGTCCGGATCGACTCACAGACTCCAGTCCAACTACAAATTATATATACATCGGTACCAACCCAAAAAACGTTTTCTTGGTCAATGCCAAAGAGACGAGACTTAATAAAACGAATAACTTCATCTTCTTCTTTCGTAAGTCACAACTGTGATCGAAATGTCATTTTGCTATTACTCATCCCTTTTTATAACAAGCAAAATCTAAATTGGTTTTGTCATATCAGTTATTCAAATAAGAATTGAGCGTAATTGCATTGAGACACAAAATACAAAAAAAGGAAGGTCTACCTTTATTTCGAAGTATTGCTCACATTAAATTCCCCGAACAAATATATACTTTGGTTCAATGCGCGGCTCTCCAATAGAATATTCTTACTTAGCCTATTTATCGTAAAATATGCTTATTATGCCTTTTGTTGTTTATTCGATATATCTAATTTAAATTGATACAAATGTATTAGTTTAAAAATACCTCGTACGTCATTTACACACCGTGGCTTGGGAATACCAAGATGTTGTTTGAGGTTTTTCAAAAATATTTACCAACGCTTCATGCAACGATCATGTATTACGTGCATTTCAGCGTTTCTGTCCGAAATAAGCAAAGTTTAGCGATACATTTTTTAAAAATTTGTATCACAGTTAGATGGTGGCTTCATTACTTATCGATTTTAATCGGTAAGTATGTTGATAGGTATTTGTCTGTCTGTCTGTCTGTCTGTCTGTCTGTCTGTTTGTCTCTCTGTTAGATGCACGCGATATCCACGAAAGCGAGTTTGGATCTGCTGCAGATTTTGCATTCATCATATCTCGTACCAGAAGCCTATTGTTTTTGGGCAAATTATGTCTTATAATTAGCGAGTTATTAATTAATTAGTGATGGGACACAAGGTGTCACTATGGAGTAAGAGCGGTGTTTTGGGGGATCCCCTAACTTTCGATCGATAAGTCTTCGGTCTCTGACCGATATTTTCGTTTTAATGATTAAGAGGATTTTTTTCCCTAAGTAAAAAGTTGGAAAAAATCCACCACACTCTTTATAATCGTGAAAGCTTTGTTCCCAAATTGATAGATGATTGATGTGTCTTACTTAAGGGCAGAAGATTATCAAATCTCATTTACTTCACCCCCTGATGATGATAAAGAAATATAGATCAATTTAAATTGAGCTTGACACTCCTTATATGACTTTATACCAACAGTTGTAATTCTTTCTTTTCTATGTCGAGCTACAAATTCCTCTGGTGCCGCGAGCACGCTTATTGTGGTGGAGGAAGCTTTGCAATAAACTGACATTTATTTGAATGGGATCAAATTGTTGGCAAATGTTAGGTAATTTGACGTAGTTTTGAACTGTTTGACGCACAAATATCATTGACAGATGTCAATAAAAAAAACATTTATTGTAATTATATTGTGAACTCTGTCGAAGGTGTATATGTTTTGTTCATCAAGTAATCTTAATTTAGCAAATTTTGTTACAGTGCTCGTATATTGTCAACAAAAATGAGCACTAGTCGATGTCTACATTGTCTAGTTGTTATTGGTTGCTTCAAATTTGAATCAAAATTCGCTGTTATTATTCTCCCCATCGGACCTACAAGAACAACTAGTTAGCAGTGGAGGCAGTTTTTTAAACATCAGTTGAATATTTTGGATTACCTATTGTTCTGATAACAACTTGGCTAAACGATCCATACTTCCAGTACTAGAACACCCCATAAGGTGATTTACCCCTGATAGCCGATATCCATCTTTAGTCGATATGCAGGGAATACTAGTTATTTGGACAACGTTTTTAACAGCAAACAAAATGGTGATTATGAAAGTTTGGACCCCCCCACACTTTGTGGACCACCAATCTATAAAAACCGTAAGATCTGGTGTAATATTATCAATCAAATTAGTAAACCAACTTCGTAAAATCTTGTGAGTCATAATCAACTCCGTCGATCGTATATCCAAGTCTTGTGTGTGTAGTTTCACAATACAACAATTGAAAGATTGGTAATTTTGTTATGCATTTGTTGACTAATGGGTTAAACCCTGGCCTAATTGAATAAAAAGGAACTCGTTTTCCTTGGTTGAACTCTTATTAATCAAAAGTTCGTGTTTTCAAATAGGCTCTTCCTAGGATTGCTTTGAAAAACCCGGCATTCTAAAGATATTTTTGGTATCTGTGCCGCAACTGAGCTTTACGCTTTGGCCATCGAAAGTCACGCATATACGGTATCTATCGAAGTGCGTATGTTTGCAATCGTTTGCTTTAACGCACAACTAGTCTAGATAGGATTATATCATATACGGGAAATATGAAATTGGAGAAATTGGCCTAGATACTTTCTGCTTTCCCTTTTGAAGAAACTAAAACATTGAATATCACTGTGAATAATTTTATTGAACCATATAACTTATCGATTTCGAATTGCACGCTGTATATCAAAATCTTTCGATGAAACATTATTACTCATTGAGCTTATTATGCCACAACTCCAAAGCACCGTCTGCAATTGCCTTCATCCCAGCAGTGGTTTCAACACATGTTTCTTCAATCTGAACAACAGATAACAATGGCTATTCTGACTGAAAATCTATTTATAATATTGCATTTATGTGATGCTGCGTCAATACGGAGAATAATTTTTGAGTGGTTATTCTGGAAAAACTTGTCAGAACGACGTTCTAGAGGTCGAAATTGGTCTCGAGGAACGGAATTTTTCGTGTCCGGTTATCAGTTTGACGTTAATCAGAACTCAAAAGCGTTGTGATTAGCTTCACAAAAATCACCCTGACTTTGAAAAGTGTATAGAAAAATTTAATCAAAGAATGAATGTTGTATTCATTGAGATTGGAACCGTCTGCATACAACTATATTCACAAAAGGTACATAATTTGGCCGCAATCCATTGACCGAGCTAGAAATTTTTGCATATGGTGGAACTCAACGATAAAATAAACAAGAGAGCAATGCTCCAATATGTGGACACGAAGACCAAAAAGAAGTTGTATCAAATTTTCTACAGCACCTGTAGTCTAACTTACCAAAATACTCTCGAAATCGCTGACCACTAGCGACAACAACAATCATTACCCACTGTAAATTTCAAAGAAATTGGTACAGCAGTTAAAGAGAAATGGAATTTATTCAGAATAAAAACCAGGAAAAGAATATACTAAGAATACTAACAACAACGAAATTTTAACAAAACGATCCAAAACATCTGTTCCGTGTTGTGTTCAAAAAATATTAAGCTTGATAAGTAATAAATAACCTGATTTTCGGGAAGCAGAAACCCGTATTCACCGGTATCACGTAGTTCATAAGTATACGATAAAGGAACTCCTGCATCATAAGCAAAGTCATCCGATCCTCCTGCAGCTGCATCTGATTTTGTGAAGGTTATATAAATATGCTTTATGATATATTAAATCTCTCTGAGAATGCCTTGGACAAGCGGGAAATATTCTTGATTGGCCTAGATTCTGGCAATGTTTTCCTGCCTATGGGTCGCGACCCGGAGCTGGGTTTCCTGAAAATTATCCGCTTGTTTTTTCACTTTTCTATTATTCAGCAAGATTTTATATTCTATTTAATTTTATTGTTTATTTTGTATTTACGAATACTGCTCATATGGTAAGTATCACAGCGTAAAATTTGGCAGCATCTATTTTGTTTAGTAAAGTCCGCCACGATTTCAAAACATGCTTATGGGAAATAAGCGCAGTTTTTTTTTGAGGTAAGTTTTGAATATTTTGTTTCCATGCCGTTTAGTATTTGAGTATATCCTTGGGTCGCGACGTTCTACAAAAGTTATTTTTGGTTGGGAAGGTTGGGAATTAAGGTTGGGAACCAAACTTACCGACCAATAGGAAAGTCGGTCAGCTAAAGTCGGAATATTGTGTTGAGCGCAGAATGAGAACGGGAAACTTGTCACACCGCTATCAAATACGCGTTGATGTTTTGTTATATTTTATCTAATAGAACAATTGTGATATTTCACAATGAAATAAGCGGTGTTGTCAACTCACATAGAAGTCCAGCTCCAGATCCGTATGTATATTCTTTGCTGAAAACATTGTAGATCGCGTCTTTCATTTGTTTGGCGTATTTATCCTGTATATTTTAAACAAAAAATGTTGATGGAAAATTTCAATTTGGCCTTATTCTCTTGACCTATATATATGTACTTTAGTTTGATATGTATTCTGTCGGGATCGTTTCTAGGAATTTTTTATCAAAACAAAATAATTTTAAATCTTTCAAACAAAACAAGACATATGGGTAACTCAGAGAACGACAAAAAAAGTATTTTTTTTATCTTCAATCTGTTTTTGACATTTTATATATATAAGTAGCGCGCTAATTTTCATATTAAGTAACGTCTATTGAGTGTCACCGTCTTTGTCGGATATGCATCACATTTCATAATATATTGCTTTCTTTCGTTGAGTCGACATTGAAGACTTCATAAAAAACGGGCGAATATGGATTCTTAAATGTTCCTTATGCACCTCGCTATGTTCTTTATAAAACTTACCAAGACATTATGCGTTGCGGATAGTTCATAGGTGTACGAATACGGATATATTATCATCTGCGAATAGCTGTGCACGGTAATGTAGGCCTGCAATTAAGAATACCAAAGTTCAATATAATGTGAGACAAAAAAACTAACAGGTTTTATTGAGGAAACTAATTTTGATTATATAGTTAATACTGCAAAAGCTACACTGAGAGATTATTTTACACACTCTCTAATTTTATATTTTATTGAGCGTAATAATGTAAGATTTTCTCAGTGCTGACAAGGATGTGGTGCCTTGTATACAGGTTGCCCACACAGTCCATTTACAATTTCAATTTTGTTATGAAGTCAGTTCTCAAGATATCTTAAACAGATTTGTTGTTTTTTATTCAGTAATTGTTTAACTATTATTACTTCATTTGATACATGTGTGAGGGCCAAAACAATATACGGTATCGATGATTCTTTTTGCGATTTCAAACTTTCAAGATTTTATGGACACCCTATATATATTATATTACATAAATACCGCAATAGTTTGCGCGTTGTCTCGAATGAAATTGGCCAAAGCATGGACTTCTATTTCTGATTCCATTGCCGGTCCATAGTATATATCCGAACAAGGATTTGGAGATGAGCCAGGTCCTCCCCAATATGCATTACAGTTTCTATTCGGATCTGTTCCATTACATCGGGTTCCATAGTTTGAACGTGTTTTTCTCCATAATCGTTGCTGCATTGGAAAAAAATGATTTACATTGCTAAGCTGAGTAAAAATCTAAATGGATATTGGAAAGAAATGATATTCTCCCACACGAACTAATTTGGTCTAACTTTTTTTTTATTGATTTTAACTTTTTAATATATGGTTGATTGAGATTTTTGGTGCCAAGTGTTTTGAAAAATTATAAAGATTGAGTTTCGATCAACTTATTTATATAACAATCATTTCTAATTTACTTTTCAGTACGGCCTTAAATTATATATTTTTTCCGCCCTAACATTTCAAACCTCCCCCTTCATTTTAGGTTGTTGTTGTCCCACACTTTTATTCCTAACTTAAATATAATTGTATTTGAATAGTTAAATTTTGTTTGAGCCACTAATTTATAAACTGTTAAAAGTGTTATAATTGATCCAAAATGCAATTACCAAGAAGTTTGGCCACAACTCAATTGTTTATCTGGTAACTTCAAATCTGTATGTAATATCAACAGCTTTTTCTATAAAGATTCGTGATGACTTACGAATTCCAAACTACGATTTCCGTGTGTGGGACAAATTAGAAAATCGTTAAATTGCGCATAATTTTCTAGTCCTAAAAAGTAGTATTGTGTGGAGAGCATTATTTTGGAGAAGTAGGTCATTTTCCGTTGCTAATTTCCACTTTTCATATCATAATCCAGTCACTAAAGTGTTAGGAATTGTCACAATTCACTAGAATATTTTTGATTCAGTAAAATAAAAACTCACGTCAGTCCAAGAATACGCGTATCCATCGACGTTCACAACTGGCACAATATGAAATGTCAGTTTATTGAGTTGTTTAGTGAATACCGGATCACTTCCATAGCCTTTCAGTAACTGACAAGAAAAAAGATTAGATCAAATACGGTTGTTGACAAAACAAAAATATTATTAAAGTTTTTTATTCGCAACATTGGTAATTATCAGAATAGTCGGAGTTGAAATTCGTAAGTAGGGTTGGGGATTTTCGAATACCTGATGATTTCAGAATCAAATCGAACATTTATTCGAATCAAATCTCGAATACCTGAGATGTATGTAACTTTCTGGTTGTATTAGGTCCTCCGGACAGATAAATTACTGAAAACATAGAATTCATCACTCTGGCAGATTGCTATTCGTTCACACACAATACAAAACACGTTTTCATTAATAACTCATTATAAAAAAGTCAGAATTGCGTTGAAAACATTTGGCTTTAATAAAAAAAAAGTTAGAAATTTACCTCGACCATTGGTGGAAAGGGAAAAAAACAAGAAAGCGCGGCGATTCAAAATTTTGCTATGAACCAATTTGAATAATTTACTATTCGATTAGAATATTCGATTCGAAATGCCCAGCCCTATTCGTAAGCTCCGGCAACTAAATAATTCAGCCGATATTCTAATTATTGGCAACTGCGACAAGTTATAACTTTTTTGACAATGAATATGATTGATATAGCATTGATCGCAACTTACAGATCAATTACCTCAGATAAATCAAAATGATTACTTAAAATGCCTTAAATTTAAAACACATTATAAATTGAGTTGGAAAATGTGTGTACTCAACATTTGAAAAATTCTTGTCATCAAGCAGCTCTGTGGTTAGGTTACGGCTCTATCTTGCCCGTTACGGCATTAATTTTCAACTATTACGAAATCAAAGTATTTCTCCTGCATCATCTGATTTACAACGTCCACAAAAGTCATAAAGAATGCTATAGAGATATTGAAATGTATTTTACATTATCTTGAACAGAGACCGAAATACCCAAAACGTCATTTTTTTTCAAGCTGCGATTATTCAGCAAAATGCAACATTATAATTGAATTTTCATTTAAGCATTTTTCGTGATTTGTTATTGGGAAATATATTCATTCAGTTAGGAGTCTTACAGTAATTTTTAATGCATTCATTTGACTATTATGTAACTTATATACAGGGTGGTCGCTGGAAAGCAGAAAATTTGAAGATCAAATGAGATAAAATGCGCGCCTATTCATTTCTTTTTCGATAGTTTTAATTTCTTTTAGGTTGTAAGTTGTCTTAGATTTTATTTTTATTTTGACACCAACATCATGGAAGAAAGCGGGTAACAGCTTTCAGACTTTGAAAAAAATGTGATTATTTATTTGAGTGAAAAGCTGACTTGGAGACTAACAAGATGTTTGACCAAATTTCTGTTTTTCCAGCGACCACCTTGTACATATAATGTACATATAATGTACATAAATATGTTCCATAAATATGATATAACTTACATTTCTTGTGAAACATTGACAAAACGCTGGTGATATCCATTCTCTAGCATGAAATCCACAGTCGAGAAACAGTCTAGGATTGTCTTTGTTGGTGGAAATCGTTAACATTGGAATATTTCTTCCTTCAAACGAATCTCCTAGAACTGATAACGTAACTAGTGATGGATAGGCTGCTGCAATTTCTTGCGTCCAAGATGTAATCTTCAAAAAATCAAAAAATGGAAACATTCTCAACTTTCTTTTCCGAAAATAAAGACCTTTTCGACCAGGAGAATACTATAGGCATATTAAAAGTTGTTTTAGAATTGTCCGACGCAAAAGACTTGATTGTTAAAAGCGCCATAAACTTTCATCCGGCGCTTCATAAGTATGTGTACCAATATGGAGATAAATAATTTTGTTCGCCTATTTTACATCAAGTTGTGTAAAGGGACTGAAACCTATGGGCAGGGAGTGTATTCATTTGGCTAACACAGACCGAACCCGTAATATAACTAAAATAAGGAAAATCGGAATGATATTATGGCCTTACCCTAACCTGGTACACACATTACAGCGGTACACTTTCATCCACACACACAAATTAATTCTTGTAACATTGATACCCACTTCTTCGATAGGATGATAGACGTTGTAGTTGTAAGTCGAAGAATCTTTCAAATTTTTTCTTCCCTTGACTTGATTGTCAATCAATTCTTGAACATCTGGAATTTTTACCTGCAGTTTTTGGGAAAAAGTTCAGAAAAGAAAAATAATTCAGAAAAGACAAATTCAATTGATCCAAGTGATATAATAGTCTTGCACACACTTAGAATCAGACTAGGGTCAGACAAAACGTCACAGAAATATATTTGTGTTAATGTACAGAAGTGGGTCCGTATGCATATATAATACAAAAGTGAAGATAACTATTCTAAGTGAGTCTTGCTTCTGTAAAGTTTCATTTGACCAAGGTCAGACTTCCTCAGGCATAGTTCAAATGTCTGAAATGTTACAGAGATATAATTGTGTGCAGCAAGACTTATGAATCACTTAGAACAGTTATCATCTCCAGTCTTGCTATTGATACGAATTCACTGGCACCAAAGCATAGAAGAAGGATAAGTAGTTAAGTCCGGCAAAAACCAAATCAATAGCGCAAGTTCATTTAAATTACAAATTTCAATTGACTTTCGTTCAAAAAATTTTAATTCTATGAAAACGACATTAAGAGCGAGATATATCGAAAATAAAAAACCTAATTCCGGTTCAGATCATTTTTTTAACTGTGCAAACTTAGCACTGAGCGTACTCGCCTCGTATTCGATTCCATGTTCTTCTACCAATCCTTTCAAATATTCCAAATTCTCTCTGGACAATGCAATGTAAACATATTAATCTGCCGTCACAAGTATTTAAAATACAACACCTAGTTCCGGGTGGTCGCACTGGCCATGATTTGATTTTTGAGGATTTTGAAATTATTCACTCTAGTTCAGGGGTAGGTTAGGTTTTAGAACCAGGGGCCAAAAATTTTGCCCATCTAGACTGGCGGGCTATGTAAGTGAGACATAAAAATTTACATTTTATGAACAATATTTACAGCGTTACAAAGCAAAGTTGGAAAACAATATACTTGGTGCCAAAACTATATTTAACCGCAATCTCAACAAATTCCTTGAGCTATTTTAGCTGAAACTTTAACAATTTGATTTCAGTTCGGTTGTGGCAGCATCAGGCGGGCCAGATTAAATTACCCAACGGGCCGAATTTGGCCCGCGGGCCGTAGTTTGCCCATGTCTTCTCTAGTTGAATCTTTCGAACCGCACACACCTCAACCGCCGCAACAAAGCTCTTGCCTCAATAATATCGTGAGTTAGGTCATTTTACTGTTTTATCGTATTCTTTATATTGATTTTATCGTTGTCGTTTTTAATTAAAGGATATAAAACACAACCAAGAATTACAGAAATATCTTGAAAGGAACGTACACGGTACTCTGTACTAATATAAATTTTTACCTGGGAAATCTGATATCAACCGATTTGTGAGTCTGCACATTGTTTGCATATTTCGGACTCCAGAAATCCACCTAATAAGACATATAAATATATTGGTTTCTATTACCTTACATAACCCTTTTAGAGAAAAGCCATTCAAATTGCGACTGGGACTTGAAAGTAACCGTCGCTACTTCTAAATAACTATACCTATGATTGTTGAGTTAACTCTAATTGTAGAAGCCTGATCTCAACTACTGCATTACATCACGACATTACAGTATACATTAAAAGTTCAAAAGCAAAAACATCTTAGTATTTTCGAAAATTTGAATTAACTGAACATTTTTAGTCAGCAATAGGAACTCACCAAATCTATTGTGTCTTCCAATGATTGGATGAACTCAATATGTTCGTTGGTTTTGGGAAACAAAGAAACCACCTGGTCCCTGAACAGAAAATTACTTTGAAAGAAAGTTAAATTTAAAATGAAAGGAAAATGTGAGAATAAGAGTTCCGCATAGCACAAATAAAATTGATATGATAAAACTTAACGTTATAAAAATTTAGGTTTAGATGACGACAGCATTGTTCGCAATGCGAATATTTACAATAAAGGAGATGCGAGGAAATGCGAGGAAATAGACTTGCTCGAGTTAAAGCAACCACCAAAAGCGAAAACGTAAATTTGAAGATTCTACGCATAATTGGAAACGTTTAAACTGAAATATTAACAACGATATGTATTTCCTCCATACCACAGCACATTTTCCCGATAGAATTTTTTTCTTTGCATAACTTTATCAAGGCAAAGCGTTTATAATACGAACCTTTTTGAGCGCTCCAGAAGTGTATGTACCGATATGGCGGTAACTAATTTTGTTCGCGTACTTTACATCAAGTTGTATAAAGGGACTGAAACCTATAGGCAGAGAGCATATTCACTTGGCTAACACATACAGTCTCCGAGCTCGTAATATAAACTAAAATAATATTCTCAGTTCAACCGGAAAGCTTGAGGAAAATCGGAATAAAATTATGGCCTAATACTAACCGGGTACATATACTACGGGATTACCCACTTTTGAATATCCTTCCGTTCGGCCAAGATTGTTGGCAGGTCAAAAATCTTGATTTCAAATCCCATTCTCATACAAGGTAAAAATTGGGGGGGGATTAAGTCAGTCAAAATATATAAAAGTGTATTTACCCTTCGAAAGTCTTTTTACAAGTCACAAAGCCCAGAAAACCAACCACAAGCAACGCAAGTGAAATCCTCATTTCTTCGTCCTATTTTCATGCAGCTAATAGACAAATGGGTACAAAAAAAATTTGTTTCAATTATAACGATTCTCAGCGTCGCTGAAAACACGCTGAAATATCCCATGTTGTGAGAACGAACCAGATGTTGGTTTGCGTCAGCACGAGTGACGTAATTTACGTAACGCAAAATAGCGCAATGGCGAATTATTTATTATAAAATCATCGATAATGACACAATACAATATTGTTATGCAATGTAGTGAGTAGATTACCGAAATTAGATAATTAATAAACTGTGCGTAATCACATTCATAATCTCTTCCTCTCTTCCTAACCTATCTAATTCTGATTTTCCTTATTTTAGTTCGATTTCGAGTTTGGAGACTGTCTATGTTAGCCAAGTGAATATACCCACTGCCCATAGGCTTTCATCACTGTATACAACTTGATGTAAAGCAGGCGAACAAAATTAGTCAACTCCATATTGGTACACATACTTCTGAAGCGCAGAAAATTGGTCCTGTATGAAAATCTGATAATTACGTCAATTCTCCAAGCTCTAAGCCCTCGCGTAGGCTTTACTACGTTTCCAGCAATTTTTTATTTTACTTTTTACATTAATCGTTATTGACATTTTGCTGTCCGTGCTTTTACAAAAAATGGATGGATTTTGAGTAGATTTCTGTTTTATTAATACAAACAATTATACGTTATTACCCAATGTTTGGAAGTGGTATCAGATAGCTTTTAATTAACTACAAAACGACACCACATCAAAAATAATAACACTGTATGATGAAATCTAGTCATGTGAATATTGTGTTTTGAATATTGGCATAAAGGCATAATTATTAATGCGCTAAGTTTTAATTCTCCAATTGGTAATGCTTTAAAATATTTTGGCTTGTCTCAGATTTTAATATAGTGAGGTCGAAAATCCAAACGAAGCTGCTCTAAAACTATTGAATAAAACTGTTATTGAAGTAAGGTGCCAATTACAATGGGGTTTACTGTATAAATTTTTGACGCTGATCGTAATTTTGCGTGAATGTTCAAATATTTTGATAATTTAGAATTTGTCTCACTATTTCGTTAAAAAATGAATAGTCATATATTTATATACTAAATATTGTCGAATATTGTTCTACATTCGTAACTGAGTTCTTTGAAACGGAGGATCATTTATTAGCAGTTGTACACAAAGACATAATATGCAAGGCTTACTCGGTGACAACCATAACTCCAATGAATACTATGTGAAAAGGATGACTGTGATGTCATAGAATAAGTAGGTGAAATATAGAAATAAACAATATACACCACATTGCCAAATACTGAGCCAATTTTTGTATATTTTAATCTCACTAAAACAGTTTTGTCGTATATTCTGTCTTGGTTAGTCAGTTTTCTACATTAGTTTTCAAAATTGAAGTTCCTTCGTATTGGTCGCAAAAATCTTAGCATTCCCTCAATATACACCACATTGCCAAATACTGAGCCAATTTCTGTATAATTTAATCTCACTAGAACAGTTTTGTCGTATATTCCATCTTGGTTAGTCTTCTACATTAGTTTTCAAAATTGAAGTTCCTTCGTATTGGTCGCAAAAATGTTAGCATTCCCTTTTATACAGCGTAATTCACACATTCACCAGAAACAAGTTATGAGAAAAGCAAACAACTATGCGGACTGGCAAGACCAGAATCTTTCAATATCGCAATACCCAACAGGATTGAGTCTTTCGTCGGTTGATGGCTCTAATCCTGATCCGGACTTCCTGAAGTATGTGCACCAAGATTGTGCACAACCTGAACATAGTATGTGTGTACCGGTTAGGACTAAAGTTGTGCGACATATTGGTGCGCACTGCGCATACTTCTGGAGCACCCCTGATCCTCTCTACTACTCCACCTGTTTCGCCAGAACCATACGAGCAATTCCGTTTGTGTGCAACAACACCACAACCAATACAATGTGAATTTCTTGAATGACCTAGGATGTTATCCTGTCATAACATATAGGAGCTTGATCATATTTCTCGAGTCTAAGCTGATCTGTCAGACTGTTACCAAGTCATACAAAGTGTTCACTGTTCACCACTGTTTACTTATTATTGGTCATACAATTTACAATATTATACATTATATTAAACAAGGACGATTTTCCTTTAGACAACTTTGTTCTGCGCCTCGCTTTCATGCAACAATCAAATAACATAATTATAGCAAGATTATATATTCGTTATTCCAGAAACTAGAAATTGTAAATCGAAGCTATAGCGAGAATGTGAATACTTCACAGGTTTCTGTTGTACCACATTCCAGTGCCGCATCAGAAAGTTTCTTTCACAGCGGCCTGTAGTTTCGACGCAACTTGGCTCAATCTAAAAAGATATAATAAGTATAAGAATTTCCAGAAAAGTCGAAAATAGCCAAAAATACTTTTTGTTTATGATTGTCAAATTATGAATGTTACAATTGCATAATCCAACCATTTCCGGACTGTATAAAAAAAGGAGAGAAAACTCGGGGCAAAAGTTTGTGATTCGTGTTAAATTGGTTTCCATTTGTTTTTTAATTAATCATTTCATTTGTTTGAACTATATTTTTCATAGTTTATATATTTGAATGAAAAAGTGTACATTTGAACGGCGCTATGCTGTACCAATATGAAGGGTACCGTAACTAAATTTGTTCGCCTACTTCACATCAAGTTGTGTAAAGGGACTGAAACCCTTAGGCAGGGGGTATATTCACTTGGCTAACACAGACAGTTCCCGAACTCGTAATAGAACAGGAAAAAGAAAAATCGGAATAAAATTATGGCCTAACCTGGTACACCCACTACGGAAGTACCCATTAAATATACCTACAAAAATAAACAATAATAAAAAGACAAATTTGCAACCCATTTGTAATCGGTGATAAGCAGTCTCACGCTACTAATATGTTTAATCAATTTACTAAGCAAGGTCACGATGTACCTGCTCTTCCGGTAGCAAGAATCCGTGGTATCCGGTATCTCGTAATTCAAAGGTGCAGGTCCAGGGGATTCCTATGTCGTACGCGTAGTCCTTTGATCCTCCAGAAACTAAGTCTGTTTCAAAATTAGAATTATTTCAAGAACTTATTAATAAGGCTGGGCATCGAATATTCGAATCGAATAGTCAATTATTCGAATCGGTTAAAACAGGAATTTCGAATCGGCGTCATCTTGCTTTTTTGTCCGCTAAAGGTCGAGGTGAATCCCTGATTTTTTTATTGAAGCCATATTTTTAAAATGCAATTCTGACGTATGACTTTCTAGTGGGTTATTGATGAAATAAGTTTTTATTGTGTGTGACAACTCAGCGGACTGTCTAACTAAGTGATGGATTCTATGTTTTCAGTCAATTTTGTGTCTGAAGGTCTCATTACAGTCAGAAAATCGCATACAATTAGATATCTTTAAATTATTCGAGATTGGATTCGAAAAAATATTCGATTCGATTCGGAATCATCAGGTATTCGAAAATTCTAAAATGTTATGACTCACAAAGATTGCTTGATCCCTGTCCATATGTGTACACTGTTCCAAAAACTTCTCCTAATGCAGTAGCCGCTTGCTTGGCGTATTTCTCCTAATTTTTGCAAATCAGAGAAAAAACATGACATGTAGATGAATATTTAAATCATACACTTCAAAAACACTCAACTGTGTTATCAGTGAGTTCTACAAAAGCTATTTTGTTAAACAATGGCCCGTGGTCTTGACTTTAGCTATTGAGTCTATTATCTGTACATTATTTTTGAATTGCATTGATTCAAAGAAATTTTAGTATTTCCGAAGTATGTGAACCAAGATGGCGGACACTGAAACGTAGTATGTGTACACAGTTAGGGTTAGGCTATAATTTACATAATTTTCCTTATTTTAGTTCTATTACGAGTTTGAGGAATAGCCAAGTAACTCCCGTAGTATTTGTACATGAAATTATGGCCTAACCCTAACCTGGTACACATACTACGTTCCTGTGTCCGCCATCTTGGTTCAAATACTTCGAGAGTACCCAAATTTAACATATATTTGAAATCGCATAAACAAAAACTGTAAAAACCATTATGAATACAAACTTGCTACTCACTAAAACATCGATGGTGGGAGTTATATCGAACGTATAGGAATGCGGCAAAACGATCAATTGAGAATAGCTGTGGAAACTCAAGTATATCTGAGAAAAAATAAGCAAAGAAAATAATTTATACAACTTTGCTTGAAATAGAAATTTTAGATGTGTTACATTCAGTGGTCTCGTGAAACACTTATTTACCATATTATATAAAGTATCTTTACAAGACACCATCCTATACCGTGTTTCCCCGAAAATAGGACTGGGTCTTATTTCAATTTTTCTCAAAAAATAACACTAGGGATTTTTTTTTAATGTCTTATATTTTAATTTATCACAAACAAAACGAGAATATCGGTCAGAGACCGAAGACTTATCGATCGAAAGTTAGGGGATCCCCAAAACAGCGTTCTTACTCCATAGTGACACCTTGTGTCCCATCACTAAATTAATTAATTAACTCGCTATACGAACATAATTCATCCAAAAATCAATAGGCTTCTGCTACGACATAAGATGAATGCACATGCAAAATCTGGAGCAGATTCAATCTCGCTTTCGTGAGATATCGCGTGCATCTAACAGACAGACAGACAGACACACAGACAGACAAATACCTATTAACATACTTACCGATGAAAATCGATAAGTAATTACACGTAGAGAATTACAAGATTTTCAAATGTACAAAAATATTTAAACCTAATATTCATTTACTTATAAATAACACGTTTTTATTCAAAATAACTGCTAAACATATATTATAATCATTTAAAACGTGTAGAAGAGATTTCTTGCTATTGACTAGGTCAAAAAAAATTCGCGTTTTTGACTAGGTCTTTGGGAAGAAAAATTTAAACCTATTTTTGTTGGAAAAAAGATATTTGTCCAGTACAAGACAGACTCCGATCCAAGAAAGTAAAGCCGAAAAGTAAGACGATCAAATTATCAACTAACTACTAAGCGACTAGGCATCTAATTCTTTCCCATTGGCTGATGTGACTCTAATTTGCTTATTGTACATATGTTACGGCAGACATCATGCTTGTGAATGTCTTGACTTACATCTTACAACTGGCTCTATAAGCGTGTTTTATTTTCTTATGCTCGTTAAACTTAGGTTTTATATGTAATATAAAAGTCATGGTTTAATTCGAACCCGATTTGCTAACTGCCAACATTTCCCGTCACATATGGTGGGATTCCCACGAGCCATCCACGTATTCTATTTAGGAAAAACAAATATTCCTACCATAGTCTTGTTTGCAACTGATCGCAAATGCTCCGCCCAGTTATGGATCTTCAATTTCATGATCCATCGCAGGCCCTCTGTAGGTATTATCGCAAGGTTCCAGATGAACCTTGGCCCCCAAAATTGCGTTTGAAGTTTCTGTTTGGATCGACTCCGTCACATATCGTACCATAATTCGAACGGGTTTTTTCTCCACATACGATTCTTAAAGTAATAGTTAATCAAAAAAAAAAACAGGTCATTTGGAACTAATTTTGAGAGGAGATAACTTATGTGCAAAGCGTACTAGATGACTAAAACTATTGTGCACAATCAAACACAATAAGTTCAAGTGCTGAATAAATTTACTTCGTTTTACATAAGTAATCTATTAGTTCTGGTCATTAGTTCGTGTTATTATATCACGACAATGAAGTGGCCAGATGTGTTTTGTAATTTGATTTTACACTTGAGATTCCAGTTTTAATCTTGCAAATTTCCGAAATAACATGTGTGGCGCATGCTGATAGGGAAAATGCCATATTCAACGAGTAGAACGATTGATTTATTTAGAGTAGCAGTATTTGAGTTTATTTTGAGAAATGTTCCCTGTTGATTATAATAGTAGAAACAAACCTCGAGCCATGAGTAAGCATAACCATCCACATTTACAACCGGTATGACGTAAAACGTCAATCTATCTAAATGTCTGGTGAAGATCGGATCCTTTCCATATCCTTGCAGAAGCTGCAAAAACAAAAATGTGCCGTTACAAACTTTATTTTTTACAGTACTTGATTCAGCCAATAACTCTGCTGTAGTATGTACCTGATTTGGTACTTCCGTAGTGTCAGGTTAGGGTTAGAGGTTAGGCCATATTTTCATTCCGATTTTCTATATTTTAGTTTTATTACAAGTTCGGTGACTCTCTGTGTTAGTGACCCCTGTTCATAGCTTCCATTCCCTTCACACAACTTGATGTAAAATAGGCGAACAGTGTTAGCTACCTCCATATTGGTACACATACTTCTGTAGCGCCCCTGATTTTAGTATTATAATTTTATTTTTTATGTTATTATCTTTTAAATAGGAGTATGCAGGTAAGCATAAACTGCTTTAAGGGATCCACAATTCACGCTTTAGAAGAGCATGATTGACAATAAAAAAATGTTGTAAATTTCACTTTGTACATATTGAAATATTTTTTGAATTATCGAACAACATTCTTTGGCTTACATTTCTAGTGAAACACTGACAGACGGCAGGACCTTATCCATTCTCTTGCATGAAAAGTACAATCTATGAAAACAACGGGATTGTTTATGTCTTTCGTGATAGTAAGCATCGGAATTTCTCTTCCCTCGTATGAGTTTCCAAGAATTGATTTCGTCACGAGATCCGGATATTCATTTGCTATATCATCAACCCACTCATATATCTGTAAAAGACAACGTTTAATAAATGGATATATATCAGCTGAGTGAATACGTACATCCAAGGATTACGAAACGGCGTAGCGCGAGAACGTGAGATAGTAAATGTCTAAATTAAGTCGAAATTGAGTCGTTCGGTCGTGTCGACTATGGCCACCGAACTCGATCGGCTGTAACTCTCACCCGTTTACTGCCATTTGCAAGACAAAAAGCATTCTATGCCCAAATCTTTTTCATTCAGTTATATGAGATTCTTTATCCTATATCTGTTTTTATGATAGTATTGTCATGAACCGCTTCAAGTCTCGCGTCACTTGGTAGTTTTGCGCAATCCAACTCTATAATTACTTATAATGTCAGTAGCTAATCTCATTTGAGTGGTCGCCCGATCACTCTCGTTACCTTCTCAGTAAGGCAAATATCCTTAAAAATATATTCTAGAATAATATAAATTTGGAGAAGCAGTAGACGTGATCATTTCCATTTAGAGCTCTGAATAAATTTTAAACATGAAATTGAATATTTATAATGGAAAAATGTATCTATTTTACGGAAAATGAGCATCATATTATAAGGTGCACTGTCAAAAAATTGCTAAGATTGGTTTTATTCAACATAATCCGGCTATGAGACGCAACTGTTTTATTGCGATGTCCAATGCTGGTTTTGAGTGTCGACAATTAGGCGCACCGGCGCACGATCAATTTTTGAGAAAAAAAGAGAGATTCAAAGTGCGCCTTTGGTCTGTAAAATAGGGTCGTAACCTTCTTTTTCGAGTGCCGAATACGTTAGTTAGATAAAATAGAAGTTAAACATGCTTGCGATGGAAAAATTGAATTGTATTCTGTTCAATACGTCACCTCTTCGAGCGGGTGATAAACGTTGTAATTGTGGGTCAATGACCTCTTTGCGTCCTTTCGTCCTTTCACCTGATTCTCGATCAGACTTTGCACATCGTGGATTTTTATCTGTGTATAAATATAAGTTATTTCATAGAATATGGTGCAGTATTAATATTGTAAATAATGCCCAACCTTTTTTTAAGTGACCAAATTAAATAAAAAATGCTAGAATACGCGCAAATACTAAACGGCATGTGGAGCTTTCACGATAGCAGAATTGAATTACCTAAACACAAAATTTATTTTTACACAGCATTTATTTCAACAGAATTACTTCGAAGTTGTACTAGTTGAAAAGCTGTGATTGTTTGCTATCAACGAGTTTTTAAAACAGGGGTGGCCAACCTATGGCGCATGCGCCAAACGTGGCGCATTGCATGATTAGAGGTGGCGTATTGCATCTTTAACCCTTTTCATGCCAAAATTGTTAATTGCACTTGGCTTCTCCACGCCAAGCCGATTTTTTGCGATTTAGAAGGTGACTTTTGATTGTACCTAAAATCTATTCTCCTTACTCCACGTCGCCCACTTACGACTTGTTGGAATTAGAAACAACAGGCGAATATCGGCGTTAGCTTTTGGACGGACTTTATGACATTCATTCTAAACTTTTAGCAAAAATTAGTAAAATTTACTATTTTTTCCCTACTGAAGTAAAAAGTTCAGAACTTCTGGAAAAATGAAAAATCGTCATTTATCAGCTTGAAACATGGATTTTCCATTGCCCAGACTTCCCAAATATCTCCCAATAATCATTGAACAACCAGTTGAATTGCCCAAGCCTAAAAGATGTATTATAAATCAACCCACAACATGCTGAAAATGACCCCTAAATACCACCTTTTTCATCCAAACTTCAAATGACTGTTGTCAACAAAAGCGAAGCATAAAATCGCTTGCTAATTAGTAAACTTCAAATGACTGTTGTCAACAAAAGCGAAGCATAAAATCGCTTGCTGTGACGCAAGTACTAATCTCGAAGAAGCCTGGAGTAAAATCCGCGTCGCTAGGCCAAACAGCTGATTGGCAAAGGCCAATTAGAATCGAGGGTAGAGTAGAGTAGTTTTATTTATTAAACTTCCTTGCTCAATTTCTATTCATGTGAAGTTGTAAATTGTAAAAAGTACATATACGTGTGTATATATATGTGTGTATTATAAATTTATATGATTTCAACAAGATGCGGACATTAGGCGTGGGAATACAAGAGATTTACGGCGCATCTGAAACATTATGTTTAAAACGTGGCGCATAGTATGTAAAAGGTTGGCCACCCCTGTTTTAAAATATGTAGCATAATAGATACTGTCAAGTTTTTACGCTGTTATGTGTAAAATTATTCTTAAGCAACAGTTCAAACAAGCAAATAAAAGAAGCAAAAGCCTTCACTAAGGAAATAGAATCAATAACTTTTATGCCTTTGCAAAAACAAGCGTACCAAGGAGATTCATTCGATCAAGGAGATTCATTCATAAATAAAACTAAGAAGTCGTCTTTTAAACCACAGATGTTTTGTAGATAATCCAAGCTCGGCTATATTTTGGTAGTGTGCTGTTACTAAATATGTCTAAATGCACGATGTAGGCCTACATAATCGGGTGATGATTTTAATTTAAAACCGGAATAAACAACTTTTGTCATACCTTGTATTCAATTTCATTGTTGTCCATAAGAGCTTTCAGTTCGTCTAATTGTACCCTTTGGAAAATTAATAATTAAAGTATAATATTGCTGTCGGTGAAAAAAAATTCGAAGGAACGCGATTTTATGTGTATATAGTAGTCTTGAATAATACCTTGGGAACTGGATGTCTACAGCACTATCCACTCGAACAAGATCTCCGCTGTCCGGACTCCAGAAATCAACCTAATTAGTAATTAAAAAAGAACAACTAAATATAAAATATGAGTAAGTTATGGAAAGTTGCCTTTCAAAAAGTTGTATGATGTTATGCCCAATACACCTATACATTTAATTACAATCAAGTTTATTTTGGTAGCTGCGGCATAAAGCAAAACAACATAACAATTACAACAGAAAAGTAAAATGCAGATATATTACCTAGGAAACCACCAAAACTTAAAATGAAATTAAAAACGTACGAGAGGAAGCACAGGGTAAAATAAACAAACATGTTGTAAAATCAGGCAATAACTTTTCAATCAATTTAAGTTGTGAATACATGCACTAAACATAAAAAGAACAGCACTTAGTATTCAATTATACAAACTAGTATTCAATTATATTATTAGAATAGCTTGTAAAAATTGTAAAAATCTAATCAGGTGAATATTGCTGTATCGGGCAACTGCCTAATACCGGTATTCCAACAAAAAGATTGCACAGATGCTTTCATGCTAAGGTGTGTATGAGCTGTCAATCGGAGAGGGGTTGCACCTCTATCAATTGCGTGCGAGGAAAAATAAAACATTTGCTTATTATCTCACCAAGCCATCTCTTTCTCCAAGCTTTCGAATAATATCCACCTGACGTTCAGTTTCGGGATACAATGTTAAAACTTGGTCTCTGTAAAAGAAAATTTGAGGTCACATAATATATTATGTAATACCCGTTTTCGCATCTTGAATAGGCCTACTGGTAGAAAAAAGGTGGCTTGTGTGAAGCAACAAACATAGCACCCCGTGTAAGATATTATAGAATAGAGTAGACGAACTGACTGAAAGTTGTGAAAAGCAAAATTGCGCATATACCGGGTTTCCCCAAACCCAGCCTGAATTTTAAAAATGTTTTTAAATATAAGCCCACCCCTTAAAATAAGACCTAGTCGATAGCGCGATTTTTTTACCAAGTAGATAGCAGGAAATCTCTCTCACACGTTTTTAACGATTAATAATCTATGTTTAGCAGTTATTTTAAATAAAAACGTGTTATTTATAAGTAAATGGATATCGGTTTTCTTACTTTGTATATATATACTATATATATATTCGAAATCTCGTAGCCTAATTCTCTACTCTGTACATTTGTTTATAATAAATAAAAATGAAAGGCATTCCCCCAAAATAAAGCTTAGTGTTATTTTTCGAAAGAAAATTGAAATAAGACCTAGTCCTATTTTCGGGGAAACACGGTACATATCGTCACGCTAATAATCGAATTGCGTAAGTCATTTTTAGCAGTTTTGAGAAAAACGTAAAAAACTTCCTAATGATATTGATATGTCATTGAGTCAATAATTTGCCATGGTTCAATTTTTTGGTCGTAGACGGATTTAAGTTAATTTGTATGACGCAGTTATGTGACGTCATAATGGCGCACTGTAACTTAGGCAGAAATGTGTCTATGACTTGGGGACATACGCAATTTTGCAACTTTACTATATACACCAATCCTGAAAACCAAACATTCCAAAAACGAACGTAATTATTAGTATCTACAATGTCTAATCCCCAAAATGGATAATCAGTTTCAGTTACATTATTTTTTATGTTTAAAAATATATATTTCATCAATATAACACGTTCTGCACACCCACCGAAATAAGACTAAGATTAAATATAAAGCATAAAACAGCAATGCACCCTATATAAAAGCCAACCAGGGTGAATTGGACTGTAGTATAAATTTAAATTAATACGCGCTAAGCTAGAATCAGAGATGCAAAAACTCGAAAATACTTCGCCGAGGTTATTTTGCCTTTGTGACGTCACAATAGTCCTGCGGTAACAATGATAATTCATTATGATGGAACAATTGTACAAATGTACATGTCATACTAAATCTCCATTTTTATGGCTTTCGGAATTCTTAAAATAAAATCTGAGTTAACAGTAGGTGCACAGCCTTACAAAAATACCTATTTTATAAAAAAAAAAAATCGCCAAAAATGGCTTGCTTTTATCGTCCAATAACTCGTAATATTTTAAAAACATTTCTTCTAAAGCCACGTCTTGATTGCGAATTGTATAAAAAGTTAGTCAAACGAACTATACACAAGATGGCTAGTGATTTGTGGACGCTTTTTTGAAAAATAAATGCTCCACTCACCCAGTAAAATCTTTCTTCGCAAGTGAAAAATTTGCGAGGACAACGAAGAAAAATATCCCAATAATTTTCATTGTTGTGAGTCCCATAAACACAGTTACAAAAATGGGAATTGTTATTGAATGAAACAGTTATTACCACGATAATAATAGTAGTATACGTCACTCGTGGGAATGTCACAGCTGCGCTTATTCAGCTAACGACACGGTATTATGTTTATCAAAGTCCGCAGGTCCCCGATTATCTGGAGCTGTCATAAGATAAAATCGAGTGGCATACCAAGCACTGTATCTGTGAGTTCTAGATATTTTGAATAACTAGGACCGATTACATTTGCAGCCTATCGTGAAAGTGATATGCATATGACTAGTGTTGGCTATAACCGGGTGGCAATAAATTCCTTAAAGTTAATTAAATCTATTCCACAACATTCGAAAACCATTAGCAAACCTACCACTAAAATCCTCCATGCGACCAGTACACGGCCCTCAACTTGAGTATACTTGCCACAGTTCTTCGTTTGGCGTATTTGTTCAAACCATCCACGCAATTTTCTGAATGCTATACCATCTACAGCGGATGGATTCACATATCCACTTTGCAAACTTTAATAAAATTATTTAATCGGAATGCCTGGAGGAAAGCTAGTATTTTCTCGCGCCAATCAAGAATAATCTAAATCTTCATTCAGCTTGCGCAAACGACGGATGATTTATACAATCGGATTTCGAGAAAAGTAAATTTGTACAGCAGCATGATTTCCACAGACGTCACAAAATTTATTATTCCATTCCAAATATTGCAGGTAAATTAACATCGAAATTCTTTAAAACAAGATTCTCCTTTCAAGAATACTTTTTTTCTATTCATTTCAGATCAGTTACCAAATTACATCGCCAGGTCGCAGCATGTTTGATGAAAAGCCCATAAATACAGAAAACAAATAACTGCCGACATTACAGCAATACAGAGCATATTTCTTTAGGCAACAAACGTAAAACTTGCACTTGCGGGAATTGATATGGAAAGCTTACAATAAGAGAATGATATGAACTTGAGAAGAGGTGAAAATGTTGCAAAAAAAATTACATAGATAGCTCACAAAGTAAAAGAGAAAAGCGAGAGAATGTACCAATGATGACAAACTTGATAAGCAGCATTTGTAAAGTGTTCATAAAAATTATGGTAATGTAGTCTGTATTCCAATATTGAAAATAATTAATTAAAATTTGCAACAGAAATATGGTGTTTTTGTATCAACTACATGCATTATTTATACTGAAAGATATGTTGATTACAGTCAGAGCCAAATCATCATGATAACAATTCTCAAAATACATCGTCCTGACTTTCTACTTTGGATTTACAGCAGTCGCAAATCCAACTCTGTCATTTCCAGCATCAAACGTTGTGTAATACTTTCCCATAAAGACATCGCCGAGGATCCACAAAGGTCCAGCAGGAGGAGGAATATCCATTCCCATGAAGCCAGAAACGCAAATTGTCGAGTTAGCAGCAGATTCCTGAAATTTAAGTGAGTTGTACATACGAAGGAAGGTAAGACTATTTGTGCAATTAGCGTTGAAGGAAGTCAGGAAATAAAAGTATATTTTTGAATCAAAACATTGAATGATGGGTACTCCCGTTCTATGTTCCCGTTCTTTTATTTTAGTTCGATTACAAGTTCGGGACTGTTTGTGTTAGCCAAGTGAATATACTCCCTGGCCATAGGTTTCAGTCTCTCTACACAACTTGATGTAAAGTAGGCGAACAAAATGAGATATCTTCATATTGGTACTCATATTTCTGGAGCACCGAATGATGATATATTGCAAGAAGGGTGGATCACGGCAAATAAGACAGCTTAAGCATATGGTAAAAAGTGGGCCCATGTAAATTCTCAAACCAAATCATTATATGAGGATATATTACAAAATGAAATGGTGATGATTTGTGAACCACTAAAAAGTTGTGCACACGAAAAGTAAGAACCCATTTCCCATATCTCTCAGGAATACCACATGCACATTGTTTTCCAAAGCATGGACTTGATAGTGGAGGAAGACGTAACCAACCAGCGGTTACGTGAACCACCCTTCGATGGCAAGGAGTCCAGCAATCCTCTCGCACATAACTAATCCCCGCATGGAATTCGAACCCGCAAACAGAGGTGCGGTAGCGAGCTTAATCCTAATGCATAGCATGATGCGCCACACTGCCGCCGAGATATATTGAGAAAGCCTAACCTATTTTTTGAACATTAAAAATCCAAAGTTTCAAAATTTATTTAAATACCCTCAAACTAAAACAGAAATTTTACTTGGTTTACCTGGAGTACGTAGTCATGTGGTGTGAGAGTGTAAGTTTTCCCGCTCAGAATAAAATTGATATTCGGCATGTTTGGAATGTTATTGCACAACACCAACCACTAAAGAAAGAATAATGATATTGAAGTGTGTTTTTTTTCTTTTGATTTAGGTAAAAATGAAGCATCTATGTACTCAGGATTGAAACTTGGGAACTTGAATAGCGAGCTCAAAATTAGTATCTGAAATTTAAAACATAACCGTTCGGCACTGCACGTATTCATAATTTGCTTAGATCACAAACACAAATCTTGCATACTATTGCAAATATATAAAAATAGAAGGTTCAATACTGATATTTGCAACACCGAGATTTGAGTATTATAGAATTTATTTAACCTCCCAATTCATATCATTTGGAAGAAATCAAATCAAAAATTTGTGATAAAATTTGACATTCTATTATTATTTGATTGTAATTCCTAAAAAAATGAATTACACAAAATATTTCCTTGTTGACATTTAAAACAAGAATATCGGTCGGAGACCGAAAACTTATCGATCGAAAGTTAGGGGATCCCCCAAAACAAACTGCGGTTTCGATTCCTTCACTCTAACTCCACAGCGACACCACGTGTCCCATCACTAATTAATTAATAACTCGCTAATTATACTACATAATTCATCCAAAATCAATAGGCTTCTGGTCCGAGATATGATGAATGTACATGCAAAATTTGGAGCAGATTCAACCACGCTTTCGTGAGATATCGCGAGCGTCTAACAGACAAACAGATACCGAGATCGATAAGTAACTACACCCACCTCTCCTCCAATGAAAGGTATTGCACCTATCGCCATGTTGAGAGTTTTGATTTCAGCAGTTGGGCCAGCAATCAGGGAAGTTCCGGAATCGACAATAGCCTAACAATATAAATTACGTGGTTACTAAACGTCAAAAAATTTATATTCATCATATGTAAAATTCAAAACATGATTTGAGTCCTTGATGGAAATTGTAAATAACGTGCAAACATCTGGATAACTTATCATTTTATTAATTCCGAAGAAAGGAAGCCTTATAAGACAGATTGATCATATGGCATACCATGGCCTCTTGTACGGTTACCAGGTTTAGCCAGTTTTTTGTTTCAGATGCATAGAAGCCGTAACCGTAACCAACCAGCAGTTAATAAATGGAGCACCCTACAGCAACCTTACCTAATATAATAAATGTTTTTATAGTTTCAACGCTCGGATAACAAAAAAAAGAATTCTCAAAAATGGACTTACCTCACATCCTCCATCACATACTGTAGTTTTTCCAACCTGTTCACAAAAAATGAAATATTTTGGAAAAAGAATAGATGCACTTTTAAATTTGGGCAAGCAATTGAAACCAATTTTATCTCATACATTTGCAAATGATAAGATCATTTAAAAATTCAAAAACAACAATTCCTATCTTGTAAGTCAAAACCTTTACTACAATGGTCTCTTCAAAAAGATATTATTAAAAATGACAATAACCCTAAAATAATGAAAAAAATATTTCACCCTGATCTTCCCATGAGGAGAATGAGTAACATTAACACCGTCCATATGAATTTGCCAGTATGCCTGAAAGAAGAAAATCAATTTCATTGGATAGCATCCTCAAACACAATTAAGATAGATAAGATAACTGCCTAAAGTTCCCCTACTCAGTTGAGATTAGCTGGAGCTGATGTAAAATAAACAAATGTATTCAAATTAGGTATTTAGTTCGCTGATCTGATAATTATTAATAATAAAAGACACATGAATATGAAGTATATTAAATTCAAGAAAACGATTTTATGAAAATTCGTTTCAGCAAAAAAATTGAGATTGTTCAATTTTGTAGCAAATTCATTGATTAGTATCAGCTGATGAAATGGTAAAATGATTCATTTAGATGTTATTAGAAAATTTGGTGACCTCAATACCTAAATACTTTGAATTATTATAGCCAAAATGTTTTTAACTTATCACCTTTCTTGTAACTTTATTCCAGCTGAAATCTCCAGTGAATCTACTGGTGTCGACACCACCAAGATAGATTTCGCCTCCTATTTGTTGGTTGGGATTTCTTAACATTTAAAAAAGAATTTGATCAAATAAATATATGCACAGTCGATAAAATGAAGTGGAATATGGTAACAAACTTTGTATTACGTCAAGAGTATGAGAGTGTTGGAGAGGCTTGAACCTGGAGCCATTTTTTAATTCAACTTGAGTAGTACTCAAGTCACCATTAATTCAAGATTCAAAGTGTTTCGAATCATCTAAATGGGATGACTCATCATCATCTAACTGTCAGTGAGACTTAACTCATTTATTAACTCGGACTCGTCTCAAAGCTCAGATGACCTGTAATCGGACTTAGCTTTAAAGTATTTTTCGTTTTTCAGATTACATGGGAAAGACAAACACTTATATTGTCACAATAGTTCACTCCATAAAAATCCGTTTACCAAATACCCGCATAGTAAACTATTTTAAAAACCCACTCCATTCGACCCACCGTATGTCCTTGTTATTATCGAGAGTTCGTCAGCCGAAAAATAAATAGATTTTTGATGATATATTTTTAGGCCATATTCTACCGATTTTTCCACAATTAGCAATTCCTTATCATGACCATGAATATTGAATAATTTTTGGTATTATTTGATGCTGAATCTTGTGCTATCGCTAATTAATTAGCAGAGACAATTAGCAGATGACACTCCATTCATCAACGTCCTCACCCCTGCAAGAAATGAATTGAGAAAAATTAATCAAGAAAATTTATACCTGTTTAGGTAGAATGAAAATTGTGGTTTCATTCCAGTACTTTCAACCATTGTATTGAACACAGGTTTGATTCCATTCACAGAAATACTTTGATAACCGAGCCCCAGTATTCCATCAAATTGAGCTACAACAAAAGTAATGCCAGGTTCTTTGACGGCTTCTGCAAATGTTTGATTAGAAGCTGGCAATCCTGCAATCTGTGAAAATATAGAAAAAACTGATGAAATTTCAAATATCTGACACCCTTTGATGAAATCTTAGGCATTAAAAGCATTTCGGTCATTTCATGCGCACAAATCCACCTACACAAAGCATAAAAAAGGCATTGGTAGTTACATTAGTCATGCAATAACCCAATCATTATACAAGGTGTCCACTGTCCATAAAGTTCCTTTACAATTTTCAATTTTGTTCTGAAGTCAGTTTTCGGACCTCCTGAAGTATGCGCACCAAGATGGCGCACAACCTAAACTCAGGTTGTGTACCAGGTTAGGGTTCAGGTTATGCGACATCTTGGTGCGCATACTTCAGGAGTACCCAGTTTTCAATATATCTTAACCAGGTTTGTTGTTTTTTTAATCAATATTTTTACTTCATTTACTATATCTGTGAGTTTCACACCTTCACTTAATGTCTAAATTTGCTATAAAATGAAAGTAAAAGACACGGTTTGTACAGGAATAAAAGCATACATGATAAAAAAATGTCAAAGCAGAATATCTCACATCATACAGCAATGCAATAAAATGACAGAACAAGAAATATCAGATTCCCAAAAGTTAAGGAAATGACTAAACAGGGTGCTTACACATGATGGAAGTACTTGGTTCAATAAGATTATATAATAATGCATCAACCCACATACACACAGTCAAAATAATATAATAGTATTTTGTTTACTCATTTTAGTGATGTTAAAAAAATATACAAACGATATAAAATTCCATAAATATTTATTAGGAATACCCTCAGGCTTTATGCTGATGACTGAATAAAAGACCACAAAATGAATAATATAAAACTTGCACTTAGGCAATAATATAATAGGATGTGATTGTTGGCCATCAAAGGATGTGGTGTTGCAATAATGCAATATTATTTTAAACAAAGTATAGTGAAATGAACCGGTTAAATGAAATCACGAGATAGAAGTATTGATTAAATAGCTCGTATTAATATCAAGTTACAGTTTTGTTCTTAATTTCAATCTGAATATTTACAACATTTAGAAGGAACACCACAACGGATCTTGACAACCATGTTTCAAATGGTATAATAGGTATGTCCAATCATTTAAAATTAGAGCGCTTCCCAGAGTTTTTTGAAAATTCAAAAGCTGTATCAACGTTTTTGTAATATTTGTAGTTTTACAGTGAAATCATGAGTTCTAGAAGGCTATGTTACATATATTTTTCTAAATATGCATGACTGTATAAATCAGCCCAGAAATCTTTTTACTAAAGTATACTACTAAAAATATTTGCTTTTAAAAAAATTTGCAGTCATTATTATTTGCATTCATGTTTCACACATTACGCAATATTTGCAGTGTCAACATGCATGCATGAACAAAAAAGCAGACATGAAAAAAGTCATGTGATATTTCAAAGTGCAACTTGTTTACTGATTTACAGAATCACATGATATTGGTCAATGACTGTCTTCACCGGTTTATTCCAGTATCATGGGATAGGCGCGTGACTCGCATGAATTTGCTTACATTAAAAAGGAAAGACATGTATTTCTTGAGATTCAGGTGACACATTTATTTTTACCGCGTCTCAAAAAAGGCTTTAACTGACAAATTAATAATTCCTTTTTACTAGGTTACAATTTTGTTTTAATGGTAAATAGACTCTACTTTCTACATGATGATATTACATACATTATTATAATGATATTACTACAATATGATGAAAAACCAAAACCTTCCTGTTTAGCGTACCCTTATCAATATCATTATGCAACTTTACATGATATGTCCAATTAACATAGCAAAATAGAATTGTGGCATGATATTACATCAGAAATAATACTATAGGAACAAATAAAATGAGACTAGTTACTAAATGAACCACTCAAAAATAAACTGTCATTTGTGAAAAAAGAAAACCATCTCCTGATGATATTCTGAAAAATTCTTTCAATTGAATTACCAATATCTGGTCAAATTTAGAATAGATTAATTTTCTTCGCATAAATGTTGAATTTGAAGTACTACGGTAATTCTGATCACCAATTTTTCACACTTTTTGTAGTCTGTCCATGAACGTATTAAAATATAAATTATGACTGGAGTCTGCAAATCCAAATCTGCTTTACACATCTTACAATCATATACAGTATTCTTATAGACCAATGGTTCTTTTTTCAGCACGACCCAAATCTGAGTTTTATGGATTCTTGCGACCCAAACCTTAACATTGCGAAAATGTATTTTTAATTTTAGTACTCTTTGACTCAAATACAGACAACGATTTATTAGAAACGGTCCATTAACTCAATGTGATTGGTGAAACTGAAATTTCTTGTCTCTAATACACAGCTTTATTTTACTGAGCGCAATGCGCGAGTCATCACTAGAATCGAAGCAATTGCGAGGGTTAGTTTTAATATTCGTCAGTGCCAAAATTTCTTGCTCGCACAGACTCGTAGTCGCGAATGGTAGCAGAAAAGTCATTGCTCCGTTTCCAATTACCTATACCACTGTCTGTCGCAAACAAGACCTCGCTAAGCCTTCGGTCTCTCTCACAATGTACAAGTTTTCAATCATCAGCTGAAGCCACATTCTCTCTAGCTAGATCATGAATTAACTAATGTTGAGAGACAAGCATCTTTTTTGCCTTGTTCAGTAGGATTCACATTACCAAAAGAGGCACCCATTTTTGGTCATTTTGCTTCAGTAAGATGCCATTTTGCGCCATCAACACAACACCAAGCGAAGTGCATAGTTACCGACACCATAAAACAACCCACATGACATTACTGGTATATATATATATATAAATTGTGATGCAACAATGTGCTCAACCAAGCCAGTTTTTTCCGTAAATGACATTTTATATTTCATTGTTTTCAAATACCAGACTAGAAGATAAATTGAGAAATTGGACTAGCTGAAAGATTCAGCTCCCTCTTCTTGGATCGTCCTTGCATTGACGATCTTGGCGCAACCCATTTTAAGACCTTCAGCGACCCATACTTTAAGAGCCACTGTTATAGATGAACCATATAAGAAAATCTTACTGTAACATCATCCTGACTGCAAAATCCAGTTAGACTCCCTGATCCATATCGAATTTGAAAATCAGTTCCGTTTTTTTTATAAGTATCTGATTCTGTGTGATCGTACTTGTTGTGGAGCACTGAATAGGAAAAATATCGTCCAGATTAAAATATAAATATTAAATAAAGGCATTATTAAAAATTTTGGAGAAATAAGAATAGGGGCAAATTGGTTAATAGGAATCATTTTTATTCAAAATTTAACCATGTTAAAAGTTTACATTTCATAGAGTAACAAAATTTATCTTATTAGGTAAAAACAATATTGGCCCAATCCTGACCGATGTAAAAAGTAACACTGTTTACATCTATGCACCAGAAATGTAAGATCAGCAGAAAATATCTGAATTAGGTTAAGAGAACAAAATCCTTCTGATCGGCAATATACAATGTAGATTGATTTGCTGTGCAGAAAAAAGAAAAATATTGTGAACATACTACAATAGAATATTGCATTAATATTTTGAACTTACAGCATGCAATGTTGAGGTACGAGCAAGTAGATGATGGAACCCATAAATTCGATGATCCTGTATCAAAAACTACAGCAAACTTTTGTCCAGGAGTACCGATTTGTATTTCCCCAAAATATTGCGCCTGGTAAATAATGATGAATAAAATAAAAGATAAATTTCTAAGGAATTCTGGTCCAGGCTAGTCTATCTATCAAAAAAAAATTCAACTAGCTAAAATGAAATTTTGACTCTGACTTTGAAAACTTTGGCGCCCGCATGCCTTCTTGACGTGACTGATGAGAATGTTTAGTCAATTTAATATAATTTGAATTTGTTGAAAATTTTGACTTCAATCGCCACGATTTAATTACCACACTTGTCTCTCAGAATCAACTGTATGCTAGCTCTAGATAATTTTATTCAAGCGAGCTAATATTTTATCTAGAACCTACATCAAGATAGTTTTTCAATATTTCAGGTCCACCATCTCCCACTGAACCAAAGTTGTACTTGTTGGCAAGGTTACTCGTATATGTTAACCCCTCTTGTCGGAGATGTTCTCGAATTCTCTTGAACTTTTTCAGCTTAACACTGAAAAAATAAGTCATGAGACAGTGAGATTCCAAGTTATTATCCGAAGGATAACTTTTCACAGCGAAAGAATAATGGACATGATGATGCTTAATTAATGCATAATAAAAAGTATGAGATAAAGATTTCAGGGCTTTACAGTATTGAGCTGGTAAAGATGCTAAAGCAGTAGAACAGTCATGCAAACTCAGAAATTGCATGGCAAATGTGCTTTAGTTTTGATAAATCAATTCGTAATAAATTTTAGTGTTACGTTTCCCCTGCACTCATTGCAGCAGTGGTTAAGAATAAGACAGCACCACCTGGCCACTCTACACAGCTAGCCTACCGGTACATCAGCCCTGTTAGACTGTGAGACCATAATAGAACACCAGTCCTGCAGTTACTGAGTTCTGGAGTACGCAATTTCAGAATTTGTGCTGAGTAAAGTAAAAAGTTCATATCTTGGCATTTGAAAAATTCATAAAATTTGTATCTGTATATCACGGTAGGATACGGTTCTGCGGTACGGCAATTCCTGAATTTAGTAATTTCCGACGCTAAAGTACCGGTACGAAGATGCATTAAATTCCTGCATTCAGACATCAGGACATTGCAAAATATGAAAGTGCAGCCTAGAACAGTAGAACGTAGAGGGTGTATACTCACATCTGCCCAGCATTACAAATGGCTGTCAAGCAAAGCAAAATTATTGCAAACTTCATCATCTGTTTAGGTTAGCAATGGACAACACCACACAAACGCGAACGCAAGACAACTACTGCGAGTTTGAAAATGTAAACACGGTCACGAGACGCCGGAAAAAAAATAGGCTATTAGTGCTATCACCAACTCTGCCGCGTTTTAGTTTTTGGGTGATTTGTTCTCTAACGTTTTTGACTCAACTGCCAGAAAGTGAAAGCTACTTTTGGATGTTTTCGCGGCCCTTGGAAATTTCTTTCTATACGTTACAAATGCAAAATTATTTACGGAAAGCTGCGTTTTATCACAGTACCGGTATGGATTTTTCCCCACCCTGGACCTCAGAAAAATTATTCTTATACTTTACCGATGCAAACTTTTTGACGCCTATTTTGAGAGTGTTTTCGCGAGATAGCGCAATACAAGCTGGTTTTCAGTCAGTCAGTAGTTTATTTACTTACATGCCAAGTACACATTGTACAAACATAATTAGGAAGGATAAAAAAAATGCATTTTAGTGTGAAGGGAGACGCAATAAACCAATGATGCTTATAGATCAGCGTCACATATGAAGGAGTGAGTCTAACGATAAATTATACTGAGGAAAATAGAGAATACCAACAAATGCCTGTATATAACCAACATCTTGATTCGATACAACCTCCTCCATTTGAAAGTGCTCATAGTTAACTCCAGTCGAGTCTATCGCAGCATATGCCATTGCGCAACTAGACTAAAACTCCTCGGGTTATTCGATTTATACCCAAATCTCAGGAACATAGCTAAGTACTGACAAATAGCTAGTATTCAAAACCACAGAAACGAGCCATCGTTTACAACCATGTTTGAAAATTTGTCTACATGAGAAAAGTGTCTTGTACTTCGACGAACGACTTGATTTTGTAATTGCGAAAATGCAAACTATGCATGCGAATCAAGGTAAGCTTTTGCAATCAAAATAGCGTTTTTAGATTACAGCATATGGCCTGGACGATAGTTTGGTAATTTACTATGAAGCCATTCCAAACCTGTGCAATCAAAGGCCTTTTAGGCCTAAATCCCGCATGTAAGAAAATGGAGGAAATGTATCATTTGTTGAATTCTTGAATATAAAACAAAAGATTAAAAGAGCGATTTATTCCTATTAGGTTATATGAAATTTCCATCGAATAACCACTTGAACATTCAAATCGTGGTAAAACAACAAAGGATTAAGAAATCTCATTTCGCTTGTTCATTCCAATGTGATGAAATGTAATATGAGAATTTATTTTCAAAAAAGGACGATTATTGAAAACCAAAAAAAGATCCATTATTACATGTAATGCCACAAAAACGTCCGCGCAGAAAAGTATAAAAAATGTAACTTTGAATTCTTTATCATATGTAATCAAATATCAATTGTTGATGAACAATAAATTATTTATCTTCCAATGCTTTGCGCAACCCCTTCAGAAAACAATTGTGTTCTTTTCCACAATTTGTAGTTTCAGTCATTTTTAGATTTCTTGCCATTACCTGTAAATAAATTGAAAAGTAAAAATAGTTGATATTGCTGTTTTCATAATCAATTTTACATATACACGTATATACAACAACCTAAATATATTTTTGACTGAAATCCGATTATGAAGCACAATATTGATCCATCAAAAAATTTTGATGCTTCTAGTTTGATAGCATTCTTTGTTCCGCCCAACCTGAATGAGATTTTCCTCCATATCTTGAAAATCATACGCCTTGATAGCGTCATACACAGCCTTGAATGCTGGTTCTTTTTCATTGTGATAAACACCTCGGAATCCATGAACAACTTTCACACCATTTTTGGCAGGCTTGCACATTTGACCAAACATACAGTGGTCTGGTCTATAATTCCAATCGCAAGAGAGCTCATACAGCATATCTGTAAACAATATAACTCGACAATTTCCTAAGAGAGAACATAGGCATATTCTATATGTAAAATGTTGAATTGGACCAATTTGTCACGTATTTTGCACATTAATTAAGCTATGCACGTAAGGTTGGTAAAGTAATACTTAAATCGTTGTGTAATTAGTCAGAAGGTAATAAATAGGGGCTTAGTTTTCAGGTATTGTCCATAGCTATACACAGACAGGGCTTCGTTCGATCCGTTTTTCATATGGCGCTGCGATGGTCAAGGCGGGCCCTGCGTAAAATATACAAAACCTCAGCGAAGTTTGTTTACCCACCAGAATTATAGTGAAATATGATATTGAGTAAATCCTGTTCGCCCCATGTTAAACTGTATTGATATTTATCATACAAAGGCTGAAGCATATCTTTCCATGTCATCAAACTATGTTTGAAATCATTCCTGAACTTGGCCTTTCGCATTCGAGTCAAATTCATAAGTATAATCTAAAATGAAAGCGTACCAATCAACAACTTCCCGTAGAAATACAGTATATAGCTACATAAAGTGCTGTCGATATCTTGTTCTTATTCAGAAGCAAAAAGGGTACTCCCGTAGTATGTGAACCAAGATGACGGACATCGGAACGTAGTATGTGTACCAGGTTAAGGTTAGGCCATATATTTTAGATACAAATACAACGGGAGTTACTTGGCTAGTCTCCAAACTCGTAATAGAACTAAAATAAGGAAAATTGGAATAAAATTATGGCCTAACCTGGTACAGATACTACGTTCAGATGTCCACCATGTTGGTTAACAAACTACGGGAGTACCGAAAAAGTTTCGTTGAAGTTCGAGAGATAAATTTTCACGCCATCTTCGAAGGCGGCTCAGTAAGTTAGGTTCAGATCGAAAATTTTGCAAATATGCTAAACATACTTTGCATTGTTGATCAGCATGCTTCCGAAAAAACTGCACTTACTCCTGCATTGAGACCTGTTTTCCCGTAGTATGGAGTTCTTCCGAGCCTGTTGTACCAACCCATCTTTTCATCTTCATATTCAATGCACATCGCGGATAATTGTGTAGAGTTGAATCTAAAATTTGAGGGTTGTCGTACAAAAGTTGTCTTAGGAATTTTAGCAATATTTACAGAATCGAAAATGAATATAAAAACAACAAACTATTTGTATTCATTGTATTGCGAATTGTCGCTGGATCCGGACAGAGAAAAAAACTAAAAACTAAAAAACTGACTCACTCTGCAAAAACGCTCCAAAGTTGAAACACATCACTGAGGAAAATGACATCAGTGTCGACAAATATTACAGAATCGATATCTTCACTAAGCACCGTCGGCAAGAATAATCTTTGTGATGCGCATAATTTGCATAGTTCTTTCCATTCTTTCGCGTTTTCGTCATTAGGATATGTAATTCTATAAAGTTTATACTGAAGGCTAGAGCGATACTTTTCAGGCCAAGACCAAATTCTGAAAAAATTTTTGAGAATCTCTAAAAAAAAATACGATTTTCGGGTTAAATAGATTCTATGTATACAAATGCACTAACCCTTCGACAAAACCGGAATGAAGAGCATCTTCAGCAAAAATGTGATAAAAAATGTTGTGCTTTGTGAATAGTAATGAAGATTTAATATTGATCAATGCTTCTTCCAGGCGATCGCCGCATGCAACAACAACAATATGTATCAAATGTTTATCGGGATTGCTGTTTCAGTAAAATTAAGTGTTTCTTAATTAAACGTATTAGAGAAATACATTAAAATTGTCTATTGACACCCAGTGTTGAGTGTTGAAAATATTCCGACAGGCACAGGGTAGCGATTTGTGATTACGATAAGTGATTTTGAAACCACCTGAGATAGATAAATTTGCTAATTATTAATTTGCCAATTACTTGCAGAGTAATTTATCTTATGTATATATCGGTTCAGAATGAGGGAATGCGATATGGAAATGCTTTGAATAAGTCGTTAGTCCAATCCAATATATATGCAAGACAGTCCTCAAATCGCCTTCAAATATATATATGTATACTGTATATATACATTTTTTATTCATTCATCTCTCATTATCATTATATACCCCGGTTACCCGGTATATCCTCCCTTCGCATTCATTACACGCCTCGATTTGTTTGGTGCTTGACTGAACGAGGCGCGTATGGTTTTTTCTGAACTTTTGTCCCAACTAGTCATCGATCTATGCTTTAGTTTAGAGCAGCGTTTCCCAAACTTTTTCGGTCACGAAACACTTACACTTTTTATCTCGCTTTGCGGAACACCAAAAAATGAAACTTAAAAATGATAAAGATTGTGTAATGTAGCGGTTCCCAATGGGTTCGCCGTGGCGAGTTGCCAAATGCGCCGCGGAAACTAACAGAATTGTGTTAAACATACCTAGTATGATTGATTATTTTACATATTGCATTTATTATAAATGTTTTATTGTTTCTTAATTTAAATAGTGTGTATATTGATCCATTGATGCATTCTACCATTCTATGTCGTTTACTTTCCATTACTTAGTGCAGGGGTTCTCAACCTTTTTTCTGTTAAAGGATATTAAAAAAAAGCAACACACGAAAACTCGACTGTCATCCAAGTACCCCTGGAAATCTTCTCGTGAACCCCTGGGGGTTCGTGAACCCCAGGTTGAGAACCCCTGAGTCTTAGTGTTTGCCTCTAATGTCACGTCTAATGAAGATGAAGTACTTGTCGCAATTTCGCGAGCTGCAGACCTCGGTTAACGAAAATGCCATTACCCCACCCTAGTTAGTCCGCTTTAGGCCGACGGGTGTCTCCACAATGTCGTGTCCCACGGGTCCCATTAAATATTTATAAAAAAAAATTCCTATTTCAATTTTTTTAATTGGGATATATACATTAAAAATATATCGATACCGATTTTATCGCCGATATCGGTTCCGATCCGATGTATACACATATATATTCCGGCACGGATATAATCCTGTCATAACATGAATAACCAAAATGTTTGTGTGACTGAAAGTGCGACCCGCGGTTTTACCCAGTCATCTTTATCTGGCCCTCCTTCCTGTATTTAAGGTTGCATACCCTTGGTTAAACTACTTAAATCGATTGCACCGTAATTGCTTTGCAACCTAGTAATGTTTCGCCGCAAGACTTATTAATTTAAACAAATTATGGTAGTTTCTGCAGACGTTTGTTGCGCACAAGTGCAAGGATTGTGGATTGTGACGTTTAGTAATCGTCATACACAGTGCCGTACAAGTTTCAAGAAACTCAAGAGTAGCGATATTTTAGATCGTGCGTGTTTAGATAGACTGATAGAGCAAGTAAGGTTAGATCGATACAGTATTACAGTTTATCGAAATGAATTCGGAAAGCAGAGGAAAACTTTGCTCTATATGCGAAACGCCATGCAAAGCTTCTTTCTATTGTTGGGATTGCTGTTTATCGGAAAAGGGATATGACTTTGATGCTGCCTTGACGCATCCCGCATGTCCTCTAATGTCGGGATGGAAGCGGTGCAACAGGAAAAGAACATGGATTTTAATTTATCATCACAATCCGCGTCGCGTTTACTACTTTGTATAATGTTTCAGTGATTCGATTCAATTTCAGTCATAGTATGGTTTCTAATGGGACAAGTTTGGGCCACGTGGGACATGCGGTACAAGTGGGGCACACGTGACAGGTGGTACACGACATTTTGGAGACACCGTGGGCCGACGGTAACGGGATATCGAACGGTAATTGGGCGACTACTCCAAGTTCCAAAGATCGCCATGGCGACCATTTTAGACGTATTTTTGATTCCCTTTCCACAGAACACTTCGAAGACGCCCACGAACACTAGTGTTGCAGTTTGGGAAACGCTGCTTTAGAGCAGTTGTTCTCAGCCTGAGGTACGTGCACCACTAGTGGTACGCAAGCTGATTTGAAATTATTGCAACAATCAACTTTTGTATTTGCCGAGCGTTTATAGCGCGACACATCCTTGTCTTTACAGATCGCCCTTGCCGTTACTGTCCACCGAAAACGGAACGTGCAAGTTCTCGCCGTTTTGCGTGGTGCGTCACAATGCGTCTGCATTAATAAATCGGCAAAGAAAGGAGCGTAAGTGATAGCTGCTAGCACCTATCAAAGTTTATTTGTCCGAGGTTTCGGATAATTTAGTGGTTATGATAATATCAATGGTGGAATTCAGCCGGTTCGCACTGGTTCTATAGAACCGTGTTTTTTTTTAAATGTGAACTGATCAAGCTCGCACGTAACAGGTATAAATTGTGGTCATTTTTTATAGTTGTGGTAATTTTCATTTTGTGATTGTTTGTTTGAAAATTGAATTGTTGCGTCATAAGTACAAGTCACGAGACGACTATAAAATTTGAGTTTAATTTCAGTAAACTCTTTTTTTTTTGATAAAGATTTCTTGTGTTTATTTTTATTTTATAGAATAACACCATTTTTATAGAAGATCAACATTCAAGCATGAGTTTTCAGTAGATCATACACATTCAGGTTTTTAAGTTATATTATATACAGCATTATAGACAATCCTCAACATCATCAAAGATTTCGATGCTAATTTTGACATAATGATGCTTACTCAACTATTATTTTGAAATGTTAATTAGGAAGTAATTAAAAATAATCAGTTTATTTGCTTAAAAAATATGCCATTTTGTAACCGAACCGGTCGAAAAATATTACTTCTGTGATGGAACCGACTTACAAAAAATTTGAATCCCACCACTGGAGATGTATTTTGAAGTAACGAGCAAAATGGCAAAAACATGCCCGTTTCATTTTAGGTGGACAATAACAGGCAAGAGCGATCTCTAAGAGACAAGAGCGCCATAAACGCCATTTAGCGGATACATAAGTTAATTGTTGCAATAATTCAAAGCTGCTTTCGTAACACTTGAAAAGCTCCCGCGTATCACAAGGGTGTGCGTAACTCAGATTGAGAACAACTGCTACAGCTAAATCATAGATTGATGACTTGTTGGGACAAATTTTCAGAAGAAACTATACGTGCCTCGTGCAGTCAAGTTCCAATCAGATCGAGGCGTGTGGTGAAGGCAATAGGAGAATATATCGAAAAATAATAATGAATTCTATTATTTATCTTTATCTTGCTATTTTCTGCAAAATAGTTTTTTTTTTTCTCTTTTACATTTATATTGTAGATATTTTAATTAACATTTGCCTACACTTGGACTGATCACCCTGTATATATACGCTCTCGTGTATCAGTGGCTCTTTGGGCAGAGTCATATTCCGAGTGAAACTATGAAAAAAATACATTAATTGAAAACCCTACCTTGTCATACTTTTGAAAATTTCTTCAGAATGATCACTCAAAACTTTGTGTTGATACAAAGGTACAAAGAAGAACAACAAACTGGAAAGAAACAAAACTGCAATTGCTAATTTAACAAGAATCCTAGCGACCATGGTGCTGGTCAGCATCTATAATATCTAAATCAAACTAAATGATCAATATTCTGTTATACTGAAGACATGTCCAGTTCCTAACAGCGAAAAGGATGAGGAAACGTGAGCCTTTCCGGAGCACGCAGGCCTTAGCCGGATGTTCTGACGCTAGCAAAAAACGCCCGATAGCTCAAAACTTTGGTTATGTGGATACCGGTGTAGCGAAGGTGGATTGTAACTATGGGTTTTAATGTTTTTTAACCCCTTTATGGTGGCCCATCGTTGTCACGCGTAAAATTGAAAATAAAAATAAAAAATAAAATAAAAAACCGAAAATAAAAAAATTGTTGTAAAAAAACATAGAAATAATTAAAAAAAAAATTAAAATTAAAAAAAAATAAATAAATAAAAATGAGATAAAGAAAAAAAAATTGAATAAAAAGAAAATAAAAAGGTTGACAACGATGGTCCGCCTCGTGACCCATCGTTGTCACGCGTTTTTATTTTTAGAAAATTTGCTTCTGCTTGGGACCAACGTTGTCAGGCATAATCCTACGCGCACAAATGTGTTCCCTGGGTTTCAAACTCACTACTGATTTTCTTGAGCAATATTCAATATGAAAATGTTCTATAAATTCTCCATGCTACAAGTTCAACAAGAAGTAATATATTTATAATAATGATAAGAGAATATAGAATTGAATACGAAAATTCGGAAAATTTGTTTTTACGTGTATAAGGTAATTTAATTGAAGAATGCTGCTTAACTACTCAGTTGGCTGGACACTCGCGATGCCGGTACCGTCTTACCAAATACCGGTAGTCGCTTTGCGTCTGACCGTACCGGTAGCCATACAATCACTCATGAAAGAATGGGAGATACGGATAGTCTCGTAGAATATAGACTACTGAAACACTCTCTGCGCCTGCCCCATACCGTACAGCCGTAACGTACCGATCCAGACAAATGATAAATCGCCCGTGCTCAACCATTTATTTCAATCCATACCTCGATCCTAGTAGAATATAGTGAGTCGAGGTATGGATTGAAATAAATGGTTGAGCACGGGCGATTTATCATTTGTCTGGATCGGTACGTTACGGCTGTACGGTATGGGGTAAGCGCAGAGAGTGTTTCAGTAGACTATATTCTACGAGACTATCCGTATCTCCCATTCTTTCACGAGTGATTGCATGGGTACCGGTACGGTCAGACGGAACCGTACCGGCATCGCACGAGTGTCTGAGCAGTTAAGCAGCATTTTCCAATTAAATTATCTTCTACACGTAAAAACAAATTTTCGTATCCAATTCTATATTCTCTTATCATTATTATAAATATATTGCTTGTGGTTGAACTTGTAGCATGGAGAATTTATAGAACATTTTCATGTTGAATTTATTGGATATTGCTCATGAAAATCAGTAGTGAGTTAGAAACCCAGGAAACACATTTGTGCGTGTAGGATTAAGCCTGACAACGTTGGTCCCAAGCAGCATCAAATTTTCCAAAAATAGAAACGCGTGACAACGATGGGCCACGAGGCGGACCATCGTTGTCAACCTTTTTATTTTATTTTTATCCAATTTTTTTTTTTTTAATTTTTTTTTAATTTTAATTTTTTTATTAAATTTTTTTTTTATTTCTTTTTTTCAATTATTTTTATGTTTTTTCACAACTATTTTTTTATTTTCGCTTTTTCATTTTTTTTTTTTTTCATTTTTTTTTAAATTTTACACGTGACAACGATGGGCCACCATACCCCTTCAAATAAGTAGTATGTTGAATTCAATTTAGCAATTCAATATTAGGATTTCCCTGATTATGAGTCCCATCCCAACAGCTTCGAGCATTAGCTTTGTCTCACGAAATCCTCGGGGAACGGCTTTTGTAATTGTAGCGCTGAAATAACAGACTTTTACTGACTAATAATGTTCCAGTTGTGGCAAGTATTCACGACCAATACTAGACTATTAAAAATGTCTTGCTTTGTTAAATTAATTGCGGTGCGCCGACTTACGTCAAAATAAGAGAATCACTATAAAATAGCAAGGCAATACGAAGGTGTAGCGAATGTGCATTGTGTAACTATGGATTATAATGTATTTAACCCTTTCATATTAATAGCATGTAATATTTCACAAAATAGGCCGCATTATGTTTCGCAACAGCGATAATGCATTCGCTCCATGTATTGCCTTTCTCGTTTCGACCAATTTGATAACGAATCGTTTCCGGTTTGCCGAGAATGCTCTATAATATTGTGTTTCTTGTTTCACTCGATATATGACTTGTGATCTGACCGTAATCTTACTGCATTAGGAGTTACGTGTATACAATTTTATCTGTATTTGGAATTTGGATCGTGCATCTTTTCAATAATATACACAATTCGACAATCATCATCGTGTGCTTATTATCGTCTGAGGGAATCCAGATTGGAGTCACATTCCATAACACGTGAAATTAATAACGTGGGAATCGAACTTTGAATATTAGGGTGAACAGTCTTTATCCCTAAGACCGCATATACAGTATTTTATAGCTAGTTGTGATTCGTATTTTCGCAATGTTGCGAATTCTACAAATCCGATATGTTGTAGCGAATGTGCATTGTGTAACTAGGAGTTATAATGTATTTAACCCTTTCATTTTAATAGTGTGTACCATTTCCCACAATAGGTCATTTTATTGTAGCAACACTGATCACTGATTACATGTACTGCCTTTCTCGTATCGACCAATTTGATGCATTGTGTAACTTGGAATTATAATGTATTTAACCCTTTCATTTTAATAGTGTGTTCCATTTCCCACAATAGGTCATTTTATCGTAGCAACACTGATTACTGATTACATGTACTGATTTTCTCGTATCGACCAATTCGATGACATATCGTTCATGCGTATACATGCGTATATCCACGGGTTCAATCTATATGCGGGTGCTAAAACCCATGGGTTAGGGTTAGTATGGGTTTAACTATCCGTGAAACAAAAAATATTTCATAGGTGCAATAGCATACAGGTGCAATTGTCATGGGTTCAAATGTACGTGGGTTCAAATGTAATGGAACCGTATTGAAGAATTAAAGACCTCAATACGGCCAATTTCGCACCCGACTCGGCTAGAGCAAGGGATTTTTGAAGCGAGCAATGCGTTTTCTCCATATGTAACGAATCATTTAGCTGGACGACGTAAAAAATGCAGGAAACAATGCCATAATGAGCAAATCTTTGCAAGTTTCCACTCATTGTATATATGCTCATTGGTTCGACGCAACAATAAGTTATAATTTTATCTTCTTACGTTACAATGGTATCGCTCGAAATTATTCATGAATCGAATAGCTTCATAATAGTTCTGCTCAGAGTTGCCATATTGGCTTTTTTAACGCCAAATTTGCCATTTTTGGCTTTTTTCAAACACGTTTGGCGTCAGAATTTCTGTTTGGCTTTTTGTCGTTTTTCTGGCTTTTTTAAGCCTATTCTAGTGTCTATACAATAGCCTATTACCGGTACCGGTACTTGCCGACTTAACATTTGGATTTTCCCGAGCATCGATTTCCTTGTTTATTACCTTAACGCTTTTAACCATACCCAATAAGAAATAATTGCAGTTTCTGCAGCCTCCCAGACCGATGTTCAAGCATGGTTGTAAACATTGCCTCGTTCTTATAGTTTTGCGTATTATTTGTCAGTCTTTAGTTCTGTTTCCAAAAAAAATTTGGATAACTTAATTGTCATTATGCCCTCCGAGGAGCTTCAGTTTAGTTGCTGTAATCAAAATTTAGTCTCACAAACGATGTGATTAACTACGCTAAAATTACGGTACTGAATTAGCTATTACCTGCAGGCGGCACGTGGTTAGATAATTTTTTAATAAAATTGATGGTTTCAAAATTTAAAAAATTTGCAAGAGTAAAGTACGATATAGTGAGATTTTTCAAGGCATATCACAAGTTTAAGTAGAAACATGTAGATATATCACATACTGAAGCGGCACCCTGTATTATTGAATGGTAATATAATGCTGACCGCTTGATGAATGGTAATACAGTAATATAATGTTGCCCGCTTGATATTTCTTTTTATTTTGTTTTTTGACTGTTCCATATAGATGTCAGCTTGACTGTATTGTGTCGAATGTAGATTCTGGTGCTGCCATTCAATTAATCCTTTTTACCTTTAAACCCTTCATCCGGCTGAAGTGGAAATCGTCATGATAGCAACCGAAAAGACATTTGTGTGGCTCACTAAATTAACTGATAGCTCTACATCAGCATCAGTATTGTGCCAAAGACTTAAAATATGACAATTCATGAGGCTTTTGTACTTAGTAAAATTGTTGACTTTTTCTGGCTTTTTTATGTCTTGATTTGGCTTTTCTGATAGCTGGGATCTGGCAACGCGGGCTCTGATGCAAGATATGCAGCGTGCTTTTTCTAATTTTGTTAATGCCCTATGGTTGTGTATGCGAGAGTGAATGACTTGATTCAATAGTTTCAGGTGAGTGAACACATACCACTTCTTTCTGACAATACATTCAAGGTTTTTTTACTCTCCTGATTTCATAATCAGTTTTATTTATTTGTTTTTATCAACCAGTTTATTGCCTCTTTGCTGATTATGCAGTCGAAATAAACTTATCTTATCTGTGAATATACGGAAGTATTTTTAGTTAAACCGATTCCGTTATATGTCTTTTATGTGACAAATTTTTAATGTGCAAATGTTACTTTGAGATATCGTAAAGAAAAACTGAATCAACTGCGCACTTGTTGGGTGACGTTGACCCCTTTTCAATGAAATTGTGAGCAATATATTTTGATCAAAAACTGATTCTGAACTTATTGTTGTCAAATTTTTATAATCAGTAATATTTGTATTTCAATTATTTTTCACATTTATTGGGTCCTTTCCAAGATAAATTTGCGATTAACTAATCATTTTCGAAGAAATTGTACATTATAAAGATGATATGTGCCTGGCACATCAGTTAACGGTGAAATTAAATCGTAACCGTTAATCATCTAAAATCGGGTTAACCATTCCCAGCCCCACTGAATAGCTATAGCAGCGGTTCCCACCATAGGGCCGGGGTCCCTCAAGAGGGCCACAGAGCAGTTGGAAGGGGCTAGGCACGAAAATCATTTCAATTTTCACTCCATACTGCCATATAAACGCTCTTCGTTCGCCACTGTCACGTCAGCGAAATCCTACATAAAAATATACGATGTCATAAAAGTATGTTCCCACTTCGCGAAGTATTTCTAATCAATAGCCACGGAAACCCAACCCTAACGAAATTTTAGACCTCATTTGCTCAGTGCAATTAAATTATTTTTTATTCATAAATTTTATAATGAAACACTTTTTATGACATCGTATTTTTGAGCAGCAGGATTTCGCTAGCGTGACAGAGGTCCTCGTTCTTCCTAAATCCTAGTTCCATTGCTGGTGTGTTTCTAATTTTTTATTATTTTGGTTGGTAGGCATGTTACCCACGTACTTGTACGTAGGGATGGGCAATGTAGAATAATTTATAGTTAAATAGATCCGAATCCTATTCTAATTTCATATTTATTCAATAGTGGGAGTTTTCCACATTGCTAGATTTAGATGTTAAAAAATTGTAAATGTATTACTATAATTGTATTATTTATTTGAAAATATCCTTAACTTATTTAATATTAAACCGGCATTTCCAAGGACAATAAAATCTAAGAATATTACAATATTTTTGCCTTCAATTGTTCCAAATGTATGTCATCTCTAAATGCTGATATGCTAAATTACGACGTGCGTTACACGGTTAAATACAAAAATAGATATGAAACGGCATTAAATCATTATTAATGTTGCCCAGTGTATTAATGTTGCCCAGTGTACTAAAGTGCCGAGTGCACTAAAACACATCCGCTGAGAATTAATTAAATGCAGGTCCATCGTATGGCCACTGCAACTTATGCGGCCGTTGTAAAATATTAAATTTACCCACTATCAGTTAAATCAACTTTTTATTCTGTGCGAGCAAGACTTGAAAAACAAAGTTCCCGTAAACACGATTTCATAATTAGTTATTAGGTAATAACATCTGAAGACGAATTTATTTTCTATTATTATCGCTAAATATCATTATCTACCAAGACTTGGCCGTACTCACACTCAATACGTAGGTAACTATCTTCGCCAGATGCGCCATCATTTTTTAAATTTATCCGCGACTAAAATACTACAGACACTCGATCAAACGTGCGTCTTTCTTTAACGATACAAACGGACCGAAAAATATGTAATCTTTTGAAAGTGAAATTTAAATGTAACAGATTGTCGTGTTTTGCCATATAACTTTGTATTTCGGAAAATGGTGTAAAAAAATTATTATTGTTGATAAATTAAATATTGTTGCAATTAGATTATCGGAATATCGCCAGTTAATCAGGACAAATAATTATTATACCCTAGCTAGATAACAAAGCAGGAAAAAGCAAAAATAGTGCAATAACGAGTCTTCGCCGTGAGGTGTACTTCGACGACTTCTTGTCCAGAATACGCCGATTGAGATTACAATTACAGTGTTGATGTCAATCAATCAATCAATCGTTTATTTTGTCATCACAAAAAAACACGTTCAAACATAAAGTGACACAATGAATAAATTACAGTACTAATCATGTTTTTGCGTGACCGGAGTCGCGAGGGACTCCGATTGTTAACTGTTAACTGACTGTTAACCGATTTTACGGGTTCTTTGTGAGCAGACGCAAGTTTAATTAAACGAGAGAGATTTCACGCGAGAAAAAGCGCCCATCTTTAATTGATAAATTAGAAACCCGAAATACAAAAATTGATGCATGGCGCCGGAGAGGCGGAAACCGAATCCTGTTATCAGATCCTGTTGGATTCGAATCCTCCGGATTAGGTATTCTATATTGCCCATCCCTACGTGTACGTTTTTTAACTTTACTTCAAGTTACGCTCGCCTTCCAGGTATCTCTGCATTTTGTTTTGTCTGTTTACTTTTTGTGTTCTTACATGTACAAAACGAAATAAAATGATTGATTGAAGGTTATTCCACAGAGTGTTTTCACTTTGTTAAATATGGGAATATGAATTGTTTGAACATATACGGATCTGGAATCTATCAATCACAATAACACTATAAGAGGCAATCAATCTCTAGAATGCTGGTATTGCAACTGTAAATACTGAAATACAGAAATACCACTGGAATGATAAGCAGTGGGGGCATGAGTGCCAAAAGTATCCGGAAGGAAGTCACTAGTCATTGGAGGCTGGGAATCACTGCTGTACTGCAATATATTTTTGTATTTTTTTCAGATTTTCATGAAAACATTATAGTATTACTTATATCAATAACAAGATATAAGATCTGGTTAGAAAGAAATGCTGTTATATTTCAAAAAAAGATACCTAACGTTCAAACAGTCATAAAACAGATACAAACTTCAATAACATGTCGGAGAAATATAGAAAAAGTTCGAAAATTACCAAATTTCATAAAGGAATTAGAATTTTTAACCAACTGTCTGTGATTATATTTTGAGTAAATGTATAGTTGCTAATATTGTTTTTTTTTTCTATTTTTATGTATAACAAATAATGCTTAACTAATGTATTATTAACTTGTAAACATCTTGATATCACTGAATTGATATTACAGTATTACGGATTATATATGGATTATTGAACATTGGAATACTGAAAAATGGAAACTACGTCGGATATTATGGATTACAGTTTGGAATAATAATGATTGTAAAATTTTTTTTTCCCATTATTTCTATGATTATTACTGTATCACATTTAACACATTTGTGAGCGTTTAAAAAAAATAAAAATAAAAAAAACTTACTAATTTATAGACAATCGCAAAACTCATTAGATTTATCTCTATTTTTATTTATTCATGTTATAAAAGTGTTCCACTGTCAGACTGTAAATCTGACAGGAGGATACAGGGTTACAAGCTGACAAATAATTATTATTTTCCAATTAAGTCATAGATAGTGAGGTTTTGGATGAAGTAGTCAGGTAGGGGTTAAGGATAACTGAATAACATATGCAAAAATGATCATTCCAAGCCCACTAGAAGTAGCCTACTTCCGTACTTGTGGTAGGCCTACCTACTATATTACACTAGCAGACTAGACCCAGTTTCCCTAACCATCAGTCCATAATAATTGTTTATGGTTTATAATCTGATTGTTGATTTTTATGAAGATCTTGTTATATGTTCAATAAGGTTCATGAACAATGAGCTAAAGCGCGCATTTTTAAATAAATTTGAAAAAAAATCTGCGGCTTCTCTCTCAACATTTGAGCACAAAAATGGGGTCTAGTATAGTTTAGTACCACAAATACTTCCAGTGGGTGTAGCGTAACGAATTTTGCATATGGTATTCCTAACCCCCACCTGACTATGCCATCCAAAAATTACGTCACCATCACGTCATATGGCTTGCCAAAGTATAATTACAATCGCCCGAAATGGCGTCTGCACCGCCGATAACGAACTCGCTAACGCCGACGATCTCTCTCCTATGGTGATCGTTGTGACGAAAAAACGAGAGAAATAGCTTGCTCGATTTCGGGTGATTGTATGTGCGTATTGGACGACCATCCGCATACTTTGGTTGGTCTTATTACGCCACTGTGACGTCCAAATGACGTAATTTTTCGGTGACGTAGTCAGGTGGGGGTTAGGATTGACATATGCAAAAATTGTTGAGCCAGGCCAACTAGAAGTGCATGTGGTACTAAACTATACCAGACCCCAAAAATGAAGCTTACCAATACCTAATTACCATAACATTTAATGTGAATCTACAGTTGCAATACCAGAATTCTATAGTTCAGTAGATTGGGTTACACTTTTTTTTTGTGCTTAGCTCCTTGTTAAAATAGCCAAGTGTTGTTTGAAATGCAATAATGCAGTAATGTTCTAGTGTTCTGTTAAAATAGCTAAGTGTTGTTCGAAATGTAATAATGTTCTAGTGTTCTCTTATTTCAGTATTTGGTTGCTCTCAAATATCTAATGAATCTGTGAATGGATTACTTTTTTCACTATTTTATTTGTATTTCTATACCAGCTATGTAGACCGAGATATTTATCTTTCAATATTATATAAGTGCTTCTACACTGCAGAATGATTACTCTGAGAATTTCTAGAGACATAGCACAGAAAGCAAGTAAAAATGTACGAAGACATTTTGCTTCAATTTCTAAATTATATTCAACAAACACTGATGTACAAAATGATGGAATGACTGAACCTCAACACAGAAGTGAACATGTCAATAGGGTAATTTTTGCTGGAAAAGTTGAGAGAGGATATTGTACTAAAACCAAAGGTATCAAGATGTACATGGGAACGTATTTATATCTAACAGTACAAGTTAAAGCAAACAATAAGTCACATGAAGCTATGCAAATGCTTTCAACAATAAAGAAAGATATGAATATTCAAGTTATTGGAAAACTTCACCAAGTTAGATTAGCAAAATTAGTAGATGAAAACGAATCTCGAATTGTTAAAACTTATCTAGCGACATATATTTTAGCAGACACTGTCGAAATTTTCAGCAAAGATGAAGCTTCAGAAAAAATAAAACAAAGAATTAAATATTGGACAGAGCATGGATATGCTCCAGGAACAACAAAAATTATTGGAAATCTTTAACGCCTCAGTGCTTATATCTAAGAAAGAATGCATAGTCTTCTTAATAAATTTGTCTTAAGAAACATTTTAAAATTAACTCATGAGATTACTGTGCGGGGTGGTTGAACTGTTAAATTTAATTATGGTGGCATATCAAGTGAAATTCGAGTTTAAATCCCATGTCTACCAGCTTACACAGTATTGATAATTAATTTTGAAAGATTGGGACAAACGAATTGTCCTATGTGTTCATACATCTGGTCTGCTTTGGAATGAATTGAACTGAATCATATTCCAGTAGGACGCTGCAGAAGTGTGTGTACCAATATGGAGGTAACTAATTTTGTTCGCTTATTTTACATCAATTTGTGTAATGAGACTGAAGCCTGTGGGCAGGGGGTGTATTCAGTTGTCTAACACAGCCAGTCCCCGAACTCGTAATATAACATAAATAGGGAAAATCAGAATAAAATTATGGCCTAACCCTAACCTGGTACACACACTACGGGAGTACTCCCAATAGTCCATTGAACAATATGTTATTCTTTCTTTTTGGATGAGATTGCTCTTGATCAGTAAGTGACAAAACAAACATTTAATATAGAGTTCTATAAAGAGAGCAACTACACCTCAGTTGTTTTGAGCTTATTATTTGTACCAATCAGTTTAGTATCCTATAGCTTATAAATAAAAATTTCTGTTAGAAAATATTATATGACAATAGAAATATTATCAATATTTTTTGCATAGAAATATTTTCAAATCTAGGATATCTGTTTTCTTCCTTCTGTATTGGAAAATAAGTTTTATGGGTTAAAAAAAAGTAAAAAATATCATATTATACAATATAGTATATATTATAAAATATGGTAATAACAAAACCTTTTTTGTTTAGAAAGAAAACAGATATTCTAGATTTTATCTTTACAATCAATCATTATTACCATGCTTCTAACATCAGTATCTCAAATAAATTACCGTACATCATTAATCTATTACATAACTTTTCTATCATCCTCTATGATAAGAATATCAGATGTTTAAATGTATATTATGATCATTAATTTATCTGTATGCATGAATGTTTCGAATAGGATAGGGAACAATACATTGATTAAAATACTATCCTTTCTTATACCGGTAACTGTCATTGCTTTGAGCAAAAGAATTTGAAATGATGTAATAACTTTGTGGTGTTATTTCTGATTTAAGGTTTGGTCTTCGCTTTCTTGTACATTTTTATTGCCTCTAAAATTGTAACTTTTTACTTTGCTTTTACAGAACAAAATGGGCAGGTATCAGCCACCCGTTATTTTGCTGTATTACTTTTCAATATTTTGTTTGTTGGTCGGGGCGAATATTAATTTGTATCTCCCCGTAACGGAAGTTGAAGACTTATTTGGAGCTGATGGAATGGAGTTATATTATATCCGCAATGGGATTATCAACCAGAATGCCATATCTTTCATGGCTCATGTGCAAGAAGATAAAGATACTCTCAACTTTATGTGGAAGGCGACTGATCCTGACACAAGTGTTTTGTATGACTTGAAATTTTTGTCACCAATGCATTCTGATAAGGAAGAAAAGCAATTGAAAAGTCCAATGCATGCTCCAAATGCGACTATTAAAAACAATGGTAAACTTCCTAATTATGCTGCACCGTTTTCAGTTAACTTAAAATGTACTGGATTGGAGGATGGAGAAACTGTTGTTCTTATTTCATTAGTGTTTAGACTTTACGACAACCCAGCAGAAACAACGAAAGTAGAGCTGAAGCGTTTGAAAAAATGTTCAAAATTCAAACAAAATGTTCCAGTCGCTGAAAATATAAATCCAAGTAATGATAACTCAAATGCCCCAGAGAAAAGTAATGAAGACGGTGACACAAATGATGGAAATCAGCCAAAGTCATATGACCCCACCCACAGCAATTCTCAGAGTACAAAAGCTTTTTATATATCGATATCAGTTGTCACATTTATCATCATAATGGCAGTTATTATAGTAAGAATCTGGCATAGGCGACAGCGTAAAGCAGAGGCGGGGACATATTCAATGAACCATGTGTCAGCTAACATGCATCATAACAACCAATTCTTGAGGCCAGATCTACCAAATAATGAAACTGCACCACGACCAGCCCCGGGATCTAACGCAAGCTGGATGCATTTCACTCCAATTATCAATGACTTAGGAACTGATGTTGTCGACATAAGAGCCAAATTATCTGCTATTGCTGTTCCTAAGTCTGATGTTGTACTCGAAGAAATGCTCCAAGAGGGAACATTTTCACGTATATACAGGGGTTACTTGGAGAAAAACGTACCGGTGCTTATCAAGACTGTAACCAAAGCAGCATCTGAGGAACAAACCAGATTTCTTTTATTCGAAAGCTCACTTCTTAGAGGTATGCAGCACAATAATCTTCTCACAATTAAAAATGTTGTTCTTGATGGACCAGAGCCACCTCTGGTCATATTCCCATACACTAAAGGTGGGAATCTCAAACGATATTTACGGGATATCAAGTTCAATGATGTGAACAGTTGTGGAACTCTCTCTTCTGGTCATAGAAGTTTTGAGCAAGCTTCCACTCAGGACCTGGTTGGGATGGGCATTGAAGTTGCTTGTGGCATGAGATATCTTGCAAAGAGGGGCCTTGTGCATAAAGACCTCGCCACAAGAAATTGTGTCATCGACTCAAATCTCAAAGTAAAAATAAGTGACAACGCTCTTTCTAGAGATTTGTTTCCTGCAGATTACTGTTGCTTAGGTGACAATGAAAATAGACCAGTACGATGGTTAGCTATGGAGAGTCTCGTGCACAAAATTTATTCCACTGCTAGTGATGTGTGGTCTTTTGGTGTACTGCTGTGGGAGTTACAATCCTTAGCAGCCATGCCTTACAATGATATTGATGACTTTGAAATGTCTGTTTATCTGCGAGATGGATTTCGCCTCAGTCAACCAATCAATTGCCCCGATCACCTGTATGCAATTATGGCAAGGTGCTGGCATTACTCCTCTGATAAAAGACCTACTTTCAGTGAATTATGGCAGATGTTAATGGAGTTCAATGCTGAACTTGGTGAATATGTTTAGATGATATGAGTGCTCACAAACTACCATTCAAGAAATTATTTTTCAAGCACATGTATATTTTTTTTATTCATGATTTTTTTTACTGATTTTCTGCCTAAATACACATCTGGGATGCGGCTTTTCATGTGGCTTACAGAAGAGATGGAAGCTCGAATCCGAACATTTGTATATTCAATTTTTTACCTATTTTCAATCACTAATTTTATAAATAAACAAAATTAATTGTAGTTTATGGTCAATCAGCATGTTGTCCCAGCATGTTCAGAATCCGATCATGAATATTTAGGGTATTTTCACACTTATGTTAAAAGGGCTGCCGCATTAGTAAACCACTAACATGGACAATTCCGGCGAATCACAATAAGATTGACATATCCCAGAGGTGAGGATAACATTGCTTAACCATATACGGCGAACAAGGGCCTCTCGCCCGGTTTCCAAGTCAGGTATAGGATTAGTTGTTTGTTTTTCAGAAGCATGGACTTGATGTTGGAGGAAGCCATAACCGACCAACGGTTACGTGAACAACCCTACAGCAGGGAGGAGTCCAGCAATGCTCTCGCACATGACTATCCCCATTCGAACCAGAGAAATCAGAGGTGCGATGGCGAGCGTATTCCTAACGCTTAGCACGATGAGCCACACCGTCACGCGTCCCAGTCAAAAAAGTAAATTTTGAAATATTTGACTAGTGGTCAACGCAAAAATTAGGTTGTTCAAGCGGTGGTATATGGCAAATTAGTTGTGGAATGGTAATATAATGGTCACTTATGTGCTACCTCAAATTTTATCTGGTAAAGCAAGCTTATGCAACTTTGCACGGCAGTAGTGATAATCATCAACCAGGTTGATTGTCTCAGTCACTGGAGATTCCATGCAGTGGCATGTCTAGAGAGGGGGCCCAGGTAGCCATTATATACCTTCCTATTCTCATGTATAACAACAATTTGTTTATTCCCCAAATTATTTTTGAAATTAGGTAGAAATGGGTGGCAGCAGGAAAGTTTGACACGTCACTGATTCCATGCCATATAAGAAAACCCGAAGAATTGAACTTTTCTGGATACATTCAGCATCGAAGGAATGAGATTATTACCATAAATCGTTCAAAAGCCCGCCATAATAACAAAACATGGGCGAAAACAGGGTTCCACGAATCTGTAGCAGTTTCCAATCCATTGCCACATGAATGTGTTATAAAACAAATAAATTTTATTTATTTCGAACAGTAAAGGCTGACAGCCGATAATGAAATTAATTATCAAAACCTTCTTCAAGGTGGAATTGAAAATTTAAATATAGATAATATATAATAAGAACCACAATCACAGTGCAAACAATGTTCATTTTTGATAATCACTCAAAAAATAAATTGACAAACAACTGCAACCTGAGAAAACCGTATAGGAAAGCAATTGCAAACATTGTGTGATAAAATCTCACCTTCGATAAGAGCCTCCTTGATAAAAAGCAATCAGAAAGAGGTTCGATCAATTATAAGCAGGGATGAGGAGGTTGTTCAAAATCAAGGCGGCGGTTTTGGAGCTCGACTGCTAACAAAACTATGACGTAGGGATAGGGGTTTCGAATATTTGAAATTTAACTTTTCATAAATACAAATTTAACCTGAAACTCCTAAATTAATATTATAAATTGAAATTTATAAAAAAAAATTTTGAAGGAAAAATGATATTATGTATCAGAAAATTGTTAATGTCTAAAAAATAATTGTATGATTAGGAGTAGGTCCATCAAAATGTCACAGCCTCATGGCTCCAGGCCACAAGCCGTGGTCAATTGGTAGATGTAAGTTCACAAGTAGTATCAAAAAGCAATGCTGTTTTACATAACATGATACCTCTGAAAAATGCATTGGTTATTCAAACAGCAACAAATACATTTCATATTGGAGGCACAATGTTAGTCCTATAGCAATATAAGCTGATCAAAGCTTATTTACTAACAATATTTCAGGATTTCCTTCTCACATTTACTCGTTCTGCCATATCAGCGTGTGTGACATTTCTTGGTGTTATGGGTTTTAGAAGAGTTGATACTATGATTTGGAAAATGCAACCATAGTTTCGACCATTTCTTCTTCTGAGAGAACAGCTTTGTCCTGTCTTAAACTCATTTTCTTCACATATTCATAACCAAGAATTAAAATCCATGAACTGAAGGATGATTGTACAATTCTGGCAGTCATTCCTTTAGTTAGTCCTTTATAACCTTCTGTATTTAACAGTGTTTTGAATGTTGTGAAAGCACTTTGAATTTCCGTGCCTGCCCTCACCTGAAAATTTATTCAAAATAAGAATAGTTATTTTGGTAGAGGGTATGGTATCATGTTTTGACCATTTATTTACCTGCCATGTCGGGGCCCACGAGTTAAAACTCTCAGGACCAACAGAAGGCCCCGGTGGAATAAATTCATTAAGCAATGCAGAATCAGAATCGTTCCTGTATTTTTATCAAAATCAGTAGCTGCTTGTCAATGGCCTAGTTCAGAGTGAAGGTGTGAGAAAAACATTAAATTCAGGTAAAGATGAATTTTTCAATTCAAAGGAGGAAAGAATAAGGCATTTCATTTACCCCATATGACTGATTTTCTCATACCTATGGTTGGTATCGGGCAAACTTGGACTTAGAATAGGGACCAGATACAGAATGCAGTCTCAAAGACGGTTTCTAGATCAAAATTATTTTGTCAAATTGGTAACTTGTTCATGTGTTTTAATAGGCATATCTAATGAACAAAAATCACTATCCTGATTATTCTTACAATAAAAAGTACCTGAAGTTGATATCTTGTTCTGACTACATCCAAAGGATTTGTGAGAATTATCGCAGTGGCAGATCCAAGAATTCCTGAAGCTGATATTCGCAATGCTTCAAGCAATCTCCCTTTTTGCTCAGGTAAAAAACTCTCTAAGAGTTCAGAGTACATATAATAAAATCCCCAATAAAAACCACTGTTCAATCCATAAGTACAAAGTGATACTGCATATCCTCTATAAAGTCCTGAAAGACCTTCTGTTCTTAACAGATGTCGTGAAATATAATATGCTTGGCCAAGCACTGATCGTCCCATAATTCCAGACGCAACTTTGCCATTTTTTCCAGCAATCCTATGGTAAAAATAAGAATCGTAAAAAACAAATTGCAAAAACCTGCACAAGCTAAAATCCATTTCAAACTTCAGGTTTGCCTTTGCCATAGGTGACAATGAACAGTTTCAACACATGGGCTACTTAGTAAGTGTCATATAGAGATTAATAATGGCAATACCATTATCGGCATCATGTTGACCTGGAGGTAATCAATCCATACTCATCATCATCAGACATATTGATAATAAACTTAAACGAGACCTGGATATAATCTACCACCACTGCGTAAATTTTTGAATTCCAATGATCAACAAAAAAGCCTATAATTGTGCTATAAATACCTGATGTAATGAAATGGAAACTTGGAAGTTAATATAATACATATATAATATATATACATATGCACCCATTTCCATAACTACTCTCCTACACATACCCAGACATAGCTACACTCTGATCCACACTTGCTGTCATATGTAACTTAGCACGAGCTGTACTGATTTGCTGATGTTGTGATACAATATCAACTGGAACCATAATAGTTTGTGATACAGTTGATGCCATAAAACCTCCAAGTAAATGTTGCACTAGAATTGATTGACCGTTGAATATAGTTTGCTTGGTTGTTTCATATGTTGTGATGTACAATTGTCCTGCAAACACCTGTAGATTGTTTTTTAGTTTATATAAAAAGGCAATTTAAATCTGGAAACGTGATTACCAAAACATAATATAAACATGTAACAAAAAGGTATTAATATTGCAACAAATAAATCTGCTATCAGTTGGGGTTTTGTGAACTAACTACTTTTCTTTGCTCTATGCTTTTGCACAAGTGGATCCGTAAGCGTATATCGCAAGGATGCTATAGCAAGATCACTATTCAGTTTTAATTAAAGAGTCTCGCTACACACTAACACAAAGTGTGCAGCAAGACTCTCGCTACAGAATCCTTGTGTTACACAGATTCACTTGCGCAAATGCATAGAGCAAATGAAGGTACTGTATATACTCGCAGATAGGTCACAATTTTTTTCTTATATTTAAAAAAAATATATATAGGTACGACCAATCCGCTCAACATAAGTGGAAATCGGCACTACGTCGGAACAAAATTGAAAGTTTTCGGCTATTGCAGCCTTTGCAGGTACCCTATTTTCTGGCTAATAAGCCCATTTTCAGGACCTACGTTCTCGACCTAATTTTCTGGGGTCTGCTTATTAGGCCATACAAAAAAAAATAGGAAGTTATCTATGCAAAAAAGCCAGGGAAAGGGCCTTTTAAATCTATAGATTTTCAGTGCGACTTATGTGTGAGTCAACTCTTAAGTTGAACTTTTTCAACACAAAACTAATAGTGCGACCTATCGTCGAGTATATATGGTAGTTAGTTTTGCCTTCGCAATTTTTTATACGACACTATTTGTGCCTCTGCTCTAAACAAGGCTCTATACAAGCAGCCACTGGTATCTGACAATGTGTAAGGGGCTACTATTATTTGGAATACGACATTGTCTACCAAATTTTACACGCTGAGTGAGGTGGGGCTCAATGGATGATCTTCCGGCTATGAATGTTGAAGAATGTGTCATGATTTATATTTTCTACATCTCTATTATGCCTAATAATTTACAAAGGCTACACAATCTCACCTGTACCAAACTGATTGGGAAACCTCTGTAAAATCCACGGAAACCTTCATGTTTTCCAATCTTTGAAATAGCATCATATGTGCCACGATATGCTGATGTACCTTCCTGAGCCTGGAAAAAATAGATTGAACATATTGTAGTCTGGTACAGTGCTATATAAACGTGTATACTGTATACCCAAGTGCATACAAAGTCAGATCCCGGGTATACAAAACACAAATGATATACGAGGGTTTGTAGCTATGGTCTGGGTCGAATATACTCTACATTACAGCCAGTTTTGAAACGGATGCGGTAAACAGTCGACATTAGAATTCGCAAGTACAGTGTTTGTTTTTCAGCGAATTTTACGAGGTACCAGAGTGAGACTTCTGTAACGATTTTATCAAACAACTTCTTTCTACTTTTTTATTATCAAATATCCTTTATTATTTGTGCGGTATGCAAAAAAAATAAAAAGTAGAAAAGGTATAACACTTAGTAAAACAGTAAAAGGTTGAAGAACACTGTTACACTGGTCTAGAATATGATTCATAAGACTATTGACGGATAAACGCAGAAACGAGTAAAATGACGACAAAATTCTAGACAGATCCTTCACCATAGCTGTGTAGAAAATTATAACTAAAAACATATGAAGGCACCTGACAATACCGCAGTAACAAGTAAACAGAGTGAGGCACCACCATCGTGGGTGTCCCTATCTTTTATGTATCATTTAGTAAAGCAGTAAAGATATTTATAAAACAAAAACACTCACTTGTAACCTAGTTTTAACTAGATTCATTGGATAAATTAAAGTCCTCATAGAAACGCCCAGCATCAGTCCATAGCAGTAAAATCTCTTTTTATCCATGTCATGCCATTCTATTATTCTTATATTTTTGCCTTCTTTCATTTTTCAGTTATATCTTTATGTTTTACAAATTCAATATGTTAAATAAAAATCTGAAGTATACAAAGGTATCTTGTTTAACACAGAAATACCAGTGCTAGTGTACCGGTACGAAGTCAATCTGCAGATCGTATACCATTTCGGGCGATTGTACGTATATTTGGCAAGCTCTATGACGTGCTTGTGATGTCGTAGTGACATAATTTTTGGATGGCGTAGTCAGTTGGGGGATAGGATGGACATATCAAAAAATTATTATGCTCTAGGTAGTCGAGTTGTCCGCCTCCCGGTAAGGTACGGTACCCGGTAAGGTGCTCATTCAAAACATTTATTACCAATAAAGTTCAAATAATTAAACGAACACAGTCCTATAAGTCAACAGTCAAACTTCGCTTACGTTACTCCAATTTCGTCTGTAGACTGTACCGGTATTTGTATTCATACAACATTATCAAAATAAGCCACTTATACAAATAAAAATGCTTTCTAGAGCATATTTATGTGTTTTGCTCAACACTTGAGCACTAAAAATATCAAAAACGCATTTCTATAGACCTAAAACACCACCGTAGAAAATGTCAAAGGACAACTCACCAGGCCTCTAGGTAGTCGAGTTGTCCGCCTCCCCATGAAACTAGCGAGATCATGCATCTAAAACGAACGTGCTTCTCAGGGTTCCCAAACCGCGGCCCGCGGGCAAAATCCGGCCCGCGTAACGATTTAAAATGGCCCGCCGAGCTTACGTGAAATAGTGTTCAACAGATTTTATTTCTACCTTTTTGCGATCTAGATAGCGCTAATTCATGTCATGAGTTCAAGCACGTGTTTATCGTAACAATTCAATTATACCAGTATATCAATTATAGGTACCGGTGTTAGGATTACATAGGGCAGTAATTTAGTTATCAGCCATATAGGAAAGCTTAGAGATGTCAGAAATCAAACGAAAACTAGATTCAGAAAACTAACGTTTCTTGGATAAATGGCAGTGTTCGTATTTCTTCATTGAAAAGTATCAAACTTTAAAGATTTGTCTTCTTTGCCAACGAACTATTCCAGTTCCGAAGGAATACAACATTAAGCGCCATTATGAGTCAAACAAACATGTTTCAAAAAAATGTCAAATGAAAGTGAAGCCACTTTTGGGCGCTACATTCTTCCGGCCCGCGAACATCTTTCCGATTCTATTTTGGCCCGCAGCCAATAAAGTTTGGGAACCCCTGGCTACACGAAGGCGGTTGCCTGCCCAGACAAGTCTCGCTCCGTCAGTGATATCTCCCGTCTTTTTGTCTTTCAGATGGCTTTTATTTAGTCTTTGGCGCTCGTTTCTACTTCGGTATTTCTTTTTTTTCGTGGTTGTCAGTATTGAAAGCCCGACCTGACATAAGGAAAAAGCGCCCGCAAACGTCTGGGTATTTATTCAAAATAATGGACCAAAAAACTGCCAAGGTATGTTTTGCAAAGATGCTTTTCAACTCATTATCATTTGAATCAACTTCCCTATATAACACACTAACACAGTCTCATCGTCGACGAGACAATCGCATCGTTCAAAGAAGTTTTTAAGGCTTCATTGTATCATTCAAGAATTTATTATGACAATGGACGCAAACTGGTCACTTATGGCTATGAATCCATATTGCAAACACAAATAATTTTTTGTTCCAGAATGATGTTCCCGGTATATCTACACTCTCAGTTTTGTTGGATATATTGATCATTGATGTTTGTTTAGTCATAACTATTGACGTTGAAATCGTTTGTCAAATCAGACATGCTGCTCAGATGCGTTGTTTTTGTCTGGTTTGTGAACGTGTTATTAGGGATTTTTCCCTTTTTAGGCCACCTTTCTGCGGGCCGGTAGTAATCTTTCCGCGGACCGGCGATGGGCCGCGGCCCTGTGGTTGCCGACCACTGGTTTAAACGTTTTTCATGCCATTGTGGGTTTGAATATTCAAATTAGCTGTAAATCCTATTGAAATATTCTTTATTGGTCTTTGCTTTAAATAATGGAAATCGTTCAACTAATCAGAAAACTTGCACGTTGTTCCCCGGCATTTTGATGATTCAACGACTGTACATTTGGGTGTTAAATCAACGTATGGTTTATACTTCATATTATAACCATGATATACCAATTTTTCTCTCTATCTGAACTAGTAAAGTGAAACGCAAATCGGCTGCCTTCGTTAAAATAACAACAAAAATTTTTTTTTGTAATAGTATCAAATAGAAAATTTTTTTATGATTTATGACTGTCATACTGCAAAAACCCGGATTTTTAGGTCTATCGACGGGAAGGCTGAAAAACATGCTAAAACCGGGACTGTCCCGGCTAAACCGGGACGTATGATAAGCCTAGTTCTAATCAGTTTTTAAGAAAGATATTTAAAGCTTTCAGTCATTTTAAAAGTGCTTCTCGAGAAATACCGTGGTATTTTCGGTATCTTTTTTATACGGATCAGAACGACATTACTGAAATCCAGTCAACTATTGTGGAATTATTCCCATTCACGACATCCGTTTTAAGATGGTTTTAAGAATTTTATAGAATTACAGTGGACCACTTCCACCGGCCTCGCAAGCAAGATCGGACTAGAATAACGACTATATTTAGCCACATCCTCAACGAGTCATAAAAGGTCCTCACTAATGGCCGTCAACTTTGTATGCAAGGCCAGATGGTACTAAACAATAAAAAGGTTCATTGTTGGCATATAAGGCAAGAGCCATTTATCTCTCATTTATGGTAGGTCAAGGTACAGACAGGATTTTTTCACTATGCTGTTTTTTGCTTTTAAATCAAGTTTTTTTCTTGGATATTAATTTATCAAAGGTGTTCTTGTTTCACAGTAGTCAGTGTTTAGCTTGGGGTTGCCATACGCCGTTTTTTCCCTGACATGTCTGGGATTTTAGTGGTCAAATTTGCGTCAGGGAGAAATGCTAAAAAGTGCGTATATGTCAGGAATTTTTGAATACAGTAAATCCCTGTTACAGAACCGCGAGTTTTCAGATATTACCCATCCACGAAATCCCTTTTTTCAGAGATATGTCACACTCTAGCATTTTTGTGCAACACGGATTGCGTCTAATTCGGATAATTGTGAAGTCACATAAGACCTGAATTGTCAGCATTTAGTTAACGGTATTTTGGTTGTACCACCTTTACCTGTACTTTATTCCGTGCTAGGGTTTAGTCACCAGTGCTAAATTTTAAGCAACAATTTCTTTCTGTATTTATTCTATTCTCACGAAAAGGCGAGGACAGTTTGTGCCTTTGGATATCTTGTGAATTTATTTTTTTATACAATATAGTACTGTACAGCAGCGGTACCCAATTTTCTTTTTTTACGCTGCCCTCCAATAAATCTCAATATCGGTATTGTGTAATTTATGCCCGTTAGTAAACACGTAGACCTAAGAAATAAAGGCAAAATGTCAACTCTTTTCCCCCATCTCTGCCTGTTCGATGAACTCGGTTCAACCAACGACTAACATACATGGTTCAGCAGATAAATTATCTGCATCTCACGTAATTGCAGTGGTGTCTATATCTATTGTTACGTAACAATAACGCAGACAGACACTATGTAACAGAAAATAAAGAAATTTATTGAATCATTTACACAGCATTTAAATACCAAATCATAATTTGGTTATTTTTAATACAATTCTGTTAATTTTCGCGGCTCATCTGAAACACGCTGCGGCTTACTAGTGCCTTTTCCCACTGCTGTACAGTATTAGTGTTTTGGTTGCCAAATTGGTCAACGTGGCTCATTAAAATTTTGTCAGAGAGATTTTGTCTTTCCAGATATGGCAACCTTAGTTTAGCTGCTATAGTTGGTGTTGGTACTAATTTGCATCGACATATCCTGCCAGAAGCTCCTTCCAATTTATAGTGTGCCGAATTTGGTCGGTCGCAGTTCCCTGTAATAGTAGTATATAGAGGACTTGCACGGGTCACGTGACTTTGTTTACTGGACGGCAAAAAAAAAACACGTCAAGCTGGCTCCTGTCAGTTGCAAGTCGGATTATACGTTTCCGTTTTGTTTGGCTGTTGAAAATGGTTATTTCGTATTGTTCCGTTACTAATCGATTTTAAGTATGTTGATAGGTATTTGTCTGTTAGATGCACGCGATATCTCACGGAAGCAAGATCGAATCTGCTCCAGATTTTGCATGTGCATTCATCATATGTCGGACCAGAATCCTATTGATTTTGGATGATTTATGTCGTATAATTAGCGAGTTATTGATTAATTAGTGATGAGACACAAGTTGTCACTATGGAGTAAGAAAGCTGTTTTGGGATCCCCTAACTTTCGATCGATAAGTCTTCGGTCTCTGACCGATATTCTCGTTATATATTTGTTCCTTTATTATCTGAATAGTTTTCAATATCAATAATTCATTGGGTCCGTTGTAACTATTGGAAAAAAGGTGCTCTGGTATTATATTAATAACCATGTTGCTAATATTTGCTGATATTGAGGATTACCAGTATAGTTGGATTGCCAAAGTTCTTTATAGAAGTTTTTTGTCATTTTAATTATATTTTCCTTGCTTTTATTTTTCGTCTCATCTTTGTCTATCAATTCATAAATTGTTGTGTTGTAGGCCTATCTCTCTTTTTTCTGATTTTCAAAAAAGCTTTTTGTTGGTGTTTCCCTCTCTTCCATATTTGCTACAGCTGCTCTAATCGTATCCTTTTTCAGTTTGTAGTCAATTATTTGTTTAAGTTGTTCTTTTAAAACTAAGATTTTTGCTTATTTTTCAGGCCACCCCTCTCTTATTATTAACTTTAGTTTTTCATGTAGTTGATTATCCTTTATGTGATGGCCTTCTTGAATATTTTTTCAGCATGGGTAAGTTTGAAGGTATTTTGGTTTAGGACGTCTCTTTTATCTAATACAATATTAAAATATCACCTTATGACCAATTCAAATTTGACTTTATATATGTTTAAAAAGTCAATTACCTTGCTAAAAAAATCCGTTTGGCGCATAATCGTTCATGATCATTATGTACCCATTTTTGTGATGCCAAATCAAACTATC